CTTGCTTTAGAAAACCGAACCATTTCCTGCTTTCTTACTGCTTTTAGTTATAACCACAATCAATCAACTTAGTTTGCTAGATAATAGATATTCACGGAGTAGGCAGTAGATCTAGACCCCGGGTTGATAATTAGACTTGCCACTTTATTGCATTCCTGGACTGCGATTACACTTGGTCGCAGTTTGGTGTTGTGTCGTAGCATGTCAGCGGCTTAAGTGAAGTCAAAATGCATAGTTTCTATGGAAAGATGGTGACCTAGTTTCTGTTAATCATTTATCAACCAACAATTAATTAGAAGCAAAGTGCGGTGAATGATGTAATTTTAACGTATTTACGAATGACAGAGGCTTGAGCAAAGGCAACATACAAATGTATTCTAAAAAGGAGCTATATTTGTAGGAGACAAAAATGGAAAAGAAAAGGAATTTTGCGAACAATGCTAATTTGAGCAAAGTCGACATATGAAAATGGTAACCAAACACACTTTTTTCGATAGAAATGCATAACCACTCCCACATTAATTTTAACGAACTATATCTTATTCGTTCGAACTCGAATTTCATGTATTTTTCATAAAAAGATCAAATAAGTATACTCTACAAAATCACAGTTACTCTTATTTATTTTGAAAAAAAGAGCATAGGTGTATTTTAGTAATTTTATGGTATATGAATTATCGTCTATAATGGTGGCACATGACTAAAATATGCAGGTGTATATTAGTAATTTTATGTTGTACGAACATGTCACATAAATATGTGATTGTAATAATGCATTTTACTTAGCAATTTGATATTTCACGTCATAATATTATTAAAAATTAATGCATTACACACACAAACATTACTTTTTAGTATATAACTATATGAGTGTATTAGTACACCTATTTGTTGTAGTACAGGCAAATTTTATATTATTGGTATAATATAACACCAAAGAGGGTTGTCCTTTTAATTTCTCATATTTTTTGCATAAAAATAAATATATATACTCTAAGAAATAACATTTACAGTAATATATTTTTGAAAAAAAGAACGTACACGAAGATGTCTAATATCATAGTGGTATGAAAACTGAAATTATATCATGGTGGTATACAGGATTGAAAAATTTTAACAAAAAATATATGAATAGATATACCAAAGTTAATTCATTTTTCTGTACATAATTATTGAAAGTCTACTTAAATTGAAGAATATACAATCCAATTGATAAAAGTAGGTTATTAAAATTTTATTTGAATTTTAATCATGAGATCTATCCAATCTTGAAACTTGGTTATTAAGCTGACGTACTTATGTATCTCACCAAAAAGTTTCTACCATCATACGCACAGTATAAAGAAATGAATTTTATCCAAAAATAAAAGAATAATAGAGATTAGAATTGCATTAGAAAAAAAGTAAGATACAGTTTTTTATAAGTTTACATGAAAGTTTGGAGGAAAATGAATTATGTAAAAAAATAAAATGAGATAATGAGTTGCATTAGAGAAAAAATAATTATATCGTCTTTAGTAAAGGAGAGATTTCGAGTTCGTTTTGTTGATACATATATAATTTGGTTTTTCTGTAACTTTCTTTTATCAATGACGCTTTCACTCAGATAAAAAAATTGGTTAAAAAAATTAAAAACATTTCATGTCTATCAACAATATTTTTATACAAATGGAATTATCGTGTATCATGTAAGTATATTTTTGTAATTTTATGGTAGGAACTTGTTACATAAATATGTGATTGTGATAATGTATTTTACTCAGCAAGTTAACATTTTCACTTCATAATATTATCGACAACTAATTCAGTAAGCACAAAAAGATTATTTTTTCGTATATAACTATATGAGTGTATTAATACACATATTTATAGTAGTATAGACAAAGTGTTACAGTGTTGGTGCGAAAGAATAACTTTTTTAGAGTTGTCTTAATTTCATCAACATTCAAGAACATCATACCACTTAATCCAAGCATCAACTATTAACCATGCAGAAGAGATGCAGACCGCCACCAAAACCCCTCCGACCACTACAAGCTCCTGAAATCCAATGTCGACGCGCTCAATCTCATCCAGGTCGGCCTGACCCTCTCCGATTTCGACGGCAACCTACCGGATCTGGGAACCGGAGCGACGCAGAGGTTCATCTGGGAGTTCAATTTCAGGGACTTCGACGTGGATCGCGACTCCCACGTGCCGGACTCCATCGAGCTGCTGAGGCGGCAGGGGATCGATTTCGCGAGGAACATAGTTGAAGGGGTTGACTAACCCACCAGGGACTCCATCGAATGGAGGCAGAAAGGCGCCGTCGCTGAAGTCAAGGACCAAGGCGGCTGCGACTTTGAGATGCAGTCCGGGGAATTCAACCTCGCCGATTTCCAGCTTTCCACAGTGGCTTCTCCCCTCCGGCTGTCTCTGCTCTGCCTCGGGCCTCTGTTAGGTCAGCCTGGCCCGTTCACGCCATCACATCCTCCAGCGTCCCTCCTTCCATGAATCGTACACCACAACACCAGGATACTCTGCGATCTGTCAAGGCACCATCCTAGAGTGTCACCAGATGCGGGAACCTGAATCCGGCGTTGTTCCTGGTTTAGAAAACTCTCACCAGATTTCACTTCCGGCCGGTAATACCCCTTCTTGTTTGATTTTTTGTTGGATGAGTTTGTGGTTTGTTCTCTGCTAATCAGGCCGGAGACCACAAGGTCTTTCCCGGAGACTCCGGTGAGATGCGAGATCGGCGGCCAAAATTTTGGGGTGGGTGCCGACGTACCGTTTCACACTACCTCTCATTAATGTTAATTAACATCCCACTTTTTACTGCCTGCCATTAAGGGCTTTTTTACTGCTGGTGTCTTCACTGTTAAGGCTTTTGAATTGTTTAATGTGTTTGAGTTTTAATTTTCCTTTATATCTATTTAATAGAATTGGTATTTTAGTCTTTAATTCATTTTTACCTGAGGTCCAATTACTGGAGATGCAACTTCATCAACCGGTTCAAGCATGAGTTGAAGCTGCAAAGGCTCGAGTCGTTGCTGCGCAGCAGAGAGTTACCCGGCCACTGGCTTTGTTCGGCCGATCCTGCATTCAATGTCCATCCGTTAAGAATTAAAACTCCATTTATTGGAGGTATTCGTCCTTTTCAGACGACTAAAGCTTCATTATGAGCTTTTAAATCATCATTCATTTGATGTTATTAGGGGAATAATTCCCTATTCATGTGGGTCAGCTCAATTATTTTATTTGTTGACCTTTTGATTGGAAGCTACCGGCATCTAATTTATTTGATGGTATTAGGTGCCCTACAACTGCTCTAATGGGGATAGAGCTTTACTCGACAATGGCAGGTTTCGTTAATAGTAATTATAGGCCTTCAATGTGTGCTTTATTGGCATTTAATGGGTTTGACTAACCAATGGTACACACGCAAGTTTGATCTTTTACATATAAATGGGCTTTTGAAGTGGGGTGGATATTTGGTCCTCCAAATTGGTTTAGTTGAGATTACCTTAATTATTTGGAAAAAGACTTGGAATATCCAAGTCCCGCCTAAGCTCAAATTTTTCATATGGCAATGCCTCAAAGTCATACTTCCCACAGTAGTGGCCCTTCAATCTCGTGGAGTCAATTGTCTCAACCGATGCCCTGTCTGCTGGAGACATCGAGAAAGCATTGAACATTTATTCTTCAGATGCCCCCTAGCCACCAGATTGTGGACTTTAGTAGGATTGAGCAACTTTATTGAGACCACCCAGACTGTTAACTTTAGTCTACAGTGGCGACATGTCATGGTCTCCGAGACCTCCCAATTCCACATTCTCCAATGCGTCTGTTTACTTTGGAGAATCTGGAAGTCTAGAAATAAAGTGACCTTCGAATTTTTCCAACCCCATGTCCGTTCCCTAGCCAGACAGTTCTACAACCAGGTTCTCGAATTCTCCAATCTTCTTCCTCCTCCTCTGCCCCGCAGCTCTCTAATCCCAATTCATCCTGCCACCACTTGGGTCCCCCACCAGAAGTCTTTTTGAAGATCAACATAGACGCAGCTGTTTGTGCCACCGGTTGTTCGTCTGGGCTTGTTATCCGTGGGTCAGACGGGCATGTGGTGTTGGCGCTCGGGCTGCAGCATCAAGGAATAGTCTATCCTTATCTGACAGAGCTTCTAGCTTTTAGAGACGCCATCTCCATCGTAGCCTCAAGATCCTTGACCCATGTGATAGTCGAAGGTGATTCCGAAGTGGTGGTCTACCAAGTCCGTCAAGGCGTCTTTGAAGTCTCAATTGGTAGTCTGGTGTTACGAGAGTGTCTTCAGTTCCTTAGCTCTTTGTCTGTTTGTATAGAGTTTAGGGCGGTACATAGATCCGCCAACAGTGCTGCCCATAGAGGGGCGCGTAAAGCACTACTTTTGTCTCGTGTAGAGCTAGAATCTTTTGATTTTTTGGGGTGGCTTCTTTAGAATCTGTTAGGGGTCTTGGATAGAATTGTAAGTTTAACTATTTTCTTCCATTGATATCACTCAGAAATAAAAAAAACTATTAACCATGCATTTGAGTCTCAAAACGTAAGGATGAAACTTTTGATAAACATTTAAATTTTGAATTATTTCTATCGTCAACTTGACTCTTCTTTGAAGCACTGTGCCCTACTCAAACACAAACTCTTTTTATCTTTTTTTCTTCTTCTCCTTTGCAAACACTTTTTCCGAAACTTTTCTTGTGTTCGGGTTAAGCTATATCCAACCCGTACCCAACCACAAATCCCTTACCCACTATCCATTGGGCATTCCCATACTAATCTTCAGTAAGCAATTAATTTTCCTTATGTTTGTGGAGACATGTATAATTTATTTTTCCTAATTGTGTAGAATAAAGTTGGTATTACGAAGTGGAGAGTGAAGAAGTTTAGCTGACAAGGTGGAAGAAGATTTCAATAAATTATGTTGTTTATGGATGTTTATCTTTAATGTTGAACAATTTGTATGTATACTTGTGGTTTGCTTGTATGCTTTAGAATGATTTTTTTTAAAGATAATTTGTATGGGAAGAATGATGACTTTTATTTTGGTAGGAACTTGTTATTGTGCATTTTTATTATCACATAACACGTGGGTATCCATAAACCCGCGGATACCCAACGGGTTGGGTTGAGTTTGAGTTTTTCAAACCCAATGGGTTTTACCCCGAGGTTTTTCGATGGATATAACCATCGGTTTGGGTTCGGGTTTGGCAAAACCCAACCCAACCTGACCCATTGTCATCCCTAACTAGCATCACCTTGTAGGACTTCCCTAATAAACCTCAAATACTATCTCTTCCAAAACCCAATTTTAGTGCAATTAAAAGATGCCTCACACGTTTGTTTTACCCCACACTTTATTCTTCACACAGCAAGGCAAATTTTTGAATTAAACAATATCTTGATGGGTATAAATTTTTCCATTTTTCTAAAGATATAGTTCACCCTTTGAAAACTTTGAAAATAGGAGACTCTTTTGCATAATCTGAAATCTTTGAATAGATCAAATAATATGGCATTGAAACGCATCAAATGATCATTATATCTCATTGGCTACCGCATCCTTCATAGTCATTACACTATCCTCCATAGACTGAATGACATTCCCTAGACTCATTGATTCAAAGTAAGATGAGCAGTGAAAAGCTTGTAGGGGATGACTAAAAAGTCATTAGATGGAAAAGATCTTTTGAATTTTTGAATTTTTTTCACATAGATCATAACTAGTGATTTTGGATTACAATTTGAAACTGAATGACTAACAATATGTCATTTGTCAAGCATAATTAAGTAACATGTAATACCCAATTCCACCCCACACTTTAAAATGAACATTGTCCTCAATGGTCTAAAAGATAGTGAGCTATGGAAACATTTGAAAACAGGTTACTCAACTTGTCAATCAAATTTAGAAAATAAGGACTTGGCTACTAGCACTCATCATATTTATGGAGATTCTAAAAGCACATAATCCAAGCAAAACAAAGGGGTAGATGGTACTCCCATTCGAAGAGCATGCCTCATTGGATGGCCAATCAAGTTCTGACGTCCCTTCATCGTCCCATCCAGTTGCATTCATCATTGTTGGCTCCATGGGATGTGGACTGAATCCAATTTGACGTATGACCTCTTGAAAGTCCTCCGATGCTTCGTACTCTAGTTCCTCGATCTTCTTTAGTAGCGACTTTGTCCTTGTATTGGTTATCCTGAGTGCCATTTGTGCTAGCTTCAAACGCAGAGTTGGTGGATCTTTATTCAACTTGTCTCCCCATTCCAGGTCCTAGACCTGGCAATCGGATCGGGTTGGGGTTTTAGGTTATGGGTCGGGTCATGTTGGTTTGACCAATTTTGGGTCAAATATTGGCCCAGACCATTCGGTTTCGGGTCCGGTTACAGGTCGTTTCGGTTTATGAGCGCTCTCAGAAACGGTATAAAACATGCTTCATATATTTTTAAAGAACACAAATATTCACATGTTTATGGGAATAGTTTACTTAACACATGTCAATTAACATATTCTCAAACTTTCCATGTTAATGAAATGAAATACACATTACACAAATCGTCAAAAAACAATCACAAGAGTTATACAACTAGAAGAAACACATGATATTTGATTATCCTTAAACTCCAAACAAGTCTTCCAAATCCTTGTGAATTTTTTAAGTATCTAACCAATTTATAAGTGATCTTATCATTTTGGGGGTTACATATGAAATGGAACGAGTCTAACGGGTCGACCCGCTAACCCACCAAACCCGACCCAACCCAAAAAATTGTGGGTTAATCAGATTCGGGTCATTCGGATTTCAGGTTATAAAAACTTATATTACTCGGGCAGGTTCGGGTCGGTTCTTAAATTGCCAGGTCTACCAGGTCCTCATAGTTGTGATCATAAGTTTTATGTAAGGAATTCTCATATAAAGATCTTGATAGGTTCTTGATCTCTATCTCGGGCTCCGTCTCTTCATTCTCCTCAAAATCATCATCTTTTACGGGTTGCTTTGCTTCTTCATCTTTAATAGACCCTACTACTTGATGCATGATCACTTATACTTGTAGTGTGTTCTCTCTTTTGTCCTCATTGATCATGGCAATGAAAGTGGCCAGAAATGGTTTACCAAAGATTAAGGAGTATGGGGTCTCTATCTCCATCTTGATCATCACATAGTCTAGAATGCTCTCCAAAGGTTGCATGAAACTCTCTTATCCTCCTAAATCTTCTATCATGTTCTTCACCATTGGAGGGTATCAAGATGCTTCTTCATGGATGGCCATCTCCTTTGTCAAGGGTGTGGCATCGTCTTTGTCCTCCTTCATGGCTTGAGATGTTCCCATTGTATGGGCTTGAGTAGGCTCCATTGAATTATTCCACGTCTCTATATCTCCTTGGATGGCTCCTCCCTCCTGTTTACTTTCTTTGATGCTCCTTCCTTCTCCTTCACCATATCACAAAAATGGATCTTCAGAACTCCTCCTTCCTTAAAAGTCTTCTTAGAATAGTGCTTCCACGAGTTGTTGCACCGAATTTGGCTATGGATGGTATGGATCTTCGTGATGTGATGTGAGGAGGAAAAAAAGAGGGAGTGCCCTCTCTTTTGTAGGCGAGCAGTGGGTGGGCGTTAGGTGGCACCGCCACCTGTTTCCTTCTTAGATTCACAAGTCTTTTTTCGTGTAGCACAAGGAATTGAAGTGGCGGGTGGTAGCGGTGGTGGGCGTCAGGTGGAAATGCCACCCTGCTTCTTCTTGGAGACGATCCATCTTGAATCCCTTGTTGTATATTAAAAGGAAATCTTGCGGTGGATGAGTAGGTTTCCTAGCGGCGGTGGTGCATCGGGTCTAGGCACCGCTCCTTTTTCCTTCTCCATTTTTGAGTTTGCTCTCCGTGTTCTTAAAGAATTCGCCAATTTTAGCACAATCTGATCTCCTTTCTTCATTTCTCCCTTTTATTTTCCTATGGATAACATAAAAAAAACAAGCAACAAAATGGAGAGAGATCAAGTGCTTCTCCTCCTCGATATGAATATGAAAATAAAGCATAAAAACCAGATCAATCATCAATTCACACCACATCTATCCATATATAGTTTTCTCATAGCAACCAATTCCAGTTTTAGGTCTACCCCACACTTTAAAATATGACATATTTTATAAGCTAACTATATGATTTTGAAGATATGCATTATTAAGATTGTCAAACCATGGCATACTCATCTAATTTCATAGAACATGTATGGATGCTAAACATGGGCTACCTCCGATGAACCGCTCTTTCTCTTATGCATTCGAGCTAGGCATAACTCCTTATCCTTCAAGGTCCCCAACTTAGAGCTTCCTTGAAGTCCATCATCTTGATTGCATTCTCCAAGTGTGTACCATCCATTTTTTTTTTGGCTTGATAGTGGATCATGAAGTAGCAGCCACCTTAGTCTCCACATTGCACATTATACCCCACACTTTGATTTGTAAGCATTTTGCATGTGGTAGAGGTAATGATACAAGGATAAACTCATGTATTCCCTTATTTGGGTTAGATATGACACTACGGTGTTATGCTCTCCAGAAATGCTACAAACCGATCTTCGTCAAGTAGTCTATTGAGATTTGGCTTGACTCCGTAATGTATCTCCACCAAGATTCCGTTTTTTTTTTCATGGTCTCCAACTTTAGGAATGTCATCCTCCATCTTTTCGCAAAGAGTACCCTTGTAACTTGTGAACTCTTCTTGCTCAGCCCTGACTTCTTCTTGTTCAAAGTTCTGCGCATAACTTTGAAAAGATGGAGTAAGGGAATCTTGAAGGGGTCCATCCACTTCAAAGTTTGGTTCTTCTATGCATAGAGCATTTTTGCGTGGGGTAGGTGAGATACTTCTTGTTCTTCTTCCATTATTATAGAGGATGATGGAGAGGTTTAGTCTTCCAGTCTAGTAGCAACAACTTCTGGATATACCTTTTTATAAAAGTACTTAAAAAATTATGAGTTTTGACTGATAAGCTATTATAACTACTTTCAATACCATGAATAACATAAAATCATTAAAAATAATTTATAACATAAAATATGAATAAAAACTAAAAAGTTAAAATGGTTCTAGTTGGACAAAAGATGGGTCTATCATGATATTTGATGACCAAAATATTCATAGTCGTGGATATCCGTCCGAGTTTGATCTAATTGGGTAGGGTAAAATTCAAACTCGAAAGATTTTAGATGGGTATGGGTGACACACGAATCCAAATGTTGGTAATAGGTGAACATGGTTTTCTAACTATCTAACCCGAACCCACCTAATTATACATATGTCTATGTATTTTTCCCCTATAAATGGTGATTATGTTTCTCATTATATTTGAAATTTATTGTACATATATAGTTTTTTTTTATAAGGGTGATATATGTTTCATTTTTTTGTAATTAAGGTACTACTTAAGGGATTCGAACCTGAGACCTCCAGGTTCTAGGCTAGTGGTATTCTCACTAGGCCAAGCCCTTGCTCGTATACATATATAGTATTATCAAGACATTGTGTTTTTTTTAATTGATTTTCTTTGTTTTAGTGATTTATTGTTGTACCTTTTCAATTACGTAATGTCAGTACACATCTAATTGCTAACATATTGAAATTATAAAAGAAAAATTATTACTATAAATACTCAAAACCCAATCAGATATAGACATGTTTTTTATTTTCTACTCAATTCTTATGTAATATGTGTACTAGCCATTTAGCCCGCGCTACGCGTCGGTATTTTTATTTTGAAGTTTTGGATGATTTACAAATCGTCTAAAATTATAAGGTCTTGCTTCTCTCTGTTGATCTATTTCTCAGTTTTGTATATGTGGTGTTCGGAATTTGTCTCCTGCAAACCATATGTATGCTTAGGTGAAGCATGTTTGCCATGTTGTGTACTTTAATGTCATCGTTATGTATTTGCTTTGACAGGTCACTCTCAGGTGTAGCTTCATATCATTTTGCCTGTGGAAAATTGAAAATGACTATCATTGTGCTTCTCAAATAATTCAATATGACTCTCAGGTGTAGCTTCATATCACTTTACTTCATGTTTTGTTCTTATGTTTCCAAATTCACTTCTCTAGTGGTCTGACATAATAGTTATGTGTGGAACAAATTTGTCTTTCTTATCTTGTGAATCATTTAGTAACAGCAACCAAGTTGTCTGCAGCATCCACGCCAATAATGTTATAGGAAACTTGCAAAGCAGCAATTGCTCTTGCCTTGAAATTTGCATACCCTACGCGTGCTGCTTTTGCCTCCCCTATTTGACAATGTTGCTTTTCCCTCCCCTTAGGCTAACCACAACCCGAGGGACAAAAATTGGAGGTAAAGAATCCAATCTAGTCTGACAAGCTACCCAATCAACAAGTAATTTAAACCATTAAGGACCAAATTTAACTTTGATCCACGGTGATGAATGGAACATAGGGATCATACGTGCAATGGTCGCTCTACACTAACAAGGCAAGCGGGAGGGATCTTGCTGCGGAGATATTGAGAGAACCTGGCAATCCGTCCGAATAATATAATAGTATGAAATCTCTCTTGGGCTGCAATCAAGATTCAAGATATCATTGAGGGGTACTCCAAAGACTTCCGCTTGACGAGGATGGGAACAAAGTAGAGACTAAGATATGTCGTCGTACACTCAACCATGAGCATTAGCAATAGCAAGCCTATACGCATTCGTTGGAAAATATGAGACAAAGGATCTGTCACATTTCATCAATCATCTGGAAGAAGTAGATGGTGGTCAATAGTTAGAACGGGAACCCCTAAGATGAGAGGTAGATTATGTCGAATGTTGATGATGAGAAGATGACATTATTTTGCGTCCGTGCTTCCTCAATCAATATATTTGAAGTCACGACCAAACACAATTTCTGTAGTTGAGTCTGGGGTAGGAGCCTCGTCTTCGAAATGAAAGCATTACAAGAGCATAAAATGATCCAAAGATAGCACACAATCTTTCGAATATGAACATACGTTTGTTACTATGGAGTGTTAGTAGTATAGGAACAAAAGTGTAATTTTTTTCAAATAACAATAAAATGGTTGAAAGTCACAACGATAGGAACTTCGTTAGTTAAAAGCACTCAGAACAACACAAGTATATTCAATTTAAGTAAAACAAAGGAAAGTTAAAATAATCCCCACCATTTGAGCTCTCACCATTTTAGCCCCCCTCTTAAAACCCTCCCAAATAAGAGCTAAAATAGCCCCCTAAAATCTCTTATAGCCTTTTACCCCTCAAATGTTCCCCATGATTAAAGATGCTTTATTGGGACTAAAAGGACATTTTAGCCTTTTAGCCCTAGGGTTGTGGACAGCCTTATAGAGGCCAGCCACCAAATGTACCTGACCCGACCATAGCGTGAGGTGATGCTTTTGTGAAACTACATGTCTTTGTCTGCCACGCAACTCTTTTCTCCTTCCCTGTAAAAAAAAAACATGAATAGCTACTTAACTCTTTTTTATCTACATGTAGGTGGGAGTTATTGAGATGGATCTTTATTGTTACCTGCTTTTAAATGATGGATACAAACTTAGCCTTCTGTCGCCATAAGAACACATTGAGAATATATGTGATCAATATCTCTGTTTTATTACTAATGATTCTGTCTTGTGACTCTCGTCACGAAGCGCGGGCTTCCTCCCTAGTATTAATTAATTACAATGAAACAACAAATAACATCCTAAAATAATTACAATGAAACAACAACTAACCTACGCGTTCTGCTTTTGCCTCCCCTATTTGACAATGTTGCTTTTCCCTCCCCTTAGGCTAACCACAACCCGAGGGACAAAAATTGGAGGTTCTTAAGGCTATTTTAGCCTTTTAGCCCCCTCGAAAACAGAAACAGCTGCAACCCTGATGGCTAAAAATTTATGTTCCGTATTTAGTAATCATAACTTATGAATAGTTAAAATTATGTTTTTTACTTTAAAATTTATATATTCATTCACAATAATTAAATACGAACATTCTGATAAAATTTGAAATATTCTGAGATACTTGGTTTTTAGTTGAAATTGAAGAAAGTTACACCGAAATTAACTTCGTTCATCAAAATTACCAAGATTTTGAACAATTTCGGAGATACCTTTTTTTTAGTTGAAATGGAAGAACGTTCCAAATTTTATATATATATATTTTTTTTCAAATAACAATCAAATGGTTGAAAGTTACAACGATAGGAACTTCGTTAGTTAAAAGCACTCACAACAACACAAGTATATTCAATTTAAGTAAAACAAAGGAAAGTTAAAATAATCCCCACCATTTGAGCTCTCACCATTTTAGCCCCCCTCTTAAAACCCTCCCAAATAAGAGCTAAAATAGCCCCCTAAAATCTCTTATAGCCTTTTACCCCACAAATTTGCCCCATGATTAAAGATGTTTTATTGGGACTAAAAGGACATGTTAGCCTTTTAGCCCTAGGGTTGTGGGCAACCTTATAGAGGCTAGCCACCAAATGTACTCGACCCGACCATAGTGTGTGGTGATGCTTTTGTGAAACTTTACATGTCTTTGTCTGCCACGCAACTTTTTTCTCCTTCCCTGTAAAACAAAACATTACTAGCTACTTAACTCTTTTTTATCTACATGTAGGTGGGAGTTATTGAAATGGATCTTTATTGTTACCTGCTTTTAAATGTTGGATACAGACTTAGCCTTCTGTCACCATAAGAACACATTGAGAATATATGTGATCAATATCTATGTTCTATTACTAATGATTCTGTCTTGTGACTCTCGTCACGAAGCGCGGGCTTCCTCCCTAGTACTAATTAATTACAATGAAACAACAACTAACCTACTGAAATAATCTTCCAACTAGTAAATAGCCCGCGCTCCGCGGCGGGGTACGTTCCAATTTGTGAACCATTGTGAAGCATTTACGATTATCTACGTGTAAACCTCGGATTTTATTTCATTTATACTTAGGATACTACACTACCCAGATCCAGCATACTTTCTCCAGGAACAAAAGTGGTGCGACTCCATTCTTATCTTACTCTGCAGACTTGCTAGCAAATCTCCATATAACATCCAAGGAGCCATCATCACATTTAGTTACGAAAGGATCATGGCAACCACTAATCACGGATTTACATTACATCACCTCTACTACTTTTCTCGGATTTTGTTTAATTTCCTGAACTTTTAGGACTTCATCTTGACTTCCAACTCTGGTAAAGCTCCTCTATATAATTATAATATGACACTCTTTGGTTCATTTTCTCAAATTCTAATTACTTATCAATTCATAAAACTATACAAGATATCAAGCAACGCATGGATAAATTGCAATTGCACAGGAAATCAAGGCCATAAGATCTCAATAATGAGCAATTTATACATGAGAAACTGGAAAAGCCAGGTAAAGCTTATCATTAATACTACAGAAGAATCAATTGGATAAAAATAAAAAGTGCAACAAACTGAATCATTGTAATAACAAAAGCCCATTCTAGTGAACGCTCCTCAAATCAAATAACCTCTTGTAAGGCTCTTCCTTCAACATTGCATGCCCGACTGAGATTGCTCTCCAACTTCAGCAGCAAAGCCTAGTTCCTTCTTTCCAGGGAAAGTATCATTTGAATTTAGTTTATGGTCATACCACACTAGCTTTAATGAACTCATTCACTACATACACGATCATCAAATAAACAATCACAACAACTACATAACATACAACATATCACTTGAATGATTTCGGTCAAAAAGAAAGGTGAAGCAGATAATAACTTGAGAAGCTATCAATTGGCAAAGCTTGAGGGGATTGTTAACTCTTATTAGCTAGTTTGCAGTTCTCCTGCGACTCTTTGTTACTTCATCTGCATTTTCATCTCTGCTTAGACTCTAGCCCTTGTATAGATCAAATTCACAAAAAGTTGCAGAAAATTTACTCTTCTAATGAGTATGCCAACTCCAAAATAAAACTCTAAGTTTAACAAACGAAATTTGAGGAGAAGGAAAACTTATACTTAAATCCGAGTGAAGAATCATTAAAATGTATGCACTTTCCCATTTCATACAGCAAGCGCTCAAGAGCAACAGGTCAAATGAACAACAATTAAGATTGAGGAAAACTTACCATCAGGTTTAGGAAAATTTTACCTTCCATGTCATCTTGTGGTTGGACATACTGCTAGTCCCGTGAAAATTCTACTAAAAAGGCATAACATTTTATAAGTGGAAAAATAATGAATTGCATCATTGAATCCATTATTTTTTTCATACCTAGATCTAGCTTCTAATTTGAAATATTCCGATCTTTTGTTGCTTGTCACGGTTTAAAGGTTGAGACATGAACGCACAATGTCACACAAAACAACAATGAATGATTATGAACCGAAAAATACAGGAATAGAGAATAGATGGATATTGGTGAATAAACCGGTGAATACCTGGTCGCTGGTAGCATCCTGGGTAAAAATCGGAGACAATTGAAGCATTTCAACGTCACATCACCAACCTACGTGAACCTTCACTTATACGGACACTTGAACTGAAACTGCAGAGGCATCTGTATTCTGTAGGAAGAATATCACCAGGAAAGAAATATTTTAAATGACGGAAAGATTGAGAACCATCCAAAGAAAAACAGAACAAAGTCACCATAGAAACAAAAGGAAACTTACCATAAAACTCGCCAATCTGGGCACTCCGAACCATCTCCAAATTTACAAAATCCACAACCCAAGCAACCACAAACTCCTCTAGTCTTCAGATTATCCCCTATCACTTGATAAACACAATTAATTCTCAGAACTCAGAAGAGGGAAAACCTACTCATATATAGTGGCAGAGATACTGAAAGACGAAATGGTGAAAGCGAACTCGAGTATGATAGATTCGAAGATTAGGGAGACGCAACACAAAAGCATAACTAATTGGATGTTTTTGTGATGGAGCATTGGTTATAATTCGATTGCTCTTCACATCAAAGCAATCCTTTTAGTATGATGCCCTCTGACTGGAGTTCAGACGACGGCCGCCAACGTTCGAATCTCAAACACGTAATGCATCACCGATATTTTCCCTGGACAGGAGAAAAAACACTGTCAAACAGAAAAGGATCCATCCACGAATAGAGAGATTAACCGTCAAAAACTAAAACAGAACCTACTAATCAGTGTGAACACCATTAGAACTCAACAATCTAATGGTCTTGCAGCCTTTCGCTGAGATTCGACGCTCAACTCTCAGAGCCAGAATATTGTCAGAAAACAGATGAAACAGATTCTTCTGAGGCAGAATGAGAGATACAAAACCATTCAGGAAAAAAAGTAGAAAACAAACTAACCCGGAAAGCCGGTGCTCTTCGGTGTCTGGTCAAACCGTCGAAGTTCCGAGAAGAGAGGGAGAGAGAAGAACGATGATCACCGGCAGTTTCTCGGTGATCCCCATCCCGTCAATTACCTCGATTTTGCCAGAAAAAATCAAAGGGCAAGAGAATCAACATGCTCTGGCTTGAGAATCGGCCTCGCACCATCTTCGGATCTCCGCTTCGTCGGAGATGGATCCTCACAACCGGCGGGTGATCGACGATTCCCTGGTCGCTGACAATTACCTCGCCTCCGAGATGATAGAGAAACCATCTCCGAATCTTCTCTTTGTCGATGAAGGACGCTCAAAATTGCGGGTTATCGGCAATTCCCTGGCGTCTCGCAACTACCTCGGCTCCGAGAGAGAGAGAGAGAGAGAGATGAGGTGAGAATGTATTGCTGTTGAGAGAGAAATCGAATTATGAGTAAGGAATGAGAGAGAAGGAATGTTGTCTGGTTTCTTATTTGCCTCTAACCATCTCTCCTATTGATCGAAGGGTTGAATCACCTCCATCGGACACCGCGCCTAGTGGTGGGAAAATGGTCACTCAACTTCCTTGCAGGCCAGGTACAGACGGCAGCGGCCATCCCAAAGCAGAGAGCAAGAGAGGGAAGTGAGAAAAAGAGCGTCCATCATCACGCAGACATAAGACCCAACTCGTCCAAGGGCCGCTCAACTTCTATGTGAAGGATCGCAATACCCAAGAAACCCTTGGGACACGAAGACCTTCACTCTTTCCAAACCTTTGCCATCATCACCAATAATACCAGACAGTGGATTTGAGGCCGACGCAAAACTCGAAGACCCCAACACAAGAAAAGGAAGACGCAAAGGGGCTGGAAATTGGCGGCAAAGCAACTAGCAATTCCTTTGGTCAACATCAGGGCCCACGACAGACAGCCAACCAATCAAAAGAAGGTGAATAGTAATTTTGAGTCTGTATGAATAGTAAAACGTGTCTTGCGCTACAGTGATCGGTGTTAGTGGAAATAATTTTTCTTAATTAAAAAAGATGAAACAATCAAACTAAGATGGTCAAACATTTGTACATAAAAAGCTTGATAGTTGCAGATGAATGAGAATGAGATGGTTTCTTTCTGCAGTGCTTGGAACAAATCCAACAACATATATGAACATCAATTATAGCTCATGAACCTATGTTGATGTAGAACAACCATATTAAGAGATCCTGCTCCAAAATGAATTTAAGAAACTAATTTCCTTCCGTATATCTCAATATAGCATAAGATTAGTAGATGGAAAGAATTGCTACTCAAAGCAAAATCTGAAATTAGTTATGAAATAAAATCACATTGCTGTTTGATTTTATTATTATAGGTTATTAGTGTTTCCTTTTATTTACACATAGCACAATGATTTGTGTAACATCCCGTTCCGGCAAAACCCATTTTTCGATCGCTAGAAAGTTCGCGATTTAAAATCGAGCATTTCGACAGTATTTCGACGAAAATCGGATTATCGATCGATCGGATAAGTATACATATTAATTATATTTATATATATATATATAAGTAAGCGGTCATATATATAATTCCCCCCTGATCCATTAATTCTCATCTCCATCATCACTTTTTCAATTTATGAAACGAGAGTAAACGAGAAGCAGAGCGCGCACAGGGAGGCTTCTGTGAAAAATTCCCCAGCTCCAATCTTGAGCTACAGTGATCCAAAAATCTCGTAAGTAATGCCTAATTCATCTATACATCGTGATTTATCGATTTAGAGCTTTAAAACGAGTTTTTGGTTCAGGAATTTCTTGAATTCCCGATAAGCTAAATTAGGGTTTCGGAGTATCCGGAAGTCGGATTGAGCCCAAATTTCATATACGAGCTTCCTGCAGCGAGGTAATCAATCCTCTAGTTCTAATCCCTGAATTTCGGCTATTATTTAGGCCGGGGTCCAAACCGCTGAATTTAGCTCCGGCAGGGTTTGATGTGTTTTTATCGAGAATTTGACCCGGAGCCTAGAACTAATATTGACGGGGATACTGCAGGGGATATTAGGACGGTCTCGGATTTTAATTCGGGGTTCGTTCGTGAAATTGACGTTTTAGTACGGGAAGCTTAAACCGGTGTTTGAACGACCAGAACTGGTGAGGGATTATCACGGCATACCGGGTTTGTCGTATCACGATAATTATATTGATGCTTAGAATTGACCTAGGTGAACTAGAATGGCATGATTAGGGGTGTATGGACTTTTGTGCTATATGATGAACCCTGGACTACTGTTTGATATTATTGACTTGCCCTAATCGATATGAACCTTGTTTATATGGATGATTGCCTACATGTTGCCATTTGTGGCTTAACTGTTGATATGACTTTATGGTTGTTCGATAAGGGCTTTTGACATGATGTGATATTGTGGTTGTTTTTGGATTCACAAGTGGGGAAAATAAACTTCCCAGGGTGATATTATGATGTTTAAGGAGGATGACTTGCACGAGGGTTTATCTCGAGGAAATGCAATTATACGACTCCTGATTTACCTATGTTGAGCCAATTGTGGCCAGGTCAAGTACATGTGCAAGTAATGAATTATGATTAAGCAAGATGAGATATGAATCATGTATAAGGATACCAAATATGAGTGTTGTGGTCTCACGGTCAACTACATAGTAATTAGGGCTCCCTATGCTATTACTCTATTATGATATGTATGATAGTCACACCTCTCATGTGGTGGTGACTGAAGAATTCTTATGAGATATGACCACACCCAGAGCGGTGTCGGGGTATGACTACACCCATAGTGGTGTGGGGTATGTATGACCACATCCGACGGGATGTTGGGGTATGTATGACTACATCCGACGGGATGTGGGGTATGTTTCCCGGGAGAGTTATTAGCATGGGAGTAGCCAGGCGCCTATGATTAAAACATGATAAGATGCATATGCATAAGTCAAAGTGGTTGAGTCTTTTGCTTATTGGGATATGAGGATGGCTGAGGTCCGATCCTAGTGTTTTGGCTTGTTTGCTAGATGTATGGTAGGGGTATGCTCTGTTATGAACTCACGATGCTATGATTATCTCACTCAGCTATGAGCTGACCCTCTTTTATTCTTCTTCTCTGCTTATGCTATGTGTAAGCATATCATCAGCAGCAGCAGTAGATAAGTGTTAGGTGGGAGAGGAGCTAGAGTTGAAGCCAAGATGAGGTATGGTCTTCAACTATTCTGTGCTTGGACGACTACTTGGGATTTTGGCCAGTGATCCACACCTTTTTGTAAAAATGTTTTGAGAACATTTTCATGTGCATACTAGCTTCGAATGTAGTGTGAGATATCCACAGGTGTGGAAAGTTGATGATATGTGTATATTTTTGTAATTGTGTAAGTTATGACGATTATGGCTTGTATTAGTATGGTATGCAGTTGTGTAGTATGAAACTGTGACTATGGCTATGGAAGTCCATGTATATGGTTGTCATTGAATGCATGGATTCAGATAAATTATTTTGCAGGATAAGTTGCAAGAACTGTTAGCCCATTACGCGAGTAATTCATGTCGAAATTTTATTTGGGTAAATTTTGATAATTAATGTAACGCCCGAGATTAATTCCGCTGCAATTGTATGAACAATATGATTAGGCAAAACGTATAGGGTAGGGTGTTACAATTTGCATGTTGGACACTTGGGATAAGATTGAGCTCAAATGGAAACAGATGTCACCAACCCAAATTTCCCTTCTTTCTCCTCCTCTGCCTCTCAACGTTCTATCCCTCTGTTAGCAAGCACCATCAAAATCAAAAGACCATATGTAGTTGGCATTCTGGGGAAAGTTTTTCCTCTAATGATATTCAGCCACCATCGCATGAGCCTCTGGAAAATCAGAGTAAACATCGCGTTGGAGGGAATTGGGATGAGGTACGCAGAGAGAGGAAAAGAAATCGAAAGAATTCCATCTCACCCCGGTCTTTCGTTGGACTAATTTTTCCACAACAGAAGTTCGGCTCAGAAGATCCCTTGCGAGTTTAGTGGATTTGCAGGGCAAAAATTGGTTGTTGACTCTTGAGATTCATCGAAAACCGACAAAGGTGGCCCTTCAAAGACCGACCCGGAGCCCTGCATTAATCAGCCTCATGGTTCACTTTCGCCTCGGTAAATCAATGGAGAAGAGATGGGAAGAAAGGAGAATCAAATGACCATCGTTCTTCTCTATTCTGCTTCTCCCGAACGAAGGAGAATCGACAACCCAACAACTTGGTCGTTCTTCTTGAATGATTGGGTCTGCTTCTGATGGACGAAATTAGGGGAATCGGGATCAGGTATGGAATGGCAGCCAACAAAGGGTATACTGAAGAAACTCCCTAAATGGAACGAACCGGGAGACGGGAGAAAGCTAAATCCCCCTTCCGGTTCAGAGGAGTCCGAATCATTGTTGTCGTCTCCATTCCTTGAGTTGATATCCTCAGGTGCCGTCGTCGCCCATTTATCTTCCAGATTCTTCTTCGGGCGCCCGATTTGGCTAGCCGCCAAGAAATTCGTCGCCACCGTCTCCCTCCGCCGCAGGGACGGAGCTAGAGTGTAAGTAGGGGGGGGGCCATGGCCCCCCCTAAATTATTAGAAAAAATGGTAGCAACTAAGCTATATAACTGAAGCTGTAGTGTAGTGGCATGTAGTTTTTATTTTAGATATGAGGTCGGAGGTTCGATGGTTGTTGGCAGCAACGTTTTAATTCATCATGTTTTGATTCTTAACCCCAAATTTTACATGCATTACGATTTGGCACCAAAACTTTTCTTTTGGTACATCTTTGCCCCAAAATTTTCATGTCTTACGAGATTTTTTTCATTTGTTACAACTTTTGCCCATTGTCTTACAATTGGTACCATACTTCTCATCCCCAAATTCCTACGCCTTACGATATGGTACCAAACATTCCCATTTGGTATATCTTTTGCCCATTGTTTTAAAATTGGTAACAAATTTCAGATTTGAGATGGTGTTTTTTTCATTTTAACCTAAATTTTCTGAATTTTTGCAAGTTAATTTGCTTTTGCATAGGCATTATAGTTCTTTTTTCACCATTTTCCATTAGGAACTGAGTTCAATCTTTTCATTTTTAATTAGCAGTAACATATTTTTTAACTATACAATATGCCAAAGGTCTTCTACTAGGTCAAAATAAGCTTTATGTGTCAATATTTTGATAATTTGTGTGGAACAATAGATATCATAATATTTGTTTTCAAAAAAATTTACCGGCCCCCCCCCCTTATTTAATTTCCTGGCTCCGTCCCTGCTCCGCCGTGTCATTCAGCTGGTTCAGGGAGGTGAGAGAGAGGGGAAATCAGATGTCGTTTGCCTGCGTCCGATCGCGGGTTCAAAGTTGGGAAATTCGTTGTCGCCACAATCTCCTGCCGGCGTCTGGTCGGAGGTTACAGAGATGGCAAGTTGTGAATCGGGGAATGAGATGGGATGGGAGAGAAGGGCCGGCGTTTGGTCGGTTGGAGGTTACGGAGATGGGAAGTTCTGGATCGGGTATTGAGATGGGAAGGGATGGGAGAGAAGGGCAGAAGGTTTGGGATGTGTGTTTTTGGGAGGTGGGAGAAAGTAAATTTCGACTATCGAGAAACGTATTCTTTTTGTTTTTCCGAGGGGGCCCACCGATCAGGCTAGCATCAATGGTCACATGTTGGTGTTGCCTAAATATTAACATCAACGGTCACAATTGGCCTAAATCTATCATCAACGGCCAAACTTGGCCTGCCCAAAATAGATACACATGGGCTTACGTAGATTGGACCACAGGAATCATCAAATCTCTCGATGAACAGTGCCACCCGATTTTTCGATTTTTTGTAATTTTTATCTTCTTGTGGCTTAATCATTCTAATGGTTAAAACTCGAACTACATGCACTATCCAAATTATCATCCCCATAGAACAAATATTTACCCCAATTTCACTTTCGAAGTCGCAAAAACACTTACAAAAATCGCATCAATGCTATTCTCTTTCCTCCGCCACCGCAACTATGCAAGCGATCTTGAAAAAGACAATACAATGAGACGATTTCCTCAATGTCAGCTTGCAGCTGCAGCGACAACAAACACCAATGGCCTTGAAGTTATCGGCTCATCCTGTAACCCCAAAGCTGAATCTGATCGTCCTCCCCTCCCCTATATAGCATCTGCACATACCTTATAAAATACTCACTTCCTCTCCCTCTTCATTATTTCTTGTTTCCCCTATTCATTCCTTCCTTCACATATATGGCCACCTTCCTTGCTTCTCCTACTTGTCCTGTCGCTGCCCTGCCTCCCTCCTCCTCCAGAACCAAATCGGGCAACTTCACTGCCTGCTTCTCCATTCATGTATGTTGTTGGTCTTCCCCAGCTTTTGTCTTACTAACGTGTATTTGTTAACATGTTTGTTTGAGTGGCGTGCAGGGCATGCAGGGAGGTCCGACGTTCGTCGGGCTAAAACATGTCCCAAAGTTCCACTTCTCACCAAGTGTTTCCTCTACCAGCTCTAGATGCTTCAACGCCACGATTGCTTGCTCCGTAAGGCACCCAAAAAAAAACCCCCACAGATCATTTTCGTCTTCCCTGTGGAAACTCACATGATTGGTGTATCTGGGTTCTCGCAGGCCGAAGCTGAAACGCTGAAGGTCGTCCAAGACACAATCGCTAAGCAATTGTCCATTGAAGTTACCACGGTGGCTCCGGAGACCAAGTTTGCTGACTTGGGTGCCGACTCCCTCGATACTGTATGAATGTTCTGCAGACATTCTACAAATTGCAGACATATATTAATCTTATTTGATCAAATACTTTTTTCTCTCAACGTTTACATCAAACGTATGGTTGCATCAGGTGGAAATAATGATGGCTCTGGAAGAGCAGTTTTCGGTGTCCATTGGCGAAGGCGGAGCCGAGAACATTCAAACTGTTCAAGAAGCTGCAGATCTCATCGAGAAAGTTAAGAACGCTGCAGCAGCTTAGTTTCACCCAAGTTTGTTACAGATCCTTCAGGAGGGACAAAAGGCTGAGTTTTTTTTCTTCTTCGACATTTATTTTCTTCACACAAAGAAGCTAATTTTGTCTCAAGCTGTAAGGCAGCAGTATCATGAGGTTCTGTGTTTCAGCATTCAAAGACCAAACTATGTACCCATGACTGAAGTTAGCCTGTACTTGACCAAAAAAGAGAACAATACGAATGGAATTCAATAAAGATGGACATTTTACGTTGTATTTTCACTGTCCAGCTTGCTAATTTGAATTCTGAAGACTTTCTAGACTATCTTCCATCTAAGCATACATGTCAGGTAACAAGTTATATATGTCCACCACTAATACTATAACCCATAATCCACTCACATCAGGAAATATAAACATCAAATGAAGAGCAGGGCAGTGAGTTTTGTGAATAGAATCCTTCCAACATGTAACCGGGAAGGCATAGTTCGAATCCCATGGTTGCAGCAGCAGATGTAAACTTGTTCTTTCTGCTTGCTGCAAAAGATAAAGAACAATTAGTAACGATTCAGCAATCTCCAATTGGTCGCAGCATTTGACAGCATTGGTTTGTCAGACCACAAGGAAGGTCTATCTTATTACAACGAATGAGAGATTTTTATGTCTAGAAACATTCAATTGTAATGAGATGGAAAAACAAGGGACGGCCAAGAAATCAAAGAACATGAGGTGTGACCCATGGAGCAGTAAAATTCCCAACGAATAGATGTACTTCAATCACACTGCGGAGCAGTTGTCAGTCACCGAGAAATCCGACCTTAAGTAGAGAGCTTTAGCAGGCCATTTCTGACGAGCAACTTCATCTAGTCTTCAAACCTTGCAAGCCAGTTACTGATGGTTATAGCCAGGCCTCGGGTATCACCCAGTGAAAGACTTTTAAGTCCTTGAGCAATGGCGTCTGCAGGAGTATACACATCACCGACTTCCCATCTTGGTTCCTATTCAATTGCGACAAACAAAATTAGTTACCCTTGACCAAAGAAATGAAGGTGAGAAGACATTGGTTGAAAAACCTATGAAACTGTGATTGGCTACCTTCTGAAATATGAGCATTAGTGCTGAGATGCAAAATATGTATGGACATTTCACTACTTTCTTCTTCGAACATAGGAGGCACAATATTCATAAATATGGATTGATAGAAGACAGTCTCTGAAACTAACCTGGATGCATGGAGTGAGATGGGTGCCACTTAACTGGATCTTTTCTATTGTCCCGCCCATGGACTCAATCCGAGGCTTCAGCGCTTCCTCAAGGAGATCCGACTCATCAATTGTGTCTGAATCGAACTTCACCTGTACATCAGTTGGATATAGCCCCCAAAAAAAAAAGAATAACAACCTTACATTTTGTCTAAGTTCAGGGTTTACACATTAGAGAAAGGAACAAATTTTGGGGTATTCAATAGCAGTTTAAGATTTTCGAAATACAGAAGTCGTACATACCAGTAATGTGTGCGGGACATTGTACAAGTTCTTGAAACAATCACGATTTTCGGCAGGTGTTGGCTTGAATTCGGATATCCCTTCAGTAACCTAACAACATTCATCTCTGTACATTAACACCAAATTGGACTCTGAACTGCTAAGTAAAGCATTGGCAAGTCAGGTGATAGAGAAAATAGTCTACCATGTGACCGTAGGTTTAATGGCTTATATTAGTCAATTAAGCCTTTAATTCATTAAGGAAATGGGCTTACTAGAAAAGTGGGAACAATATTTTCAGGACAAGTTCGTAAACTATGCCGCCAACTTTAACCCTGGTATGGTCAATTTGGTTTGGAATGTGAAGGCCACAAAATCAAAATACCTCGCATTTGCATCTAGCGTGTCAGCAGGGCAGCTTCAGAGAAAGCATTTAATAACTTAAGCAAAAGTATTGTGACGAAAGGAAGAAATAAGAACTTGAGCTGAAGCTGCCTAGAGAAATTATGATCGGGTTCGAACTAGTTGTGGGACTGTTTTTGTAGTTAATGAAAAATGCCACATCTGGCCCAAAAAGCAACATAACTTGCGAAACTAATTAACATAGAAAATACGATGAAGTTGCTAGGAAATGAAGCTCCAGTGAACTACTCTATAGTAGCATCTCAAGTCTAGTATCTTAAGTACAAGACAGTAATTAGAAGAACTTTGTGAATGGTTATAGGAAAAATAATAAATTGGAGATGTACGAACCAATAAAAAAGTTCCAGCTTCATCATTATTATTTTTCTTATACCAACATGAACAAGACAGATTATTAGCAAACCTGATTCATCACCGAAGGCAACTGATCAACGAACTTTGTGAATGCACCAAGGGCTTCCTGACTATTTTCTGGCACTATAGCTTCAGCCATATCAAGTAGAGACTTCCAAGCATCTCCTATGAAATGAAGAATCAATGTCAAGCAGAACAAAAAACCATATTTAGCTGGTATGTATTACATCCTTAACAGAATACAAACATGTATATAATTCCATCCACCTTAGTGGTGCTGAAGCTGGGTGAACAATAGGAGGTCACGGTAGGAGCAACGGAATCATTGCAAAAGGGATATTTTACCAAGAACCAATTAGGGAGAACGTAAAAGCATTGCAGAATCCTCTACAATATTAAATAAATGGGATAATGGCTAAAGAAAGGGGCAAAAATAAAAGAGAAGACTAAGATGTGCGATACTAAGATTGCAGTATTTCTTCCCGTAACTAACTTCAAAATGGCATGGTCTTGTCTGCAATTTACCTGAGGCAGTCCTAGCCATAGAATATACAGGCGATGCTTCCATAACTGGCATCATCTGGTTGACAAGAGGCCCAAACTGCTTTTTAAGAACAAGAGGAGCTAAATGTTAGTGGCACAAAAGCATCATGATCTGGCTGAAAGAAGGGGGAACGCTTACAGTCCTGGAAGACTGACTAGACTTGGTCATTGGGCTATCATAAAAAAAACTATGAACTAGATTGTCTTGTGAAATAAAAGAAAATGCATAATTAGGTGTATCTGTATCATCTTAAACAATTGCCCAACCTATACAACAATCTAAAGCTTCAGTGCGGAATCATCTCCTAATTCTTGCAGAAGAGTATGAAATGAGGATGCCACCAAATGAACATGCCAGAAATTTCTTAAAACTAATCGATAAATTGCTGGGAACGGTACATTCACCTGCTCAAAGTATGGTACAGCCTCTGTAGCAGGCCTGTTGTTGAATGAGACAATGACATTAGCCTTCCACAAAAGATAATAGCAGTCATCACTCTCAACGAATTGTTCAAGGCTCGAACTTTAAGCAAGAACAAATCAAACAGAAAAAATTGCCAAACAAACCTTAGGAATCCTCTCTGCGAAATAACTTCCTACAAGCCCTTGGAGAAGTGCCCCATTACTGAAATGAACATCCACATAGAGAGCTAATATCAGCATTCGTTTGATGTGATGTCATGGTGAAATGCAAGTTGCTATACTATTGAAGATGATCGCAATCGACACCAATGCTCGTGCTCCGTGACATGAAGAGCTTAAGTTATCTCTTGAAAGCAGGTATTAATATCCGTTAATGAAGTTTCAGATATGTGATCAAGCAGAAACCAAGTTAACCGAGGAGGGTTTTACTGGACGCACCCACCTATGCCCAACAGAGAAAAGTGGAAGGCCGGCGAGGTTTGCAGGAGTGAGGTCGGAATCAGGCAGTCCATTTTGCAGTAACGAGTCCAGGCAAGAATTGAACCTTTCATAGACTTGGTTAGCAGCTGAAGAGTGATCGAAGGTGACATTGTAGGGCACGGAGATAACAAGAAACCCTTCCTTGGCCAATTGCTCCATCAGATAGCTGCCAGTCAGTTCGGGACAGCACAAGAGAGAAAAATAAGAAAATTGATAGTTCATCCTCAATTCACAGAAAAAACGAACACTGAGCTAGCAAGCAGAAAGACAGGGGAGATTGATTGATTGATTGATTGATACCCGTAAGTGACTTCCGGAACTGCTCCGACGAACGCACCGCCCAAGAATTTGATAATTGCACGCGGCGCTTTGCCTTCAGTCTGTGGAGGAATCACCAAGCAAGAATCCATTCTCTTGAATAGCTTCTTCCCACTGCTGGGGCTGGTGGTTCTGGCGCTGAATCGAGAACTGCTGCTACTGCTGGAGCTGGTGGCACTGTTTGCGTAGCCATTGGTGATGCATAGGGTAGAGAGAGGATTAAGAAGTTGAGCCCGCCGTCCCCCATTGCTTCCAGCGAGCATCCATGAATGGCACAGCGGCAGCTTCGAGCATGGATAAGAAGAAGAAGGACAAATGCAGCAGACAGAAGTCGACATTTCCATAAATTCGGGAGGCGGCGACGTTTGATGCTTTCTCCCAACGTCGATGCTTCTTCTCAACAATCCAGTCGAAAGCGCTGAGTAGTGGTTAAGCTTCAACTCTGTTGTGCAGAAATAATTATTATTCATGTGGCATTATGATCGCCATAATTATTCTTCTGATGTAAAATTACTGGGGAAGAGAAGAGTGGAGAATGAGTGGAGATGAAAAAAGGCAAGTGCCAAGTTTTAACGTACGATGATGCTTCCGCCACGATTTTCCCACCTCGCACCTTGGCCTGGAAAGTGACCGTCAGTTGAGGCTTGAGATGAGCAGCGGATCCAGAACACAGAAGAGCACTGGGCCGAGTTTCATTAGAAAATTAAATAGTAAAAAAACATAATGATTATAGTGTTTTTCCAATGTAAATTGTACACAACGGTATTTTAATTTAGTGATGCATCAATAATGGAGCCTACATCCATACCAATAGTATACACTGTTTCAAATAAAATACTTGAGCAATCGGCAAGAAATTCATCGCTCATTTTGTTGAGCAAATCAGTTCTCACATATTTCATTGTTGAAAAGGTTCTCTTAGTAGTAGCTGTTGAAACGAGCAACATTAACACTAGACAAATCAATCGACTAATCAATTGGCATTGTGTGTCAATCCCTGCATCCACCAACTGCTCTAGTAAGTTTTCAAGGGAACAAACCTCATATTTCTTTTAATCTTTTACGTTTTAAACTTTTAGAATTTTAGGGTTTTTTTTATATGCATAATCTTTGGGGCTACAATTTAAAGGCTAAATTTAGAGTAGTGATTTGAATATGGTCATCTGAATCATTTTTTTAGTTATACCCAATTTTATTATAAAATCACACTAAACCGAATGCCTAAAATCGAAAAATTCATAAGGACTATACTAACTACGGATCCAGAGGAGGGCTGGGCCGGGGCCCGGGGTGGCCACCCCCTGGATCCGCCACTGGAGATGAGTAGGATGGCCATGGGTTAGGGCGGGTTTTGTCAAACCCAAACCCATGGGTTTATCCGCCAAAAAAACTCGGGGTAAAACCCGTTGGGTTTGAAAAACTCAAACACAACCTAACTCGCTGGGTATTCGCGGGTTCATGGGTACCCGTGGGTTTTTGTGGTAAAAAATTTACAATAACAAATTTCTTTCAAAATAAAAGTTTAAAATCAATTTTCTCATACAAATTATTCATACAAAAAATACCAATCTAGAACATACAAGCAAACCGCAAATGATCAATACAAATTGTTCAAAATTAAAGATAAACATCTATAAACAACAAGATTAATTGAAATCTTCTTCCTCGTCAAATAAGTTTCTTCACTCTCCACTCCATAATATCAACTTCATTCTAAATAATTAGAAAGAACAAATTATACATGTCTCCATAAACATAAATAATATTAGTTGTTTAAAGAAGATATATTATTTAGAATATTAAATATACCGGGAAAGTAATTATATGTGTGGGCGGGTGCCCATGGGGCGGGTTTACCTAAACCCAAACCCAATCCGGTGAATAGTGTAGCGGGTTTAAACCCGAACCCGGCCCAAAGCCCGTCAACACGGGTTTTACCCGCGTTGACCGGATTGGGTCGGGTGGGTACCCGTCGGTTCAAGTTTTGTTGCCATCCCTAGAGATGAGCATGGGTGGTTAGTGGACCGTGGTTGAACCCATAAATTCGCTCAAATTCATCCAGAACTGATTCACATCATGTAATGGGTAATTGGGGTAGGGATAGCAATGGGTCGAATTGGGCCATATTGACTACTCTAATTTCTTTTCAAGTTTAGTGTGTTCTTACCGATATTACATTAGAATTTTGAATATTTGGATATTGCATTAGAATGATTCTTACACTATGTGTAAGTGTTGGACATGAAAAAACCATTAGACTAGTCTGGCCCAGCCTAGTCCAATCATCCAGGCTCAAGGACTCAACCCGATTCAGTCAGTCCAACCAGGCCTATCTAGCGCCTAAGTCTGGAAAGGACGTCACACGCCAACTCATCGAGATAGATTTCCACATCAAGAGAAAGATGACATTGAACCATGGGAGTTGGGACCACCCCCTCAGTTTTCCCCCTAAGATTGATGCTCAGATATTTTTTGTAATAACGAATATTGAAGACTAGTTAAAAGGACAAACATAATGTCATAAAATAAAACAATATGCATGAAACATTATTAAATGCGCTTAAAAGTGGTTGAACAAGATCTAATGAACCCGTACATAACAATTATGGTGTTTAACCTGATTTGCGTAGTATGAAGAGAAGAAACAACTTTAGAGAAAGCACACACTGAATACACATTTCTCCAAACAAATATCCTAAAACCCTTCATCTTCCTACCTCTCTATACCCAGTCACTTCCCCCTCTCTTCTTGTTTTTTTATTACTCACCAAATATCATTCCATTCACCTATCTTCCCTCTGACCAAACCTCCTCTAACAATCTCTAATCGAAATTCACTGTAGTGACCAAAAATCCTAATCAAATCGTCTATCCATTCGAGAGAACATAAATAATTGGCTCCCACCATGGGGCACTAAATGATTTTCCACATTCAAAGCGGTCATGAACAGGACACCAAAAATCCATGGGGAAGCCCTTAGACCATCTACAATGTGGGTGGGGGGAAATGTGGGAAAAGAGGGAAAAGTGGGAAAATTGGTTGGTTTGGTCACAGTGTGGTGGTGGGAAAAGTGGGTAATCAGTTTAGTACTTTTTTGTTAAAATCAATCTATAGTTGATTTTGTCACTTTTTTTTCCATATAATGATCATTATTATTACGTACTTAGTGATAATTAATTAATACGAACATTTCGATATGATTTTTTTTAATTTGGAAATATTTTTTTTCATCACTAATTAAGTATGACATCATTAATTTGGAAAAATGGCCGTTGAAAAATATGGCCGTTAAAAGTGACCGTTGCAAAATATGGCTGTTGGTTAAATCTGTCCGTTGGGGACAAAAACACAACTTTCCAAACAAGCTTTTGCTAAAATCAGGAAAAAAAATAAAAAAAGAAAAGAAAGGGTTGTCCTTTCTCATCCTCCACTTCCCCCCACCATTTGTCTCATCTGGTGGGTTTTCCCACCCTCTAAACCCACAAAACCCATTTAATTCCCTATTCCCCCCCACATTGTGGTCACATTTCCCCTTTTTCCCACAAAACCAACCCACATTGTGAAAAAAAATGGGAAAAAGTATTGTAGTGTGGTACCGAAAAGTGGGAAAGGTGGGAAAGTTGGGAAAAATGGGGGGATAAACCCACTCATAAAAGAAAAAAAGTGGATAGATGTGTGGGGTGCGGGACCGAGACGAAAATCACTTTTTTGTTTTTGTTTTATGAAATTGGGGAAAAGTTATTATTTGGGTGTGTTTTCTGAGTTATGGTCATCCCGTATTATTATGCTTTCGTCATTGATGACGTCATATTTAATTAGTGATGAATCCAAATTAAAAAAATTATATCAAAATGTTCGTATTAATTAATTATCACTAATTATGTAAGAATAATGATCGTTATATAAAAATAAAGTGACGAAATCAAGTATATATGAATTAAAAAAAATGTTAAACCAATTCTCTCTTTTCCATCCCCACATTGTGACCAAAACCTCCCCCTCACCCTCTTTTCCCACCTTTTCCTCCCACCCACATTATGGATGGTCTTAAAGCATGGCGTGGAGCTCGTTCGACATCCTGTAGAACTCTCAGGATGAGGAGACAGAAGATTCAGATTGTGTAGCTTACTTAAAAGAGAAATTTGAAGCACAAGGGAACAAACTTATAGACCTGCAGGAACAGGTATAGATTGTAACAAATCTCCTAGCACAACAGAATGAACTTCTGGCTCTATGAGCACCAATGAGAGTGATCGAGCAAGATAGGAGTACATATCACAGTAATACGAGCGATACACATACATAGGAAAAATGGAAAACACTGCCAAGCAGCGGCATAACCATGATTTCGTTTAAAGTGGGTATGCTTAGAAGGAAAATATAGATGAATAATTTTTTTTAACTTTGCTATCATTCATGATATAATCGTATATTGGAAAATTTTAATAAATTAAAATACATTAGTAGTTGAAACTATCAATAATATCACTTTGTGTACCAAAACAATTATTAATGATTTAGCTAGTCGTTCTCTTTCGAATGGTGTTCTTTGTCAAGAACCGTTTCGTATCAATAAATTGAGTTGTTGAGAGAAGTTTAATAATGAATCGTACACAAAAAAATCCATGATTTAGTTAGTTGTTCGCTTCCGAATGGTGTTTTTTGTCAAAAACCGTTTAGTATCAATAACTCGAGTTGTTGAGAGAGATTCAACAATATATCTTATACCATTTACTAGCACCCTCCCTTATAAGAAAGTTAGCTTATATAGAATTGAAGTTTGCACAAATTGGCCCGCTTATACAGAATTGAAGTTTGCGCAAATTGGAATATCGTGTGCTTAAGAGACGAGGTCACCAAGATTCAAACACAAGACTTTTGGATAAACTATTCTTAATTGGATGCACCCTAATTTTCGGTATCACTTAACTATTATACCTAATTCAACCATCTTTCTTCTAAGACAGGACCACCCTCCTGTAGTCCAATAATGCATATTACGACCCTCATCTCAAAGTCTTGGGATGGAATCGAAGGAAAAATTAATAAGATATGATTCATCTACACAATAAATAAAAGCCAAATGAGAAAACTTGAAGCATCATTTCAAATTTTCTGCATTCAGAGTGAAAGTAGGAAGGACATTTTGGTCTTCACAATTACTTTTTTTTTATTCATTAAAAATACACTTACTAGGATTCAAACCATGACCACTTTAAAGAAAAGCAAAGATCATAACCAATCACACTAACTACATTTGTTGTATCTTTTTAAATTAAAAACATAAAATCGCAGGGAGAAAAAAACCATTCCCCCATTTCAAATTCCCTGCTCCATGAGCGTTTATAGGAAGGGTAGAATAGGGAGTGTCAATTTTTTTTTCTTTTTCCACTGTGGAACGGGCCAACTTACTGTACACATGAGGATTTAAACGGGTCCAGGAGTGTCAATTTTTTTCTTTAAGTCCTTTTATTTCTCCGTGGTGGTAAAATATATATGAAAAGGAAAAAAAATACTCCTTTTTATTGCTAAAAAGAAAAAATTTAACAATAAACTAATGCCTGGATTCTAACGGGTTAACCGCTAATCATAAAATAAAAGAGTTGAATGAGCCTGACCTACACGGGATTTGCCCATCAAGTAAAACAAATGAACATCATGGGTTTGTCATTCTAAAACAAGCTTAATGGCTAAAATATAATGTATTTTAAAGTTATTCAATGGTTCAACCTTGACCAACCCAATTAGTCCAATTTTTATAATTTCAAATATATATTATGTAATTATTTGATATCATAATGATTAAATTATAGTGTATATTATAGGAAATCGTTTGGTATTTGTTAGTAAAAAACTAAACAGAAAGATCTATTTGGTTATTTTTAACATTAAAACGATCCTAAACATTTTCAGTTTCCGTTCGAAATTCTATAGTTTTATTCCCGAATCAGTGATGTGCAAATGGCGAACTGCAGTCATCTCTTTTCTTTCATTATTTTTTATTTTCAAATAGAAAGTTTAAAAGTAAAGAATAATTAGAGTTTGGCATGGGTCGGTCAAACAGGCTGAATTTCAAGTTTTGGCCCGTTTTGATCAAGTCTAATTTATAATCACATGGTTCCTTGATACCCGATAAAAATCTCAATCCAAACCAGTTTGGCAGGTGAGTCCGTGTTTACCACCATTTTCTAGGGATACAGAAAGCACAATGATGAGAAGATGAAAGTTTTATAAAGCAAATTAATCGGCCAACGGGCCGAGTAAAAGCTAGCAACGATTGTGAGATGCTCATTTTCCGAAAACCGGCGGGATATGCGATTTTTTATTCGATTTCCTGGAATTCGGTTTCTATGAAACTTACTCCACCTCATCATATTACCAGAAATAATATTATTTCACAAGGTAATAGGTACTTGATTTTGGTTCATAAGGTTGATTTTTGATTCGTTGCATCATTCATGTCTCTTTCCTACTAAAATTCACTATTTTTATCATGTGTTTCCCAAAAAAACTATACAACAATAAGCTATACACCCCCATTACATTATCAAATTTCATACCTCACCTTCCTCCGGCCAAATGGCCGGGGCACATGCTAGTTAGAAATTAAGGCGAAACATATATCTAGGAGGAAAGAGAAACATGGAGAGTAAAGAAAGTTGGCTTGGTGCATTTTTCACTATGTAGTATGTACACATTTTTTTGTTCTCTTCCCTATTAATTTAAGAGGTCGTATGATTATTTTTGTGAGATTGTTATTATACTTGTATTGTTTAGGATGTATCATTTTCTTAATATTTTTTAGCAGATACAATACATGAATTGTTTCTTTGATGTGACAGAAATTATCACTCAAAATAAGTGATTGTTATATCTCAACTTTTAGCTGAGATTGTTAAGATAGTTGACTTCAAATTATTTTATCTCAGCTTTTAACTAATGTGACATACATAATCACACATACCAATAGGGATGGCAGTGGGCCCGCGGATTTTGGACATCTGTCGGGCCCCGCCCACAAAGAATGGGCTTAAACCCCCGAAGGCGGGGCTGGAATGCGGTGACGGGTTTGCCCGCGACCCGGTGGCTGCGGTGATGGGCTGGGGACGGATTCAACGATCCCCGCCCCGAGTACAAAATGACGTCGTTTTGTAAGGCGTATATAATCTCCAAATTTAGGGTTAGGGTCTGGAAACACCATTTTCACCAAACCCCGCCGCCCTCGTCCCCGATTTCCTCTCAACTCGAACATGGCGAATCGCCGATTTCTATCCAAATCTTTTCCATTCCGACGATTCCTCCTCGTTTCTCGGCATTATCCCTTGTAAATCGACGATCCCATCCCCAATAGCCCAGAGATAGTCCTTAATCGCTGCCCTCACTTGCCTAAAATGTCTCAATCGATGGAAATCAGCCTCGAATTGTGCATGCATACGATTTATTTCCCAAATCGAGATAAGTATTCATTTCTTCTTTCTTTCCCTATTCGATATGTACTGAAAAGTGTATAAATAGGAGACTCACTTCTTCATTTTGTTCATCTGCAGTTCTTGGAACCCTAAATCCAGAAACCCTAGCCAACATATTTCAGAACCCCCTGCTTATTCGTCATTCTCGGTAAGTTTTGCATGTAGTAGTTCGTTTGATGATTTGTTTGCGGGTGTTTGCTTAGTGTTTCAGTATCGGAGACGCTAATTTTGCATGAATTTGTGTTTTTTAGCATTTTGCAGCTCTCTGTTCTGGATTCTCATCAAGCAGCTGGTGATTAATCTTCAATATGCTTAGGTAAGTCGTTCTTAGCTTGTTAGAAATTCAGTTGGTGCTAATTTTGCACCTTGTTGCTAGTTCACTTGGTTGTTCATAGCTTAATATGTTCCTGTGAATAAGTGAATTGATTATGTTCTAAGGAAATATGGTTTGAACACATGTAATATGCTAGACTGGTCAATCGGAGATGATTGTAACTTCGACATTTTGTCAATTGGTTTCTTTTATGATCAACTTAAGTACTGAATACATCTAATCTGTTAAGTACTTAAGTTTGAAACTGGTAAGCTTAAACTGGGAACTTCTAAACTGATAATCTATTCACTTGCTTAATGCTAAATTGATAATGTCAAGAGTAATATGCTAATTTGTTGTAATCTGCTACATACTAATTTGTAATCTGCTCGATGCTAAACTATAATCTGCTCAATGATAATCTGTTCTAAGCAAGGCCGAGTCCGGTAAGATACAAATCCAGTAAATGTTGTCAATGCTAAACTACTAATGTGTTTTGATCAAGTTCTCATTAATTAAACTCCTAATCTAGTAGCTGTAATCTCTTTCTCTATCGGAACATCTAATCTGTTAAGTACTTAAGTTTGAAACTGGTAAGCTTAAGCTGGGAACTTCTAAACTGATAATCTATTCATCTGCTCAATGTTAAACTGATAATGTCAAGAGTAATCTGCTAATTTGTTGTAATCTGCTGCATACTAATTTGTAATCTGCTCGATGCTAAACTGTAATATGCTCAATGATAATCTGTTGTAAGTAAGGCCGAGTCCAGTAAGATACAAATCCAGTAAATGTTGTCAATGCTAAACTGCTAATGTATTGTGATTAAGTTCTCGTCAATTAAACTCCTAATCCAGTAGTTGTAATCTCTTTCTCTATCGGCTGTCCTCTTTTGAATCCAACTGGACATATTTGTAAAACATTTTTCCTATTTCTTCCTCTTAAACAGATGGAACCTGGACACGTTGAGAATGCACCTGCCCCTCCTCCTGGTAATCCTCCTAATGTTGAGGAAGATGTTCTTCCACAACTTCCCTTAGGTGCTAGTATGTCTTTAAAGTCCGATGTCTGGCCTCACTTCACTAGGATGATGGTAATGGGATTTTGAAAGCAAAATGCAACTACTGCAAGAAGATCTTGGCTGGGAAATCTAGTAGTGGTACCTCCCATCTTAGGACTCATAGGAATAAATGTGTTCATAAGAAAATACATGATGGGAGTCAAAAAATTCTGGGTGCTAACCACCACGTCAATGGTACAGCTGACATGAGTACCAATCAATTCAGTAGTGAGGTGTCTAGAAAGGAGCTCTGCACCATGATCTTGGTGCATGAGTACCCCCCTTTCTATTGTTGACCACATGTACTTCAAAAGGTTTTGTTGCACCTTGAACCCTCTTTTCAAAGTCCCAACCCGAAATACCATAAAAAAAGACATCGTGACTATTTATGGTTTAGAGAGATCTAAAATTCAAAGGGTCATGGATGAAAACAGAGGGAGAATAGCTGTTACCATTGACCTGTGGACTGCAGCAAACCAAAAAAGAGCTTACATGGCTGTCACTGCCCATTACATAGACAATTTTTGGATTCTTAGGAACCATCTGATTATGTTTGGTTATCTCCCTGCCCCCCCCCCCCCCCCCCCCCCCACACACACACACACTAGTGAGAGGTTGGCTGCAAAGCTCGTTAAGTGCCTCCAATCATGGAACATTGATAGTACATTGTCGACAATTACTCTTGACAATTGTGCTACCAATGATTCCATGATCAATCTAGTTAAACAAAGGCTGGTCCTATCTAATTTGATTAGGGATGGGACACTTCTCCATATGAGGTGCTCTGCTCACATCCTTAATCTGATTATGAGGGATGGCCTAGATGTTCTTAAAGATGGAATTGAGAACATCAGGGAGAGTGTGGTATTATGGACATGCACCCCTAGGAGAGTTGAAATTTTCCATGGAACTGCCCAGCAACTAAAGCTGGATGTTTCTAAGAAACTTGTGTTGGATTGTCCCAATCGGTGAAATTCTACATATGAGATGCTTTCTGCTGCTATCCCCCATAAGAATGTGTTTTCTCTTATGAAAAGAAGGGAACCTCAATACAAATCTTTGCCAAGCAACGAGCAGTGGGAGTTTGCTGAAATTGTGTGTGGAAAACTTGAGGTTTTCAAGGACATAACTGCTATATTTTCTGGTTCAAACTATCCTACAGCCAATCTGTTTTTTGCTAAGGTTTGTGACTTGAGGTTGCGTTTGATGGAATGGTTAGTGGATCCTAATCCGATGATCGTTTCTATGGCTGCGAACATGTGGGATAAGTTTACCAAATACTGGGATGATATACATATGTTGTTGGTTGTGGCTGTTGTGATGGATCTGCGGTACAAACTGGATTTGGTTGGGTACTATGCTGCAAAATTTGGTATTTCAAGTACTGACCTTGTGATTGACAGGGTCAGAGATGTTGTTTCTGACTTGGTTGTCCAGTATTAGAGGAAATCCTCTAAGAACACTGCTGTTTCTTCTACTTCTCATCCTTCTTCTTCGGCCACAGATCTGGATTTTGATCTATATGTGAGCCAAAGGAAAAAAAACCAGAACATCAGTGGTAACCACTGAGTTAGATCACTATTTAGCCGAGGATGTTCATCCTAGAACACCAGATTTTGATGTTCTTGGTTGGTGGAAATTCAATGGGGCCAAGTATCCCATTTTGCAAGACATTGCAAGGGATTTACTTGTTGTCCCTATTACAAGTGTGGCTTCGGAATCTGCCTTTAGTTCTGGTGGGAGGCTTCTGGACCCCCATCGGAGCAGGCTTGATCCCGTAACAATTGAAGCCATGATGATATTGAGGACATGGATTCAAGATGATAGCAAAGGTGACTGTGTTAGATCATTCTACTGTTTTGCTGTGTTTTGCATTTCTTACTTTGTAAACTAATCAATTAATTCTTGCTTTCCCTGCATTGTAGTGTCTGCCTCGGAATTAAAAGCTCTAGAGGGGGTTTTCTAAGCTATGGCAATGGATGATGCCTCGGTGGAAGAATGCATTGGTATATGGTTTCTTTGTATAGCTATAACTAGTTCATTAATTTAATTTATGCTCTTTTCTACCATATTGCTTTGTAACAGATGGAGATGGAAGTCAATCGAAGCAGAAAGGAGACGAGGATGAGGTAGCTGCTGTCATCAGCCTGCTGGACTAGCTCTAGGTTTGTCGAATGAATGGTGAATGATGGTTTCCTGCTTCTGTGTTAAATTCTGAACACATTTTGAAATTCTCATATTGCAGATTCTGGTCCATTAGGCAGTAGTTAGGGAAAGAATCGTGAATGCTGTTGTTTTACTGCTGTTCTGCTGTTGTTCTGCTGCTGTTTTGTTGTTGTTCTGATGTTGTTCTGCTGCTTCTCTACGCTGTTGTTCTGGTGCTGGAAGATGATCTGCTGATCTGTTGCTGGATTTTTGAACTATTTTTGGCTTTGTTTGTCTGCTGCTATGCTTTGCTTAGCTAGTCTTGGAACATCATGGATTGCTTTGTTTAATTGTTTTCTTTGTTAGCTCGGATTTATTATTGTTAGCTGAGATACACAGGTTTCACTTCTTAGTTCAACTATTATCATTGTTATATTTCTGGATTTAAGACAAAGTCATAGGTTTGCAAGTTCATGGTTAAAGGTTGAATGTCCTAAAAGTCTTGCTTTCAATTTAATTTTACCACATTAAGTACGATTGGTTTGATCTGGAAGGATGATTTTTGTTACATGTTGGCGGGCAGCCCGTGACCCGTGGATTCACCGAAATCCGGATGGGCTTGGGCTTGGTCCAGATTATGTGCCCATTTGGCTTAGCGAGGCGGTGACGGGTAAAATCCGCAGGCATAAATTGCGAGTAGTGGATATAGGGTATCCGCACTGTGTATCCGACCCATTGCCATCCCTATAACCCACATTCATTATATCATTTGATTTTGGCACGCTAATGTCCGGTTTGGATTGGGCAGATCCGGATATTCGGTCCCATGATTGGGCTTCAAAAGACAAGCATGTCTATTTATATGGGCCTGTAATCGGCCCAGTCAATCACAACCCGACACTCTAGCTCTAGCTCGAACCTCCCTCCGATCCGAAGGGCCCTTGTGGTAAAGACGTAAAACCAGAGCGGTAGGCAAAGCGGCGAGCGAGTTGTCACCAAAACTTTGATCCGGGCAGAAACCAGGAAAAATGGCCGAGTTAGCTCCATTTCGCACTCACTCCATTTCCTCCCACCTCCTTCCCACCCACTCTTCCAAGCTCCGCTTCCGAGCTCCGGCCACCGGCCCCTCTATCTCTCTGGGGTCTCGCTGCCAGCTTCTGAGTTTTCCGAAAAGCCTGCATTTCAAGCGTCCGATCTTCGTCTCTAGGGTTATCGTCTCTTCGGACAGCAAGACTTCGACGATCATCACCGACAACGTTGACCTGTCCACCCAAGGGATTGAGATTGAGCCAGATAACGGAGACGGAGGGGACAATCACGGTGATATAGGAGATAACGGCAGAAGAGGAGGAGGAGGAGGCGGCGGCGGTGGAGGAGGAGGAGGCGGCGATAGTCGTAACGAAGGCGAGGGAGGATCTTCGGAGGATAGTAGTAAGAAGAAGATGGCTTTGTCCATGTCTCAGAAGCTCACTCTTGGTTATGCTGCTCTTGTTGGAGGTAAAGCTCCTTTCTTTCTAAGCTTCAATTTCTCTAGGTGTTATACTGATAGCTTAATCTCTAGTTTGGATTATGATCGGAGAACACTTGTCTAGTTTGCTATGATAACCTTTGATCTCGCCTACCGATTTAGGGTTTACAATTAGCCCAAATCAGAGGGCTCTCCGACAGCACAGAAGATCCAGGGTCTAAACCCTTGACGTGCTTAGACATAACATTGCCTAGATTAACATTGAACATGTCCCATTGCTCTTCCTAAATTGCTTAACCTTGAGAGTTCATTGAGATATGATTGATTGGTTCCCAAGTTTTTGGTTTGTTCTTCTGTGTATTGGGTTTGAACCAACTCTTTATGTGGCAGTGGGAGGTCTGATGGGGTATATGAAAAGTGGTAGTCAGAAATCACTCCTGGCAGGCGGCCTATCTGCGGCAGCGCTGTATTATGTGTATACTCAGCTCCCAACAAACCCTGTTTATGCATCATCCATAGGGCTTGGTAAGGCAACAAATGGATATGTAGTACTTCTGGTTCTGGACTCACATGACTGCTCTATTACCTGCCTGAGTTGGGTTGACTGAAGTGCTTGGTGGTTTGTTTTCTGTCCGGGAATCTGCAGGTGTGGCTTCTGTGCTTACCGGGGTGATGGCTTCGCGGTTCATGAAGTCGAAGAAGGTCTTCCCTGCAGGTGTTGTATCCCTAGTGTCGGTGGTGATGACCGGGGGGTACATCCATGGAATCCTACGCAGCATGCATTGATTCTTCGTCGAGCCACTCTATTTCCGGATGATGCTGCAGAACGGGAGACAGATGTTTTGCACGACTCTTTTTTTTGTTCCTTCTTTGGGCTGCTTCCGTTTTAATATTTTTTAGCATAGTATGGGTCTGAACTCTTGGAGTTCGGACTTTGGCAATGTAGATGAGGACTGCGCACTCGCTAGTTCTTCATAGTTTGTATGTGGACAATTTCAGTGATGGGTTGAGTTTGAGTTTGGCCTTGTTCAGACTTTGCTCGTTAATAAATTAGTTGAGTTTGAGTTCAGTTCGTTTACTAAAATCTTGATTTCTATTTGATTCGAGTACAATTCAAGGTTGACTCATCAATGAGTTCGAGAGTTTTACTTGAGTTCTGGTCATCAATTAGCTCATGAGCTCTGTTCAAGCTCAGTTCATAAACTGTAGATAATAAATACACTCATGAGTGGTTGTCTAGCTAATACTTTTGAGTCAATTCACAGGTTAAACTCAACAAGTCTATAAGTCGATCTTACTTACAAATCTCATGAGATGAACAAGATTAATCGGCTTGTAAATGAGCCAATTGTCGAAATAACTTCTCACAAATTGTGCTTCAAAACGCTCGTGATTTGGTCGGCTAATTTGTTGCGCTAGCAAGGCAACATAGCAGCATGCGGGAATACCTTCGTCTTTGTTCAAATGGAATGCGGCCTAAACTCTCTTGGAAGCAAGACGAAGCTGTAAGCTACCCTCAGTTCTTTGAGAGACGGACTACATGAACATGTGATTATATAAAGTGCATGCTTTAAGGCAACAAACATTTTACAGGGATACACCTTACAACATCAACTCATAACTAAATTAGACATAGAGAGGTTCACAGTCAACAAACAGCGTCTTGTTCGTTTGTCTGATTTGTCAAATTGGTGGTTCACATACAAGCGATTTTGTACTAATGTCATAAGATAACACAAAGTTAACGATATATATATATTTCGGCTGATAATTGTATAATAGGATAATGATTCTTCTCCTCGAACAACTTGCAAGTCAATCAAGCATTGTTCGGAGCTGCAGCAGCCAGCGTTTGCTGAAGATGCTCGGCTGTAAGCAAGTTGTTGGAATCATGCTTCATGTTCTCAGCTGCTGATGGAGATGAAGGAATAGAGTAGGGACTCTTGCTCATCATCCTACAGCAAAAGGTTTAGGAAACACCCTTGCAGCAACAAGTCAAAATACAACAGCACAAAGCCGGTAATGATCAATCAACCAGTCTAACAGCTACCTGTCCCTTCTCTTCTCAAAGAAGCGCTGGAGAGAGTGCCTCCTTGCAATTGGCAGATCTAAACAACACAACAGACAATAGAAGAGAACATTTGTTTAGACTTTGCTATGATTCATAGCTAATACGCAGGACATTCCAGTTTCACTCCATGAACTACTTACCAGCTTGCATTTTGCAGAGAGAATTTTTATGAGCAGCGTACTGCGGAGAGGCCAATGCACTAGAGGTACTTTGCATTGAAGGAGACCTAGAGAGGACTGGTGCAGCAGCAACAACAGCAGGAACAGCAGCAGCTGGTGCAGGTCCTGATTCGATCTTCTTGATATCAGCAGACTTCACAGCTTGTGCCGCAGCAGCAGCAATAGCCATTATTTCACGAGCCTAACAAAGCAACCAGTTGGAAAGAAAAAAGAGTTAGCTAGAGCTAGAAAGAATTGCGGCCCTCCATCCTTATAAACTTAGTGAGCATTTAGACGACTGTTTCCGACAGTGAAAGAAAAACCAAACCTTTTCTGCCGGAATTCCATCAAACACAAGCACATTTCCGCCATAGAATATGGTGAGCTGTTCTGGCCCGGGGATAGAAGCATCTGCTCCGGATTTCGGCACAGCTGTAGTAGCCCTGCCAAATCCCATGGACATGTTAGTTTGTAGATCACTCAGACACTCACTAATTCCACGGCGTTGCTTGGTTATGTATGATATACAAGACATTAAATTTGTCCATTGCTTCACTGGGCGAAGTGGCTGTGAAAAGCACAAGTAACTTCCTTAATGAAACAATTCCCCCCCATCCCTACCCACTTGAAACTTCTAGGTAAACAACTTTTCAGAAGAATACAAAAAGAGCCTGTGTATAGACCCAAAACCCAGTCACAAACAAAAGCCCCATTTTTTCAGATTTCTGTAAAACATTTACTTGCCCCGGACTCTCTCATGCATCACTAGACACAGAAATTACCCAGAAAGCCATAGACAAAAGAGCTACCAAGCACACGAAGGAGCAGCTATTTTGTTTGAGAGTAGGATAGTGTACCTCCCTAGCAAGATCTAGTTGGAAGCAAAATAAATCTAGCCATCAATTCTGCCCCCACAATACCATTGTTGTCATAGAAAGGAATGGAAGGAGCAAAGACAGAGACAGCACAGCATCGAACATTTTGCCTCCCATCAAGTTCCAGAAATCCTTTCCCAGAAGCAGTACATCATTAAAAGCCCATCAAAGATCTTCATTTAAACACATCCAATTCCTTGCTCGATTTCGTCATTAATAAAACTAAAGCAAAATTCCAGGGTTTCTTTAACCTTTCGGGGATTTCATCAGATCTTATTCTTCAATCACCTCCTACAACTGGTTTTTCAATTTTTGCACCCCACAATTTCCTAACCAAGTTTAGACCCAAGAAGAAAGCAAAACGTCAAATGGAAAGGGGGGGAAGAAAATTGGGGAAACCTGGAGTAGCCGTCAGTGGTCTTAGGAAGAGCAGAGGAGGCGTCAGTGCAAGATCCCACAGCGACACCGCCGCCGTTGGTCTCCTCCTCCACGGCCGCCGGTTCCTCCTTCACCGTAACCTTCTTCTTCTCAGCCGCGGAATCCGGAGGTGGAACAGCAGCAGCAGCAGGTGGGTTCGGCTTGACTTGGTCGTCGGGCAACAGAGAATGACCAGTCTCGCTTTCCATTTTACAGTTTACGGACAAAAACCTGGAATAACAATTACTGTCAGAAAAGAAAAGAAATGGTTGGCTTAGTGGCCGATTTCTGTTGGATTCTTTTTCTCTGGTGGTGGGTTGGTCTTTCTTCTTTTTGTTGCTTCTCTTGCTTCGCGTGGAAGGAGGGAGGGAGAGAGAGAGAGAAATGGATGGGAGTGGAAGGAGGAGGCAGAGGAAACAGGGAAGAGAGAGGACGAGGAATAACAAGGTAAGTAAGGAAAGCTTCTTCTTGGGGCGTGGTGGTGGGGCAAAGGTGGATGAGGGGAAATGTAGAGCCAGCCAGCCAGACAGCCAACCGCACCCTCAGAGCACCGACTGACGTTTGGATTGGAAGATGGAAAGCAGGAATCGCAAGTGTCAAGTGGGGTTTTGTTTTCTACTCATTATCCTTCTCTTCTATTTCGGCACGAGGTTTATGCCCCCGATTCTTTTTGCTCATAAGTTGTCTTTTCTTTTGCCACTTTGTTGAATTGTTTTTTTTCTTCATTTATTCTTCTAAAATATGTTGAAGTTTTCTTTTATTTCGGGGGAGGTGTGTTAAAGATTCCAAGTCAAATTGAATGATCCAAATATAATCATATAGAGTGGGTAAACTACTTTGATTCCAAAGTCCATAATGATCATCAAATGTGGTGGGTGCGACTAGGGGAAAACAAAAACATTGTGATTCAAGTTTGGTGGGGCAATTTCGGGAGATAAAAGAAAAAAAAACAATTGAGTGGCTAAATCTCGCCCTTATTTTACTGATATTGTCCCAACTTAAAACATATAATTACCAAATTATCTTTTATTAATTAAATAAAAATCAATCAAAACAGACAGCCTTTAAAATCCCTAATCTGCCATCTTCGTTAGAAGAGAGCAATTAAACGACCTTAGTCGGCGCGAGCCTCTGCACTCCAAATGAACTTTGTTGCCGACCACCTGCTCTCCATACGACTTCGTCGTGGAGCGAGAGCATCAAACGACCCTCCTGTCCTGCCATCATCGTTGTCCTCCACTCGCACAGCCGCTCCTCTTTTATACCACCGCAATTGGACTCATTTCCTATAAATTTTATATAATTAAGATAGTGGTAGTTGTGATGAATTGTAATTATTGCGTGCACTCATGGAAACCGCCAAAGCTCCATAGAAGATAAAAAGGAGAACAATAACAAATGGGGCATGCTATGAATCATCACTAAGCAGGTGCGTCTATTTTTTGGAGTTTCGAACAATTTTTCCGACGATTCCCTATGAACAGACTGCGGGCCAAAAGATTTTGGTGGCAGGAACCTGGCTAGGCCGAAAGAATCCGGCGGCAGGAACCAGGCCGACGGAATCTTTCGGCCCGTCATCTGTCATTGGAAATTTTCGACCAATTTAGATTTTGAGAGTTGAATTTAGCGTTAAGAGTTGAATTTAGAGTTTAGGGGTTAATATTTAGCATTTAAGAGATGAATTTAGAGTTTAGAAGTTGAAATTAGCGTTTAAGAGTTGAAATTAGCATTTAGGTTCACAGAAATTTTGATGTGCTATATTGTAATTGTAGGAAAAATGTCTGAGTGGTTGCCATCCGAATATGATTACACACAAGAATTTGAGAAAGGGATCCATTATGCAAGTGTGGAGTTGGCTGAGAATGCTGCAAAAGCAATCTCTCAATCGTGTGGGTTCTTAGTAGAGGAGCATGAAAACCGAACACCGAAGCACAACATCCTGTTACAGCCCTCTGTATGATTTGCGATAGAAACAGTAGGATCGAGAAGTCTTATAAACCAGACCCTACGAAGGAGAGGCGTGGGAATACTAGTTCGAAGGGTAATGGTTACCAGTTCCAGATATGTATTAAGGAAGTATGGCGAGAGCATGGTCCAAACACATGGGTCATAGTAAGAGTGACAAGTCGTGTAACCGGAGCTAATAGAGGGTTTCACAACCATGAAAAAGTGTTGTATCCATAACATTGCCGCCACAACAAACAGTTTAGTGAGTCTAAAAAAGAGAGGTTAAGATTGATGAGGAAGGTCGGGGTGAGACCAAATCAGCAGAAGACGACACTCAATACTTAAGGGGGGTTATATCAAATAGATGTACAACAAAAATTCCAAGGCAAGATTGGATGAGATGGGTGAAATGGATGTGATACAGTTTGCGCTTCACGGAGCTGAACAACGTGGGTACCATATCCGTTTGGAAAAGAATGCTAATAATGTGCTCACCAATATGTTTTTTACCCACCCGAGTTCCATTCAGATGTTGCATGCATGGTCGTACGTCATCCTCATCGACTCGACCTACAAGACGAATAGGTAAGGAATTCCATGGGTTGAGATTATTGGGGTTACTCTAGTCAAGAAGAATTTCAACATTGCATGTGCACTAATTAAGCATGAAACAAAGGAAATATATGAGTGGCTACTGCGATGTATAAAAGGGTTGCTCGGTGGTACGATTTCAAATGTCATTGTGACAGACAAAGAAGGTGATCTACTTTCTTCCGTTACTGTGGTCTTCCCTCTCCCACATACTGTCCACCTACTATGTTTATGGCACATTAACAACTGTGTGAAGAAACAGTTTGAGAAGCTACTCGGTGGAATTTCCCGTAGAGAGGTAGCACATGCGGTATGGAAGTAACATTTTGCCAAAGCTGCATGAAGTTGGACGAGGGTAGGTTTTGTTCTTAAGATTAATGAGTTTGAGAGGGTTTGGTCAGTGAAGAACAGAGCTCTGGTTGACTGCGTGCGGGGTGATTGGTTGCCTCATCAGACAATGTGAGCAAAATGCTACACGAACCATGTGTTCCATCTTGGTAACAAGAGCTAGAATAGAGTTTAGGCATCTCACTCTTTATTCAAGAGTTTCCTTGTATCTGGTAGAGGAGCGATTGACACTTGTTTTGGAAAGAACCACAACTACATGGAACATCAATTTCTGAAAGTGGTGAATGAACTGCACAAGTGATATGAGCTTGAATTGTCTCTATTCCAAGTTAGATTTGCTTGCTCAAGAAGCTGAGTCAACTCACTTGCACAGTGTAAATTTTTGGCTAAGTGTTATGACTATTTCGGGTAGCCAACTTTGGGAGCTTGGATCTTTCAATTGGGTGGGTGAAAATATGAGTTTAGGGTCTTGCTTTGAAGTTGGGGATCTCCTCTAAAAGTTAGGGTGTCTGGCAACTCAAGGGGGAACTCAGAAGGCCATTTTACAGGCTCGACAAAAGGCTGCATCAACAATGGAAAATTGGCAGGATTTGTCTAAGTGTCAGACTGTGATTAGGGAAGCTACTTTGAAGATCTATTCAAGGCAGATGGTGTCGAATCAAGGAAGGACCTTCATACCACATGAAAGTGTGTTTGTTTGTCTACAAAGGCAAGGTATTGGCTGAGTAAATGGAGGTCGGAAAGGTCGTGAACGAGAAGCTCAAAGAAGCTATGGAACCTTTCATGGGAGGCAGATTACTTGAGCTTGAAGAAAGACTTGTTTGGACGATTTGGGATTCCTTTTCCAGTTTGGAAGCTTACCTTATTCGTAGTATAGTTTAATTAGCTTTCCTTGCTCGTTTTCTAGTTGAATTAGGTTTAAGTTTGTCTATTTAAAGGCCTAGAAACTCCATTGTAATACTTAGACGTCAATAATCAAAGACCTTGTTCATTGAGTGTTTTTCTCAAAGATTTGTCCATGTCGTGTGGATTGGTTTCCAGCGACGAGCGAGCCTTGTATCAATTGAGTCATCACCTCAATCGTGGTCAGGTTGCTACCTTGAATTCGGTAGAGCCTCTTCCCCCGCGAGTGGTGTTGAAGTTGCACTCTGAACCATCTCTTTTCCCCTGTTTTCTCTTGATCCATTCTATTTCGTCGCTAACAAGTCAGGAAGGTTGAAGTTGGTGAGCTTGTGACGATAAGCCCGGTTATTTGGGCTTATCAACAAGTCACTAAACCGCAATTTGAGTAGGGTAATTGAGGCTTTGTGCACGTTTTTTAGGAGGGTCGTCAGTTGTGAAGCAATAAAACTGATGTTAGATGGGGCGGCAGAGTTGGTGGACAGTTGTGGGTGTCATTTTCAGACGACACATGGGCTCGAGTGTGCTTGCCAGGTTGTTAGAGCTAAGGAGGAAGGATGCCAGTTTTATGCCCAGGAGTTTCATGTATTCTGGCAGACTTTGGATTATAAAAACCCCTCATTGCAACAACAAGTCAGTGATGAAATTGAGCTTCAACGACAACACTTTAGGAAGCTCACTGTTGAGCTGGAAGAGAGAGGTCCTGAAACAGTGAGACAAGCAAGGGATGCCCTATTCTACGGGCTTCACACAACAGAGGATAATGGGAGGGAACCGAAAATGAATGAGACTACGAGAGGGCGACCTCGAATAAGTACCAGTCTCATTCATTCCTATTATGAGAGATTGTGTTCTCGTTCAAGGAGTACGGGGCCCGGTTCAACTGGAGGCAGGTCTCGATCGAGTGAAGGAAGGTCCCGATCAAGTGGAGGAAGGTCTCGATCGAATGGAGGCAGGTATCGATCGAATGGAGGCAGGGGGCGAACGAGTAGAGGTGAATTCGACGAGCACGATATAGGTGATGAGTTTCAACTCTAATATTTTAATATTATAGTCCAACTATTAGTAAATGGTTTTTTTTTGTAAATTTTGTCCAAGTATTAATTATCATTTGGTATATGTTTGCAGATTACTCATCCCAGAGCCCCCCATGGCAATATTCTTACCCTCTCATCGAGCAATTTTATCCAGGGTTTGTTTGGCCTTTACTAGTAGGCGATTTGTAGGCGAGTCTTGGTGTTCGCCAACGAGTCAGACAAAGAGACCCTCGAAGAGCTAGGGGAAGTGGTAGGGGCAATGCATAGTGTTGCATTGCTTTATTTGTATGTTGTTTTCCTAGCTGTATTTTGTATGTTGTATTTTGCCACTGCACCAGCATTCGTCCACTGCAGTTCTATTTTGAATGTTATGTTTGACTATACAGTCTCTTGGTAATGACACTACCTTCAGGATGGTTTTTGTATTTTAATATTGCAAGCAAACATAAATAGTCAAACTTCCCTCCAAGCATAAATAGCCAAACATAAGTAAAAAAATCCAATCCAAATATAAATAGCCAAACATAATACTACATAAGTTAAACACAATTATACATATCCTCGAGTCGATATATCTAAAACAACTGAACATCAGGGAGGGGGGAGTCCCTGAGACACCCAGTACTCTGTCCACACATCCTTCACTCCGTGGAGTATCTTGTAGGCTCGTCAATGGTGCTCCAGCCACTCCTCCTTAGTCCCCAATGCGCCACAAACCGCAGGTGCAAAAGTGTACGAAAGGTAGCGAGCACGTTGCATTAAAAAAATTGTTAGTTTCATACACAATATACTTATATTGGTTAAAATTTAAATGGTCAAGACACAAATCTTACCGTTGCGGAGTCAACTAGTCGATCTGCATCTTCATCATTCTGCAGGACTCTACGGTGGGAGTGTGCCACGAACCAGTCCTGCTTGATTGTCAACTCACTCCTTGGCGAACAATTTTGTTGTTCCTCGGATTTTTCTGTCCCTCTTTGATAATATCTTCCAAAAGCCCTAGGGAACCAGAAATAAGCTTGACGGAGTTTATCAAAATCTTGGTTTCTGCTCTCATCAAATCTATTTGATTCATAGAAGCATCGATGAACCTACCAAAGTCATTCATGCACTGGTGACAAATCGAAACCCAATCAGAAACTCTTTCCTCCATCCGCTCAAATCGATGCCTCAACTGTCGACAAGATGTGCAATGTTCATTAGCCATGCTATATTGTTGTAGTTCCGGAGGAGGGGACGAAACACTAGGATGGGGAGATAACCTTGTATTTATAGCAAATGCTTGCTCCACCTGAGGTAGATCCACATTGGCCGCTTCCTTGAGATCCTCGAGCTCCATATTAATTTTGCTTATATGAGTTTGAAGAGCTAATTCCTTGATCGAACTTGCTTCCTCTTGTTCTAAGTATCAGAAAAAAACTCCTTCACTTTCTGTGATATCCCAGTAGAGGCAAGCGCTATCAAATGCAAGGAGTCTTAGTCCAAAGGCCGAGTACATAGTCTAAATTTTGGGACGAAAATTTTATAAGGGTGGAGGAAATGTAACACCCCGAAATTATGGGTTCAGGTTCGACCCTACTAAGTGAACGTTTGGATTGACGACAGTTACGTACGAAGGATTACGATAGTAAATTAGAAATAATATTGATAGTATTATTAATATCAATAATAATAATTATTATTTATGAGGAAAAAGGGAAAAAGTTTTCCCAACCTGTTACACCCGTTACTCCTCCACTCAACCTCTCACCCTTCAATCCCCAAATTAATCCCAATTAAATCCCAAAGCAAATGTTTGCCCCAGGAAACCAAAAATCCCCATTGTCCTGTTATCCTCCTTTTCCCTCAGAGAACTATCAGGGGATCCATCTCCTTTCCATCAATCGCAAACACCATACCGCCTCAAAGTTCTCTCCACATAGCAACTGGGACATCCTTCTCAAGCTCACCCCTAATCACGAACCCATGTAATTGCTTCCCCAACACAAATTTCAACGCATCAATTTCCCAGCTTCACTCATCAAATGCAAGCAAAGGGGTCAGGATGAGTCATGGGGCGGCATGGAGAACTCAAACTGGGGTAAGCGAATGGTGGCGTTCCATGAGCATCCTGGATCAATAGTCGGGGTCTTGAAGTTGTTCAAGGTAGATGTTTATGAAGCAATAGTCATAGCCTCCAAAGCCGATCAGTGCAGAGACGGGTAAAGCAAATACGGCTAGCGGCAGAGCGAGCGGAAGATTGTGATTCTATGAGCTATGGTCATGGCGGCCTTATTAGCAAGGTAAGCAAAGTTGTTGCAAAAGAGTTCGTGCTATTTTTATAATATATCCTAGTTGCGAGAGTCAAGAGATATAGAAATAAATGGAAGGTGGGAATGCACGGTGATAATTAAAGTAAAGTCGCTAAACTGATGTGTGGGTTTAATTATATGGTACATAGTTACAAGAATAAACCACTGGGAAAGGATTGCTTCACGTGGTCATTTTTCTACGTGATGATTATGGTTTAGTAATGGAGAATTGACAAGTTAATTGGTCTTGTAGAGTGGAGAAGTTGAGAGCCACCAAGGGCTGCTTGTATGTTGCATGGGGAATGATAATTAGTTCTCATGGTCGTGAAGAAATGGGTGCTTTGTTTGGCTACGAAAATAGATAAAGATATGTGATCAATTGAGGCAATGGAGACAACAAGCGCAAGGATGGTTAGTCCAAGCCGAGTTGACTTCGAGTAGCAGGGTGAGTGTAAGGGGGTAAAATCTCAGTCGAGATCTTTAGTCGAGATCTTTAGTTTATGTTTTTCATTCAATCTATGTTCGTTAATTTTCGAGTAAGCGCGATTGTATGTGTGAGGAATCCCACTGCCTACTTAAGGTGGAGGCACGCGTTGTGCTATGTATGTGATATATGTTTGTATGTAAGAGGAACCCCGGGCAGTTGTGTCACTACTGGATGCGGTAGATGGTCGGATCAGTATTGGACGACGATACGTAACGCAATGCCATTGCCGAGTTGGGTATGCAACCGGACGACAAGACGTAACGCGGTTGGCATTCCAAAGTAGGGACACCAGACGGCGAGACGTAACACGATGGTCCCTAGTATTTATGTGTATGAGTTAAGGATAGAAGTAATTAAATTCTATAAGATAATGTTAGAAGTAAAGATATTCCATGAGCTATTGAGTAATAAAGTATGAGGGATGAAAGCAAGAACGACTTTTGTGTAAGGCAGGAAACCCTAATGATGTGTTAGTAAGGATTTGCTTAGGTAAAGACCTTAGGAAGTAACGACGAGATTGGCCCCTTTCTCACTCACCAGGTTGAGGAAGGGTTAGCAGAGGTGGATCCTAAGAAGAGGCAGGGCGAGGCGAGCTATCGCCCAGCAAGGAAGAGAGCTCAGGGAACTCAACAAGGAGTTAGAGCTAGAGTTAGTTTAATTATTTTGTTCATGATTATGAGTATATGTACTAGAGATTCAGGGTTCAAGATTATGGGTTAATTTTTTTTAAGTATTTGGATAATGATTGCCCAAGTGTTAGGGCTTTTCGTTTGAAATTCTTGATCATCGTTTGTTTGTTTGTTTTAAAAAGTGGTTTGGGTTGCTCCAGAGTAACCGGCTTTTGGTTTAAAGTATGGTTTGATTTTCGAAAAAGATCGGGTTGTTTCACTTTCCCCAAATCATTATATTGAAATCCGGTGGGATATCTCCTTCTGATAAACTCCTTGAGGGTTGTGGAGAGCCCCTTGTAAAAGCTCTTGTTAAGTTGCTAGTCAGAGTACCCATAGTTCGTGTTTCCTTGTATCAAATTCTTGAATCGTCCCAACCCTCTGAACAAATTCTTGAACTTCCTATTGAAAGGTGTCAATCTCCTTCCTTCACATGACGACCATTGTTCTGGTCAGATAACGAAAAATAAATGCTTCCGTGACTTGACTCCAGGAAGGATCAGTGGATTGGAACTCTTTGTACCAGACCGCTGGATCCCCTCGTACGGTGTAGGTGAAGAAGATATCATTCAACTGATCTTTAGTGAATCCCAAAATCTTCAATGCCTTCACTACCTTCAGGAAGTAGGACATATGATCGATAACACTCTCGTCATCCCTTCCTTTCCTGCGAAGCATATCAATGGTTTCCTCCGCAATACGTTCTAATTCGGACAGATCCATAGCCACAATCTATTTACACAAAACAACTTCCACAACCCGTGATGTACAAAGTTGGGTAACAAAACAAACAACGTAACAAATACGAAAAGAACAAAACAAGAAACAAACACACAAAATAAAACACAAACACAACACAAAACAAATAAAGCAAGGTAAAGACTAACTAACAACTTAATAGTTTTCTACTAATTACCAAGGTTATCCAGCAACGGCGTCAAAAATCTTGATCACTTGAATTCGTGTAGGTTATTGTTAGAGGTTAGCACGTATCAACAACTATATCTTAGGCCAAGTTTAATCTAGAACGACATTGTCGTATAGTGTTAATCAAGGTTGTATTCTACTCGGGTCCTGGTACCCTAGCCTACTTCTCACATAGTTTCTAATTAGTTAATCAGTTTTTGAGGTTTTGAGTGGAGGATATGAGGAAACACTAGTCTAAAGATTGATCAAAGCTAAAAGCAGGTACTTCGGGGAACTATCCCTCCCCCTAGCTTAGGTTTACTATGCATATCTAGATACTTAGGGTCATCGAATGTGGTGAGTGAGCTCTTTTTCATGGGCTTTCGTGGTTATCCACACGCCTCCGAGTACGCCTCCCCTAAACCCATGTTCCAGTCACCTCGATCTAGGTTATCATATTTGGGGCATTAAGCTTATGGCTCATTTCAATGGACACAATCCACCGTCTACACAGAGGTTTCATCTCGGGTTTCATCTAGGAATGCTACCTATAGCAGGGTTCGGTCGCTTGACCACTATTAGGCCCCCATTCACACATCTAACCTAAACTCGCCAAATGCTTTCTTGCTTATAGCTCCTCCTTCTTCTCCTTCTCTTCTCATTTCTTTAGCTTCTCTCTCTTCTCTCTCTCTAGAACTAAAAGGTTTCTCTCAAAATCAGCTCTCGTCAAAAGGGGAAAATTCGAGAAAATTCTGGACTCGAGAAAATTCGCGGCCTGCGGCAAGGAGATCACGGGCGGGATCTTTGGTCTTTGGGCCGTGATCTCAAAATACAATCGTCGAGGCTGGGAAGGGGAAGATCACGGGCTGACTTCGCGGTCGCGATCCACTAGTCGTGGCCACAATTTTCCTCGCGGGCAAGATGAACGTTGGTCGTGACTTGACTGGGGAGGCACTTTGTTTCTCAAAGGCTCATTCCTCGCGAAGTTCACGTCCCGAACCTCCAAGATCGCGGGCATGATCTATAGCTTATGGGTCGCGATCTTTAGTTGGATTTCGCGGCTTGTGATCCCGGCCGTGACCTTCGGCTTCTAGGCCACGATCTTCAATTCCTGCCCCTTCATTACACGTGTGACCTTTTGTACCTAATTCGCACATATCGACTAATACATCCTAAAATTGTTTCAAAATCAAAGAGAAACTCAATAGGGATGTATATGACGAAGTTCATGCATTTAAGCACATGAATTGGCACAAAACATGTCTCGATATATAGGGTAAATAACACCAATTTTGGTGTTATCGCATACGCCTGGCGTACGTTGTAGGCCTGTTTTCACACTTGGTATTTGCACTTCAATATATAACATTGAATCAGAACCATCAGGTATTATTTTTTTAGATTAAATGAAACTTATGGCTCGGGTTAGAGAATTAGGGACTGGGGTTCACCCATTAGTGGTAGGGTATAATATCATGCCCCAAACTTCGTTTAATTCGTGCTCTAAATAGTAAAACTCGACGGGTGTACAATGTACATCTGACGTATGCTAGCCCAAACTATATATATAACGTACGGTAAGGTGGCATTACATGTGCATTATGCTACTCCCTCATCACCCTCAGTTTATGATCATCTTGTCGAGTTGAGTGATTTGAGTGAACTGTTGAAAGAAAAGGCAATGTTGGATCACCACAAACAAGTTAAGTCTAAATGATCTTGTAGTAGTAGTTGCTGGTAGGAGTAGTGTTATGTTGTATTGTTATTGGAACTATTGTTGTCGGAACTATTCGGCAGTTTGTTATTTTCTGATTAACTTGGGAATTTTGAAAAAAATTTCAACCCATCTGCTTGAATTTTTGTTTTCCGCAGTTTTAAGGCTTGACAATGAAAAGAATTCTTTAGGCTCACACCCTAAACCATTCGCATAAGCTATTACTATCACAGTCACATTTAAAGCCCTCGTTTTGATTGGGCACAAAAAACATATCCTTTGTTTTGTTAGAGAATCAAATATCTTTCACACGAAAGGCTGCCTCATACCATATGTTACAAGTTATCGAAAAAGTTAAAAATGAAGGTGAATGTGCAACTATTTTGCAATGTTCATGGTTCAGCTAGTATATGAATATAATTCTCGTTCTAAAGACCAGGGAAAATGAGATACATCCATTGACACATTGCATGCATCTGAAGCCCCCTTCTTACATCAGCAGACTACCACGATCCTTCCGCACCAACAGTGGAATTGTTGAAAGATAGGAATCCCTAGAAGGTTTTCAAAGAGGAAGACTGCGAAATTGTAAGGCCATCTTCGATGATTTTAGCTATCTGCAAAGTGAACATTGTCTTGTGTAAATGTACCAAATTTCAACAACCCAAGAAGGCATTTGCTGACTACAGTTTCAGCAAATATTCTGTGGAAGTTAGACACCACCTTCATCTTTTACGTGGAACTGGACACTACTTAACATCAACCTACATAGGGCTAAAGTAAATCCAAGAAAAAGAGTGCAACAATGCAGTGAGGTGAAAATTGAGATGGTCTCTTGCGAACCCCCTTTAGTTGTACCCGCTCAAATAAGTGAGAATCGGAGGTCACTGTGCGGAGAAAAGACACGATCGAGGAAAATGGAAGGAGAGGAGAGAAGGGATGAAGAAGAAGAAGAAGAAGAAGAAGAAGAAGAAGAAGAAGAAGAAGAAGAAGAAGGATGAGTATGAGGTGTTTGAAAACGAGCTGGAGACAGCTGCCTTCAATAGAATTCTCCAATTGAGATGAAGAAGATAAAAAGGTCATTCATCAAAGAGCTACTGGAAAAATGGGGCCCTGAGTCTAGAATCTTAGTAATCAAGAAACATAATAACTAAGGTAAGCCGATAGTCCTTACAAGTGAAGAGGAAGATTTGTAAGAGTATACAACCTTCAAAAGGGTGGAGCTGAGGTGGCTGATGGGGATTGTCCCAGTGACGTACTCCAATAGTTTGAGTGGATATTGAGCTGAAAAGAAAAGGTTTGGGGTTTATGGGACTGAATTATTTAAGGGAGAATTTGTTCTCGATGCGAGGCACTGCTTGGGAGAACTTTATGTTGTTTACTTAGGGTTGGGTGTTGGCTCCCATCACAACTGAGAAAGTTAACCTAAAGTATGCACAATTCTTGGTTAGCGGTGAGTTAAGCATCAAGAACCATAACTGGGCTGGTATGGTGGTTCGAAAGGTAAAGGAGGGGATAACTAAGACTAAAGCAAGCCTTACAAAAATTGGTCAAAGGGGGACATGCATTTTCTGCTAGTAACAAATTCATTATTTTCATAATGAATATTGATTGTAGTTAAACTGAATATTTCCTAGTGTTATATTGAATACACATAGTAGTATTTGTGAATAACTGTGAGTGATATCCTGAAAGAAATGGTTCTAGGTGGTAGAGATGCCGAGGAACAACCTATTCCTGATGTTGTGCCTCTGGCCGAGGAACCTACAAAGAAATAACCTATTTCTGATACTATTCCTCATGTCGAGGAACAACCTGCCAAGGAACAACCCGTTCCTGATGGTTGTGGAAGAGGTAGGGGCAGAAGTGGAGCTGTGGAATCAGAGTGATTTCAGTTTAAGTAACATATAACTTTTGTCCTTAAATTATTGGTAGAGATGAAGAAGAAGAAGAAGAAGGATGAGTATGAAGTGTTGAAAATGAGGTGGAGGCAGCTAGCCTCAATGGAATTCTCCAATTAAAGATGAAGAAGATAAAAAGGCCATTCATCAAAGAGCTGCTGGACAATGGGACCCTGAGTCTGGAACCTTAATATTCAAGAAACACAATAATGAAAGTAAGTCGAAATTCCTTACAATTGAAGAGGAAGATTTGTATGAGAATACAACCTTCCAAGGGGTGGAGCTGAGGTGACTGATAGGGATTGCCTCGGTGATGTACTCAAAGAGATTGAGTAGAGATAGAGCTTAAAGGAAAAGGTTCACGGTATATGGGACTGAAGGATTTAAGGGAGGATTTGATCTCGATGGGAGGCGGTACTTGGAAGAAGTTTATGTTGTTTACTTTGGGTAGGGTGTTGGCTCCCACCACAACCGAGCAAGTTAACCTAAAGCATGCACAATTCTTTGTTGGCAGTGCGTTGAGCATCAAGAATCATAACTGGGCTGGTATGGTGGTTAGAAAAGTGAAGGAGGGGCTAACTAGGGCAAATAGCAAGACATCTAAAAATTGGCTAGAGGGGACATTCATTTTTTGCTGCCGCCAACAAATTTATTGTCTTCATAATGAATACTGATTATGGTAAAACAGAATATTTCTTAGTGTATTGAATACCCGTAGTAGTATTTTTTGAATAACTGAGATTGATACCATGAAAGAAAAGGTTCCAGGTGGTAGAGATGCTGAGGAACAGCCTATTCATGATGTTGTTCCTCTAGCCGAGGAAACTGCAAAGAAACAACATATTCCTGTCTCCTGATACTGTTCCTTATGCCGAGGAATAACATGCCAAGGAACAACCTTTTCCTGATGGTTGTGAAAGAGGTAGAGGCAGAGGTGGAGCTATGGAAATGGAGCGATTTTAGTTCAAGTATCGTACAAGCGTTGTCCTTAAATTATTGGCAGAGATGATGAAGAAGAAGGATGATGATGAAGAAGAAGGATGAGTATGAGGTGATGAAAACGAGGTGGAGGTAACTGGCTTCAATGGAATTTTCCAATTGAAGATGAAGATGATAAAAAGGTCATTCATCACAAAGCAGTTAGAGAAATGGGACCTCGAGCTTGGAAACTTAGTAATCAAGGAACGCAGTAATAAAAGTAAGCTTATAGTCCTTACAATTTAAGAGGAATATTTGTACGAGTATACAAACTTCAAAGGGGTGGAGTTGAGGTGGCTAATAAGGATTGCCCCTGTGATGTACTCCAAGAGTTTGAGCGGAGATTGAGCTGAAAGGAAAAGGTTTGAGGTTTATGGAACTGAAGGATTTAAGGGAGGATTTGATCTCGATGTGAGGCCTTGATTGGAAGAATTTTATGTTGTTTACTTTGGGAAGGGTGTTTGCTCACACCACAGCCGAGAAAGTTAACCTAAAACATGCAAATTCTTGGTTGGCAGTGCATTGAACATCAAGAACCATAACTAGACTAGTATGGTGGTTAGAAAGGTGAAGGGGGGGGGGGCTAACTAAGGCAAAGAGCAAGACATCCAAAAATTAGCGATAGGGGGCAATCATTTCTACTGGTAATAAATTCATTGTTTTCATAAAGAATATTTGTTATAGTTAAACTGAAATATTTCCTTCTATTATACTGAATACACAGAGTAGAATTTGTGAATAACTATGAGATACCCTGAAAAAATGGTTCTAGGTGGTAGAGATGTCGGGTGACAACCTATTCCTAATGTTTTTCATCCTGCCAAGAAACAACATGTTCCTGATGTTGTTCCTATTTTCAAAGAACAAACTGTTCCGAATGGTTTTGGAAAAGGTAGGGGCAGAGATGGAGTTGTGGAATCTGAGAGATTTCAGTTCAATTGTCGTACAAACGATTTCCTTAAATTACTTTAGAAGAAGAAGAAGAAGAAGAAGAAGAAGAAGAAGAAAGATGAGTATGAGGTGTTGGAAAACGAGGGGAAGGAAGCTGGCTTCAAGGGAATTCTCCCATTGAAGATGAAGAAGATAAAAAGGTCATTCAACAAAGAGTTGCTGGATAAATGGGACCCCGAGTCTAGAACCTTTGTATTCAAGAAACACAATAATGAAAGTAAGTCAAAAGTCCTTAATATTGAAGAAGAAGATTTGTACGAGCATACAACCTTCCATGAGGCGGGCTGAGGTGGCTGATAGGGATTGCCCCGGTGATGTACTCCAAGTGTTTGAGCTCAAAGGAAAAGGTTCGGGGTTTATTGGAATGGGGAATTAAGGTAGGATTTGATCTCGGTGGGAGGCACTGGTTGGAAGAAGTTTATGTTGTTTACTTTTGGTTGGGTGTTGGTTCCCACCATAGCTGAGAAAGTTAACCTAAAGTATGCACAATTCTTGGTTGAAGGTGCGTTGAGCATCAAGAACCATAATTGGGCTGATATGGTGGTGAAATAGGTGAAGGAGGGGATAAGGCTAAGAGCAAGTCATTCAAAAATTAACCAGAGGGGGGCGTGGATTTTCTGTCCGTAACAAATTCATTATTTTATAACAAATACTAATTGTAGTTAAACTAAATATTTCCTAGTGTTATACTGAATACACATAGTAGTATTTGTGAATATATGTGAGTGATATCCTAAAAGAAAAGGTTCCAAGTGGTAGAGATGTCGAGCAACAAGTTATTCATGATGTTGTTCCTCCTGCCAAGAAACAACATGTTCCTGATGCACATGAACAACTTGTTGGGGAAAAAACATGTTCATGATGGTTTTGGAAGAGGTAGGGACAGAGGTGGAGCTGTGGAATTGGAGTCATTTCAGTTAGGGCCGGGAAAATAGACCAGACCGTTAGAAAAACAGTGGTCCAAACTGTACCGTACAGTTTGGTCCGGACCGTAGACTCTTAAGTATGGTCTGGTCTGGTCCATGGTATGTACTATTTTATATTTTGATCTCTTGGTCTGGTCTGGTCTAGACCGCGGTTTATCGGACCAAACCGTGGACCCAACTGACTTGTACTAAGATTGAGAGTATCAAAATTATTCATGCATGTTAGGATTAATGATTTAAAGCAAATAACAATTATTTTTCCTGGTTATTGGTTCAATTTTTTGTGTGGTTGACTAAACAAATTATTCATTTTTCGTTGAGTGTGGTCTATCTAGACCTGACCAGACCGAACCAGACCGCACGGGCGTGGTCTGGACCGAACCGTATAGTTTGTGGTCTGGCCCGTGGTCTATACTTTAACCTCTCGGTCTGGACCATAGACTGTATAGATGGTCTGGTCTGGACCAGACCGCACCGTTTCCCAGCCCTAATTTCAGTTCAAGTGTCGTACAAGCGTTGTCCTTAAATTACTGGTAGATTTGGAGAAGAAGAAGAAGAAGAAGAAGAAGAAGAAGAAGAAGAAGAAGAAGAAGAAGAAGAAGGATGAGTATGAGGTCTTTGAAAACGAGGTGGAGGCAGTTGGCTTCAATGGAATTCTCCAATTGAAGATGAAGAAGATAAAAAGGTCATTCATCAAAGAGCTGCTAGATAAATGGGACCCCAAGTTTGGAACCTTATTATTCAAGAAACGTAATAATGAAACTAAGTCGGAAGTTATTACAATTAAAGAGGAATATTTGTACGAGTATACAACCTTCCAAAGGATGGAGTTGCAGTGGCTAATAGGGATTTCCCCGGTGATGTATTCCAAGAGTTTGAGCGGAGATTGAGCTGAAAGGAAAAGGTTCAAGGGTTATGGGACTGAATGATTTAAGAGAGGATTTGATCTCGATGGGAGGCGCTACTTGGAAGAAGTTTATGCTGATTACTTTGGGTTGGGTGTTGGCTATCACCACCCTGAGAAAGTTAACCTAAAGTATGCAAAATTATTGGTTGGCAGTGTGTTAAGCATCAAGAACCATAACTGGTTTGGTATGGTGGTTAGAAAGGTGAAGGAGGGCTAACTATGCAAAAGAGCAAGCCATCCAAAAAATGGCCAGAGGGGGACATGCATTTGCTGCTGGCAGCAAATTCATTATTTTCATAATGAATACAGATTGTAGTTAAAATGCATATTTCCTAGTTGAATACTGAATACACATATAGTATTTGTTAACAACTGTGAGTGATACCCTGAAGGAAAAGGTTCCAAGTGGTAGAGATGCCGAGGAACAACCTATTCCTCATGTTGTTCCACCTGCCGAGGAACCTGCCAAGAAACAACATGTTCCTTATGTTGTTCCTAATGCCCAGGAACAACCTATTTCTGATGGTTGCGGAAGATGTAGGGGCAGAGTGGAGATGTGAAATCAGGGCGATTTCAGTTAAGTGTTCTACAAGCATTATCCTTAAATTACTGGCAGAGATGAAGAAGAAGAAGAATAAGTATGAGTATGTGGTGTTTGAAAATGAAGTGGACGTAGCTGACTTCATTGGAATTCGCCAATTGAAGATGAAGAAGATAAAAAGGTCATTCATCAAAGAGATGCTGGATAAATGGGTCCACGAGTGTGGAACCTTAGTATTCAAGAAACGTAATAATGAAATTAAGCCAAAAGTTCTTACAATTGAAGAGGAAGATTTGTACAAGTATACAACCTTTCAAGGAGTGGAGCTTAGGTGGCTGATAGGGATTGCCCCGGTGATGGACTCCAAGAGTTTTAGTGGAGATTGAGCTGAAAGGAAAAGGTTTGGGGTTTATAGGACTGATGGATTTAAGGGAGGATTTGATCTAGATGGGTGGCGCTGCTTGGAAGAAGTTTATGGTATTTACTTTTTTTTTTGTTAGCTCCCACCACAACCGAGAAAGTTAACCTAAACTATTCACAATTCTTGGTTGGTAGTGCGTTGAGCATCAAGAACTATAACTAGGTTGGTATGGTGGTTAGAAATGTGAAGGATGAGCTAACTAGGGAAAAGAGCAATCCATCCAAAAATTGGCCAGAGGAGGACATGCATTTTCTACTGGCTGAAAATTAATTGTTTTCATAATGAATATTGATTGTAGTTAAACTGAATATTTCCTTGTGTTATACTAAATACACATAGTAGTATTTGTGAATCACCGTGGGTGATACCCTGAAAGAAATGGTTCCATGTGGTAGAGATGTTGAGGAACAACCTATTCCTCATCTATTTCTCCTGTCGAGGAACCTGCCAAGATACAACTTGTTCCTAATGCTATTCCTGGTGCTGAGGAACAATCTGCCGATGAACAACATGTTCTTGATGGTTGTGGAAGAGGTAGGGGCAGAGGTGGAGCTATGAAATCTAAGCGATTTCAGTTCAAGTGTTGTACAAGCGTTATCCTTAAATTACTCGCGGAGATGAAGAAGAAGACGGATGAGTATGAGGTGTTTGAAAACGAGGTGGAGGCGGCTGGCTTCAATGGAATTCTCCATTTTAAGATGAAGAAGATAAAAATATGACCATCTCCCACGCCGGCGACTTCAACCTCGACGAAGCTTCACACAGTCGGTCCAATGCTCTCTTCCTCTGGCTACTCGCTACCTTGCTTCCCTCTGGCTAGATGTGTAATCGAAAGAAGCGAAGAGAGAGGTGAATAAGCGGAGCTGGCCACTAGGAAGAGAAAGAAAGGAGACGAAAGTAGAGAGGAGGTGAGATCGAGAGAGGGGTTTCGTTTTCTTATCTTTACTATCTATAATTTTTCTAGTATCAGAAGAGACGAGAGAGAGGAAGAAGTGATTTTGGGATGGAGAGGTGGGCGCTTTAGGGTTTATAATAGTGTTATATATGCTAAGGCAAATTACTAAATGGTACATCTAAAGCAAGTTTTATTTCAGTCATTAAATTGTCTAGTAAGTAATGGTTTAGTGTATATTATATTTCTTTTACTTATATTATCTATTATAAGGAACCGTTCATCAACGAGTTTTAAACGATCTAATATCGGTTAAACCATTAAAGTGTGAGCCAATAGTGGTTCATGCTCGGGTTCGGTTTTCACAATGTTGGGGATACGGCACAGGAGCTGACTCGGTCACACAACCACGAGAAGAAACCGAGACCTTACGGTTCCACAGTTAAGGCAAGGAACGGTTGAAGATAGTTACCCACAGAAGGAAGAACACAAAACGATGTCGTATCACTGACAAGAGCTTGTGTCTCAAGACGAGCCTTACCAGAGTGGCAGAGTCCATGCCTCCCACTTGCTCAAACGTCACTTCGCATTTAATGACCACACAACGAATTAAAGCCTATAAATAGAGCATTTACTCCGATGGGTGAGGGGATCGATTTTCTGACATTCTCTCTACAACTGTAAACTTCTCTCTCTACATATCTTCTCTCCCAATTGCTTGTAACCCTCTGAAGTATTAAAGCGATCATTCTTTCACTCGCACCCCAATCTCTCGTGTCACACTCCTACTCTCAGTTTGACACAAACACACAACATTAGTGAAATGATATATTCAAGTCAACCCCTAATCTAGGCATATTAGTAAGAGGGGATGAAGAGATTAACTAAAGGGCTTCTTTTTCCACAGATTTGAGAGATGGATGAAGTCATGTTGCTCTAGGTGATATGACCATTGCTGTAGACCGTAGTAGCAATATAAGAGGAATCCGACATCATAAAGTGAAAAAACATCACATTCGTATCGAAACCCAAGTCTATCTAGGGCAAAGGGGAAGCTAGCCCTAAGTGCCTCTCCTATACTCGAACCAAAACTCTCGATAGTCACTCCATTAGTCTAGAATACTCCCAATAATCGTTAGATTAAATAGTAAATTAATCATGAAGTAACAGTAGATCCAAGACCTCGTGGAATACGAACCTAACCGCTTAACGATGCCCCTAGTTTTATTATACTTGGGGATGTTAGGATAGAAGTGAGTGTTTCGATCGCAATTAATATTGAGGTTTAACTCGAATCCATCCAGTAATTACCACACTAATTTCCTAATTATGCTAACTTCTTTTGTCAAAACCAACTCAATACAAAATTTTCACAGCCGGCAGCGTAAATTACCCGTTATCGGATCAGGTTAATTATCCATTGCGATCCGATCCTATTGATCCCCTCCCTCGTATTCTCCATTCAGTACGAGCGGGGAAGCTTGAGGTGGAGCAACAAGATCAAGATCAACCAACGCAAAATGGCCTCGGAGCCCCCGCCTTTCCAAGAAGCCGATCATTGCGACGTTTGCCACTGCGGCTTCAACACTTTCCGCCGCCGGGTAAATTCTCATCCTCTTCGATTGTTCTTTCCCGTCTACTCAATACGAGATCACTTTTATCAACAATGAAACTGAGCTGAATCAACCGAATGAGTGGCATCAATGGCAGAGCATATAATCAGCTGCCCTTGAATGGGCGATTTCTGTAGATCAGGATTAGTGAGTATTTTTTTCGTTTTTCTTTTAATACGATTAGTGAATTGCTACCGGTCAATCGCTTGGATAATCTGAAGTGCCATTCGGTTTGATACCCAAAATGTTACTTCGATCATTCTGTTGTTGTGGGAAGATATCTTGAACCTGCAACATCTGTTTGGTTATGCACAACTCTTGCTGAAGTTATCCTCGGTTGTTCATGTTGCAGCACCATTGCCGCTGTTGTGGGAGAACTTTGTGTCACGATCACTCCTCAAATCAAACGGTTTTAAACTTTTATTTTAGTTACTTTGCAGCTTGGTCGGTGAGGGTTTTCGCCCCCTTTTCTTTGTACTGAGTAGATACTAATTGGTTACCTTTCTTATTGCATGAGCATTCATCCAGACTTTACCGCAATTTGGAATCTACACCAATGTCAGAGTTTGTGCTGATTGTTTTGACAATGCTACACGGTGAGTCAGTTCTCATTGGAGCTTCTTCTTGGTCTTGTACAAACTTCAAATTTATAGCAACAAAGGTCGAGGCAATTATGTCTGAACTAGTTTAGATAAATTTTTATGGGACCCAGCTCAAGAGATATGAAACGGGGAATACTATTGTTTACTTTCGAGTTTGATTAATGTTAGACGGTAATCTCTTGGAGTGGGCAATGTGTGATTATCCTATTTGGATCAATGCAGTAGTTTCTGCATCATTTTAGTTTGTATAAAAACGTGCAGTAGTTTCCGGGAAGGTTTATAACAACAGAATCCCAATATTGTAGTTTAAAACTGAATCAGATGGGCACTAATTTAATGACATTATTGCAGTTATACACTTGCTTCTTCATTCTTACATGTTGGCATTGGTAGTTTTGTCTTCCTACCTAGAAATCACTAAGATGACTAAGTTTTCTCATGTATTCACCATGACAATCACTATGATGATTAAGTTTTTCTCCTTTTTGTTTAAAGGAAATCTAAAGATGAATGCAATGAAGTTTTAAATTTGAAAACCTACAAAGGTTCTCTTTCCTTTTCCTTGTCCATGAAATAAACATGAGAATGTTGCCTTTCTCATCCTCTTACCAATCGAGAGTAGAATCCATTCCCTGTAGAGGAAACTAACAAATAGGGGTGTTTTCTTACTGAAGGTGGAGTGGAAGGCTAATCTCTTCTCCCTGGATTCTGGGCCATAGTTAACAGAACTGTGAAATCAGGGGTTAATTATATTTACCCTTATATTTAACTGACAACCGCATAATTTCTTTTACTTTGTTCAACTCTAGAGGGTTACTCTTTGGAGAAGCTGAAGGAGGGTGATTTCTCTGGGAGTCGGTGGGTGAAAATAGGGACCATGGAAAGAAATCGATGCTGGAAGAAGGCTAACTATTGTTTTACTTACATGGGTTTAACTTCACATGTTTTGGTCAACACTATACTTGGACTTGGACAGGGACAGGTTGAATTTGGAACATATTTTTAAGTCTGTAGTAACCTTTTTTCAATGACGGAAAGTTCTCGTTGACCAGTTAATATCAAACCTTGTGTCTCACTTCTCTTCCGGTTCTCATCCAATGCTCAAACCTGATTACCCTAGGCAATTGATTCTTCAGAGGCTCTCAAGCATAGTTGAGTCTGAACTATTAAGCTTAACATCCAATTGTCATGTGTCGGGCAGCTAGTGCTTGATTGAAAACCTTTCATTGCCCGAAATCCTGAGTTCTGAATATTGAAGACGGTTGTGGGAAGAGGTGATCTGTTCGTCCGTGGTTTCTTTTGGATCCTTGTGGAGCCAATTCTCCATATCTTCTTTCCAAAGACGGCAGATCTTGTCAAATTGGAGTGCTTTACTGAAAACTGCTGTACTCAGTGCAAGATAGCTCCCATATCAATTCATGTTAACCACCTTGTGGTTGTGGAAATAAGGGATTCACTCCTTGAAAAATAAGTTGTTGGGAATGCTTGAGTCCATCCATTTTTATTACCTTGTCTGCATGCTGCCTGACGTTAAATCCACATTTTGTGCTGTCATTATGCCAATGTGTCATCCGTTTATTGGTTATGTAAGCCATACTTTATTTAGCCAACAAGTTCCCACATACAGCATTGGTATATTAACATATTCATTCATTTCATTTGGCTCAGATCAGGGGCAGGCAATCATCAGGCTACTTCTGATTCTGTGAATTCCATAACAGATCAAGTTTCCAGATTAGACGTTGGGGCAGAGGTTGAACCAATAAAGAATCCAAGTGCACAATATCAGTCTCATGCAACTGTTATAGATTGCAAATGTGGAATGCCTTTATGCATATGTGAAGCTCCAACTGCAACTACTGAAACAGTTCCACCTCAGGTGTGAAGTATATTGGTTTAAGAAACCAACTGCCCGTGGCAGATTTCTTCGCTTTGACCCCTAAATAGCTAAATTTATTATGTTGTAGGCAAAAGCAACGTCAACATCTGCTTCATATTCAAATCCAAAGCCCCGGAAGATAGATGTCATTCCTAAAAATAGAGCATCCAGTTCCAGTAACAAGCCTAGGTTTGTCTTCTTAGCATTTCAAACCAATTTTCTTCCATCAAATGAGGAATTTGAGGTGAATGTTATGTTATATCTTTAGCCTAATATTTGTAAAGAAACAAAGACTTCCATACTCGGGTTATTTATGTTTGGTATTTGTTTATTTGTTATACATCCTGTGCACTCTTCATTCAAGTGTTGCTGTAAAAGCTGGTGACTTGAAACTCTATATGTGGTTATGCTTTCTAAATTCTCAAATATTAACCAAGTAGTCTTTTATGCAGTTCGGTTTTCAACCATGGCCAGATGAACAATGGCCTTGCAGATAAACCTCAGCTGAACTATGAAGCTAGTGGGGAGGTATCTCCTATGTTAAACTGTTGCAGGCATCAATTCATCAAATTAACTTTCTACGTCCGTTTTTTGTTTGTTTTATGAATGAATTTCAACGCCCTTTCTCGCTTTAAATTGTATTGCATGTTCATAGGGTTTAAGGGAAGCCATAAAGAATGATGATTCTGCTGCTGTAAGGAAACTTATCAGCCAGGTACTAATCATCTCTTTCATTAATAATCCTGTATACAATTCTGAAAGCTTGAGTTTAGTGACGCAGCATAAAATTGTCATATTGGCAGGGTGTAGATGCGAATTATCAGGACCGGCAAGGAATGTCTCTGCTACATCTGGTAAGCTCCTCCCCACCCTTCCTTCAGAAGAGGTATATATATCCTTGCTACTTGTTAATGTCAGTACTATTTTTGAACAAATAGTGAACTAGCTTGATGATTTGTTGTTTGTACTCTGTAGGCTGCTGTATTCAACCGAACCGACATTGTTTTTATCCTAATGGAATCTGGTGCAAGCCTGGACTGCAGAAATGCACAAGGTAAATTTACATATATTCCACATTTGTATCACCTAGTTCTTTAGTCAAGTTGTTAGGATTGCTTGAGTGGCAATTGAACTAGAAAGCCACACAAGGATGGAAGAGGAACACATTCATGAACCACAGACGTTGGACATGTCAATTGACAGTGCATGCGTGTTGGTTGTTGTCAAAAGTCTGCTTTTACAGATTACTTCCAGGTTGGCAAAGATAGAGTTCGTGGGGTGTCCCAGATTCTCTTAGTTGGCTGCTATTATTGAAGCTTGAACATATCTAGGTCCTAGGAAGGCACATCACGCTTTTCCAGGCTTGCAATGTCTTATATTTACTAATAATAAGCTAAGGGCTTGTTTCCATGAAAAGACGATATTGAGGAAGACATGTGTTGCAAGGTGTAGGGTGTGGTAGGTCAGGTTTTATTTTCTTTCTTTTGGCTTGGCTTGCCTCATCCTGACCCACACTGGTGGTTTTGATAGGGGAAACTCCACTTGACTGTGCTCCCGCAACGCTGCAATACAAGATGAGAAAGAAAATAGAAGAAAGTGGGGAGAAGGACCCGCAGATCAGCGTTTGAGATCCCTCCATCCATCCATCCATCTTTATATCTTTGACCTACTTTGTGCAAATTGTATGTTTCTCCGAAAGCCACTTTGGATGATTGAGTGCAGCATGACGCGGGGAGGATGTTGGATGTGTGTATGAATGGTCGTACATTCGAGTCTACACCTTCCCCCAAACGACACAAGCTGCTACTGTGCTATATGTTTTAAGCATATCCATGTTTGAATTACAGGGCCAGAACGTTTCAAGAACAAGGATTGGTGTTATTATACGTTCATATTGTATGATATGAACAGACCTTAATGTTGTGCAGTTGTGACTTGTGCCATGTGCAGTTGGTTAAGGGTGTTTGGTTTTGGATGGGATGTGAGTCGGATTGGTGGGATTCAGATGTGGAATGGGGTCTATCTGTCGGGTTCCCTTTCGGTGTCGTTCTGCTTTCTTCTTTCACAGTTTACTTTAATCTACTAGTAAATTAGTTATCTTCCTAAAGAATGACGACATTTATCATTCATTTTTTTCTTTCTTTCTTTGGCTTTACATGTTATGCTGACCAATTCACAGGTGGAAAGTAGGGTTCTTGTACCCGGCACAAAAAAAAAAAAAAAAAAAAACGTGCCAGAAGAGGATTCACAGAAATTGGCCGGGTGGGGTAAAGAATGAATATCTTAACAGCATCTTAACAGCATATTCTCCGACTTGCATTTTCATGACCACTATTTCATTTCCTTTTGTTGTTCCTTCTATGAATCTGCATTTTGATGAGTATGCGTGCGTTTTGCACCAACAAGCTCATCTCTGTATCTGACGCCAGCTGCTGTGGCCGGGGACCAAGCTTTTGGCTGGGGGCTTTCTATCTTTGGAGGAAAAAGGAGAGAGGGAGATAGGAAAGAAGACGCGGAGAACACAGCAAGGAAGTAATGCTCTTGCTTTTGCTACTACGTCAATTTTGTTTTTATTTATAACAATCCCCGTCTCATGAAAGAATCTTCAGTTTACAACTCCTCTCTTGAATGCTTTTTTTTTTTTATCTATACAAGAATTGGAACATTCATTCATTTCCAAAATCAGTTACAACCATAATCCCATCACACATGGGCCGAAATAAGTTCACGAATAGTGAGTCAATCACGAGGGAGAGAAGAGCAAGCTTGAGAACGAGTCGTGCAATTCGCACTCGAAAGTCCATACTTCGAAGGATGCCACGAATCCCTACCAACGTCGTCGAATCCATGACTCTACGTATTGTTGTCATCGTTGAAAAACAGCGAAAATGACCAAGATTTCAAATCATGTACTCCGCAATCCAACCAAACCACACATGACAAATTGCATTCTTAACCTTTTTTATTTATTTTTTTGAATGATTCTTAAAACTATTTTCAACCCTTTTAAGAGAGTTTCATAATTGTTGACGATCACGATGCCATATAAGCTCTAAGCTCCCTCTCCTGAGTTCCAGCAACTTCTCCTCAACGATGACGTCAGCAACAATCATAATAATGCTCTTACATTTTCTTGACGATGGAATTCGAATATGAATGAAGATACTCCAAATCCCAACTCATCCCCACTTGTCCTCACTCCTCCCTGCTGCTTTAGTTCATAAAACAACATAAAGCAACACTCTGCTCATTATAAAAAGAAAGCAAATGTGAAAGAAAATGGCTCCCACCGCCATCGTCATCCCCCACTACCACCAGTCCACCACCATCTCCTCCTCTTTATAACCATCCCCGCCTCCTTCACTGAATTCCCCCCTCTTCTCTCTTCTTCCTCTTTCCCCTCCAATCTCTTCCTAGGGTTTGTTTCACCATTGTTGGTTCCCCCCATCTCTTCAATTGATGCTATTATGGGCTTCTTCGCCGAAGATTCAGGCCTAATCGTGACCCATCTCCTCTACAAGGCAGCCCTCGTCCTCGCCCTCCTCAGATGCGCTCTCTCCTGGGCTCTCAAACTCTGGCCCACAGCCGCCTCGCCGCCTTCCCCCCGCCGCCCTTCTCCTCAACAGATCAGCGACCGCCTCATCCTCACCACCTTCGCCGACGTCCTGGAGAGGAGGAGGGACCAGGACGAAACGGCGGCGTCTTGTGCCGTCTGCTTGAACCAGATGAATCCGGAGGACGAGGTGAGGGAGCTCCGCAACTGCTGCCACGTCTTCCACGGCGACTGCATTCACAGGTGGATCGATCACGAAGTGGATGATGATCAGGAGGAGGAAGGCGACGAGAGTAATCACCGGACTTGCCCGCTCTGTAGGACGCCGCTGCTGACGGCGGCCCAGAGCGCGGTGGCGGAGCAGCAGCAGCAGCCCAGCTGGGCGGTGGAGAGAATACTTTACCTTTTCGGGGATGACCTGCTTGTCTCTTGATTATTAATTAATTAATTGATAATTTTTTTTTTATTGTTGTTGTCATTTTGGCGTGGGAATGAAGTTGTTGTTGCGGGTTGGCCCAAAAGATCATCACTTGATTGATTTTCAGTGGGGGGGAAGCAATTTTTGTACATTGTGGATCTTATACACAAATTTAGGAATATGTATATATGTTTATGTCCAGCTTTTGAGTAGATCAAAATTTCATGAATGATTGTCATTTTTCTAACCAATTGGATTGGAATGTTTTAGCCAATTCCTGTGAAATTAAGGATGAAAATGGGATGCAAACTCCTTGGCAGAACACTAATCCATCCCTCAAAGACGATTGATCTCCCTACTTTTCTTTGCAGTTATTAGTCAATTTGCAATCAAATCTCCGACTCTACCGCGTATCTCTTGCATTGACATCTCCTCCTCTTCGAAAATTTTCTAGTATTATTCTCTTAACATTGTCCAATATATCGTGTGTAAATGTACCTTTGAACACTATTCCAATGGACCATCAAGTTGATTTTGTGGTCATTCATTGATCAATGTTGATACCAAGGGCAGAACCAATATTTGATGGTCGGAGGACCGGAGTTAACTAGTATATAATTGAATAAAGAAGAAAAAATAGTAAGTATAGTATTGAAAAGAAATTTATAAGTATAATTTATTTAATAATATTGTTATGGTACAATATGCTATTTGAGATTAAAAAATCACTTAAACGAGAATATTAAATAAATTTTATAAATTTCATTTTTAAGCAAATGAGTAAACTAAGAACAAAATTAGGCATAAATCTTAATGAATAAGATGTTTCGGAAGTAATTCCATAACTGAAAATGAATGTCATTAATATTATTGTTTAAAAAATAAGTGATTAAACAAATTAACAAAAATTTAATTAAAATACGAATTTAAAAATGGAAGAATTTTATTGACCTACTTTGAAAGGACAAGACTTATTAAAAAAGTTGAAATTAAATGATTAAATTTATTTTTTTGCCTTTTTATAATGTTAAGAATACTAAAAAAACATTTGGCCAAAAATCAAATTTAGGTAAAAAAAATTAAGCAATCAATCATACAACCAAAAAATCCCTGAAAATACAAATTTAGGTAAAAAAATGGTTAAATTAAACTAACTAGGTAAAAAATGGTAGAAAGGGCATGTAAACTAAAAAGTAGAAAGTAAAGAGTTATCGGGGAAAACTAACAAGGTAAAAAGGTAACAAATGTACTCTTCTCTGAAAATCGAACCCTTATCCAGACTTTTTTTTTACAAGAAGCTGCATATATTGCATTTCAAAAGTGAGTACAAAGTTTAGGGTAAAACCCATGGAAAGATACAGCAGAAATCAAATGGGAAAAAAAAAAGGCACAAATAAAGCCCTAACAAATGTTTCAAAAGAAAGAAAAAATGAAGCCCAAAACTCAGAGCCCGCAAAGTGAGCCCAATTAACCCTACAAACAACTACCAACACCAACCCTAGCTACCATCTCTTCTCCAACCTGCCGCCGCCAACCATACGAACAGAGCCGCCGAAAACCAATCGTAGACTACCAGCTCACCATGCAGCGACCGGACCAACGCCACAACGGGAGAACAGCAGTCCGCGAGGAGCCCGGAGACCACGAAAACGACAACGAACAAGCTTGGAGAAAAGAGACGAGCTTCAGACTGATGCAACCCTGCCTTCAACATCTTAGAACCGCATCCAGGCCGCTGCATATGAGAAGGCCTTTGCATCTCCGAAACCCCGACTCAATGGGTGAAGCAAGGAGGTAGATGATAGGTAAGAAGATGAGAAGACAGGCTACCAATCAAAGATCTATAGCCCCCTTTGACCACCGAGCGAAAGAATCAAGCACATCTAAATCTGAGGATCAGAAGTAGAGGTTGGAACAGGAGACATCCATCTCACAAGGAGTGGCAGAAAGAAAACCCCAGAGATGGGCATGAAGGCGAAACGGAGATCTGGACAAGGAAAAACGAAACATGCACTGAAAAAGAAAATGGAACCAAGCAAAATAACAAGCAGGAAAGGTAAAAGGGTTGGAGGGCCGCCGTCGGTCCCAAAGGGAAGCCGAAGGCAGCCCCATGGAGGCTTGAATCTGAACTCTAACTTAGAGAAGGCAGAGAAGGCAATTGTGCTAAGAGAGAGATATCGACATAGAAGTGGAGTAAGGAACTTTATCCAGACTTACTCTAGTGTAAATTTCTTATGTACTGCCACCAAATTTAATGTACCTTTGTAATACTCAGTTTCTACGTAATTTTTTTAAACACATATATTTTTTTATATGTGATTTAAAAATTCTCGAGAGCGCCCCCGAGGAGCCACCTAGCGTCGCCCCTAGTTGATACATCTGCTAAGGTGAAAGGCCGACTCTTACAAACAACCTCAAAATTTTCTACCCTTCCTCTGCAAATCAGCATCTCGTAAATAAATTATTGGGTTAATTGCATATTTGGTCATTGGATTTACTAAAAACGTTCACGTTTGGTCACTACAAATACTTAATTCCATTCGTGATCACTAAGATTAGTTCAATAGTTCAAGTTTGGTCACTCTCCGTTAGTCGCCGTTAACTTTTGCTGATGTAGCAGTCAATCTTCATAGTTGATCGTTAAATAAATGACGTGACAATTACAAATTAATCAAAAAGGTAGTCGTACTGGAAGGTGCGGCTGGATCACCTTTTCAAGGAGAGGTAATTCTTGTTGGGTATTTTGGTTAAAATTTTAAATTTAAAGTTTCCACATCATTTTCACAACTATTAAAAAATAAAAATAAAACTTAATTTCTATCCCCCTCCTACCAAATCTAACCTCCTCCTCTGTTTCTCCCCTTCCCTATTTTCACAGCTCTAGCAAATCAACGCATCGGCCCACGCGCTCGTCGGCTACCAGCAGCGGCGTGTCGTCGTCCTCTCTTTCGTCTCCCGGCGTGAGCAGTGGCGGACCTAAGGCATTGCAGGGTGTGTCGTCCGACACACCCTCGCTCGAGAATTTTATGAAGGACCTACATATTTTTTGTACAAATTTTTTTACTTCGGGATAGCCGACACACCCTCAATAATTATAGCCGACACACCTTCATTATACTCGAAGAAATTATTATCCAAATGAATCAATCTTAATCATAATCCTTTTTAATTTTGTTTAAAATAACTCATAAAGCATAATCCTATCATTCCTATTAAAAAAAAACACTCTTAGCACATACAATATACATGTGTCATGTGTGATCAGTGTTGGGCCTGAGCCTTTAATTAAATGAGAAAAGAACCCACAGGCCAAAAGCCCAGTCGGCCACTAGCCCACTACCTCCCCATTATTATTCCTTCCCTCCCCACCCCAATTAATGGCCCAATCTCCCCAATTAATGGCCCAATGCCATATTCCTTGTCAATATCTCAATTCCGAGCAACCCATCCCCATTATTCCCCCTGGTTCCATCTTCTCTCGCTCGCAAAACCCCCCCAGACCCCAGACGAACAAAAAACCCAGACAAAGGCAGAACGGGCAAGTCGGCACGGCAACCCATCTCGGCCTCGGCGGACAAGACCTAACATGAATGACTTGTTCACTCTTGCTGGAAGAACAAGACGTAGCACTCCTCATCAGCCTAAAAACTTGCATTACTATCAAGTCGATTTATTATATATATGCAGTTATAGATTTGCAGCTGCAAGAATTGAATACTCGATTTGGTGAGGTGAACACTCGATTGTTGGACTGCATTTCTTGTTTTAGTCCAGCTAACTCTTTTGCTTCTTTTGATAAAGCAAAGTTGATGAGTCTTGCTGAGTTTTATCCCGAGGAGTTTCCATCCAATGTGCTCTCACGACTTCATCAACAATTGGGGGCTACATTTCTCATGTCAAGGAGGATAAGAGCTTTGATGGATTGCGAGGAATCGACGAGCTAGCTAGGAAATTGGTGGAAAGGGGAAAGGACACTCTTTATCCTTTAGTTTACTTGCTGTTAAAGTTGGTGTTGACCTTACCTGTGGCAACTGCAAGCTGCGAAAGAGCATTTTCAGCTATGAAGATAATCAAGAACGATCTTCGAAATCGGTTGAGTGACCAATTTATGAATGATTGTTTAGTTGTGTATATTGAAAAAGATTTGCTTTGCAGCATAAGTGATGAATGTATTTTAGAGACATTTCAGCAGATGAAAAGTCGTCGCGGTTCGTTGTAAACATGACATTGTGAACTTTATGAATTAATTTCTTTTAATTTTAACTTAATTTTTAATTTAATTTAATTATTATTTTATTTTATCGGCGACACACCTCTCCGACAATCCTGGGTCCGCCACTGGGAAGTAGTCATCGTTTCGATCCGTCTCATTTTTCAAACAACCTCTAACAAAGAGCTTCAACCAATGCAGATTGATCTCCATGGTGACATCTCAGGCTTTCTATCGACTCATCCACAAGCCCCTTTGGTAACCCTCCACCACTTCGACGCCATAGATCCAATCTTCCCATCCATGGACCACCCTCAGGCCATTCGACACCTCATGAAAGCAGCAGAAGTCGACCAATCTCGTCTCTCACAACAGACTATCTGCTATCACAGGCAGCGCAACTGGTCTCTCTCGGTTTCCTGGGGATACTCTGCTTACATATACGAGAACATCATCCCTCGAAGCACTTTGATCAAGCCCCTCGAGACGTTCAAGGCATGGGTTAGGAACACTAAGTACCCGGCTTTCATGTTCAACACGAGGTGGCTGAATGGCAATGCTTGCATGTTGAGGATATTAATTACTTAGTCAAAAAGTAATTAATTCCTTGTCCTACAAGTCTCTAGTTTTCCTTGTTCAAGTAAAAGAAGGAAACTTGGATGTCATTATGGTTTTAACCCTACGTCTATCTCTATATAAGCTTAGCTACGAGATTTTCGTAAGCAAGCCGTTAAGATGTAGTCCTCAAATAATAAAATGTCAGTCGTGAGCTCTTTCGAGCTCACCGTGGATTAGTCTCGATCAATCAATCGATCGAGGATACCACGTAAAATCTCGTGTTCTTGTTATTTTGTACTTCCGCGTAATCAAATTCTACATGGTATCAGAGCGAACCTCGATCCATTGTTAGGGTTTGCGCTTCTGTCCTCTTTTCGGTTCTTCTGCGCACTCCTCATCATGTCCGACGAGTCCGCATCGGAGTCGAAGGGATCTGTCCTCCCTGATGTCATTGATCGTCAAGATGAAGTTCGGTCTTTCAGCTTTTATGCTGAAGTTTGTTCGGTGGTCACACTTAGGCGAAGGTTCACCACTGTTGATTGGGATGAGAAGTCTAGCTCTCCATACGTTCCAGTCAACCCATCGTTGGTTGGGTATCCGGTTCCGTCCTGAATCGTTGGCCAGCGAAGTCTCATCACCGCTTGGAGCAATCCTACCGTCCAATCACTACCGCTTCGCCGACTCAGTCATCCGTCCAATCAAGTTTTCTTTTGGATTTTGTTGCTTAATGCAGTCCCGATGTCGGCTTGCAACAGCGCCGACGCTAGTCCGGGTAGTCGTCGCATCCCGTCAAAGTCACCATTCAAGTCCACCAAGTTCGTCCGCTTGATGCTCCTGGTCGGTTGTTTAGCCCAGTTCCGAATCTATTAAACGGAGTCAACCGTTGCGGGCTTGCGGCCGGGTCATCTTCATCAAACACTCCTAGCTGCCGCCTAGTTACTTCTGTAACTGTTTGGAGACAGGTTCAATCCAAGGCATTCACCGGCATTGTGTTTTGTCGAGAATCCTTGTCGTCATCACCGGATCATCTTCATCATGGTCACGAAGAATTCGAGAATTACAATGGGTTCTTCACAACTCATGGAAATCCAACGTCAGTTATAAATTGTGGCAATTCAAGGTGTTTTGTGACTAGTGTTCATTGCAAGCTAGCTTGCCGTTTGCTCGGCATCGCGATCCGTGTCCACCAATTGGGGTCCGTCATTTCTCAATTTGGTTCGGATTCACAGTGTCCGCTTCCATTGTCTCAATGTAGGATGTCAATTCAGTTTGGACTTTGGACATCAACGTCACTTTCATCAAGTCAAGGAGTTTTAAATAGCACGCTTCTCCAATTTGCTTCCCATAAGTTTTGTGTCTCCCAGCTACACCCCTCACCTCAATGCGCCAGGTTGTTAGTCACTATCATCATCAACAATCAGGTTTCGTTTAAGGCAGCATGGTTGTTCAATTCACGTTGTACTGTTGATGTCAAGTTCAAGGTTCAGCTTCAGTGGTTCTGTTCTGTCAAGGAGTCTTATTGTCATTCAAACCATATCGTTCTCATCAAAGTCACAAAGCCGCCTACCAAAGGAAGTCAAGCTTTGTGCGTTGCAGGATTGGAGAAAAGGTTTCTTTCACTAGGCTTGGTCAGGAACGTATGATTCTTCTCAAGGGGCGAGGCAGTCACGATCAAAGAATCAATCGTCCCCTCCGTGTTCAGAATCGGTCAACTTGCTATTCTAACTTTCAAGCTGAGCATTCACATCGTTCATGCTCCCGCTTGAGGGGGAGAATAGGAAGTCAACATAACGTCGGTATACTAGCTCAACATCAAGTCGACCGTGTCTATCTATCAGTCAAGTTGCATGGAGAAGCACAGTCTGAGTCATGTAAATTTCTTCCTCCAACTCTCCATGTAGGAAAGTTGTCTTCACGTCTAGTTGCTCGAGCTCCAAGTCATAATGTGTCACTATTTCTAGTAGCACTCTGATCGAAGTATGTCTGACCACTGGTGAGAAAATCTCATTGTAGTCAACTCCTTCCCTCTACGAGAAGCCTTGTGCAACCACCCGAGCTTTAAATTTCATGCCCTCTTTAGAAGTGATTCCTTCCTTCTTCTTGTAGATCCACTTGTTTGTAACAATCTTCCTTCCCTGTGGTCGTTTGACTAGTTCCCAAGTCTGATTCCTGTCATGGGATTCCATCTCATCTCCCATTGCGGCAAGCCACTGATCAGCTTCACCACCCAAAACTGCTTCTCTATAGGACTGTGGCTCTCCTGAATCCACTTCCTCAGCAACCTGAAATGAATACGCCACCATGTCCTCGAAGCCATACCTCTGTGGAGGTACTCCTGCAGTCTCTCTCTTCGGTCTACCAGAAGCAATAGACTGTTGAGCTCGTGCACTGGACTTTGAAGTTTCTGGCTCTGCATAGACATCCTCATCATGTTGATCTTCTCCACCTTGGTGCTCAAACTCACTCTCATTGAGAGTTTGCAGCTCCACCTGCTTATCAACATTCCTGCTACCTTCAACAACAATAACCTTCAACATGGGGTTAAACATAGACTTCTCATCAAATATCACATTTCTACTGAGTATAACTCGATGCTCAGAAGGTGACCAGACTCGAAATCCCTTAACTCCATCTCCGTAACCAACAAATACACCCTTCTTTGCCCTTGGGTTCAGTTTACCCTCATCCACATGATAATAAACAGGACACCCAAAAACTTTCAGTGAAGAGTAATCAGCAGGCTTACCATACCACACCTCATAAGGAGTCTTCAACTCGATACCTGTGTGAGGTCCACGGTTGATCAGGAAGCACGCCATGTTCACTGCTTCTGCCCAGAATCTTCTCTCTAGTCCAGCATTAGAGAGCATGCACCGTGCTCTCTCCAACAATGTCTGGTTCATCCTTTCTGCAACGCCATTCTGATGGGGTGTATCTCTAACAGTCCGATGACGGGCAATCCCTTCATCCTTGCAGAATTTGTTGAACTCAGAATTAAAGAACTCCAGACCATTGTCCGTTCGCAGCTTCTTGATCTTCTTCCCGGTCTGATTCTCCACCAATGTCTTCCACCGCTTGAACTTCGTGAAAGCCTCACTTTTCTGCTTCATCATGAAAATCCAAGTAAATCTCGAATAATCATCAATAATAGACAGAAAATACATGCTGCCTCCATTGGATTCAACTCGTGAAGGACCCCAACAATCGGAGTGGAGGTAATCCAGTATCCCCTTTGTCCGGTGGATACCCTTCTTGGGAAACTTGCTGCGATGTAACTTCCCAAACACACAATGCTCGCAGAATTCCAAATTCTGCACCTTGTGCCCGCAAAGAAGATCCCTCTTCGATAGAACTTGCATCCCTCGTTCACTCATATGCCCCAGTCTCATGTGCCAGAGAGTGGTCATATCTTCCTGATGAACCTGAGACGATGCAACTGCAGCAGAACCAGACAACACAGACCCTTGTAATGCATACAAGGTCCCACGCTTCACGCCCTTCAGCACCTTCCGTGAACCTTTGCAGACATACACAACTCCACCTTTTCCTTTGAAGCTGAAACCCTTGCTGTCGAGTAGACTCAAGGAGATCAGGTTCTTTGTCATTCGTGGAACATGCCTGACATCATTCACGGTACAGAACGAACCATCATGTGCCCGAATCTTTATGGACCCGATTCCAACAACCTTGCAGACAGCTCCATTAGCCATGACCACGTTACCACCATCTATCTGCTCATAGGCTGTGAAGCAATCCCTGTTCGGAGACATATGGTATGAGGCTGCTGTATCCAGAAACCACACATCCCCATGATGTGCCTTCTCATCTACAGCCAAGGCGAGATCGTCTTCAGAACTGTTGTCCACTTCTGCCACGGCAACTGAACCTTGTTTCTTCTATTGTCCTCTTCTCTTGGGACAGTTGTACTTCCAATGCCCCACTTCCTTACAGTTGTGACAAGCATCACCTGGCTGTGGACCGGGACCCTTGGAATTCTTGTTCGAATGCCCTTTACCAGATTTCTTCTTTCCCTTTCCACCTGTAACAGCCAAACCCGATGCCTCACCACCTATACCAGAACCAGACGCCTTATTCCTGATCTCTCTCGTATGAAGAGCAGACCTGACATCCTCCAACGACACGCTTTCTTTACCAGCAATAAAAGAATCAACGAAATTCTCATATGAACTCGGCAAAGAAACCAGCAGGATTAGGGCAACATCCTCGTCATCAACTTGAACATCTATATTACGCAGATCCAGCAAAATAGAGTTAACCTGTTCGAGATGTTCCCTCAAAGGCGTACCTTCTTGCATCCTCAAGCTGAACAACCGTTGCTTGAGATGCAGCTTGTTGGTTAGAGACTTAGTCATGTACAGACTCTCTAGTTTCAACCACAAGCCCGCGGCAGTCTTCTCAGTAGCGACTTCAATGATGACGTCATCAGACAATGATAGCATGATGGTCGAGTGGGCCTTCTCCTCCAGGGTATTCCACCCATCGTCATCGACCGCTGCCTTCTTCTGTTTCGCAGACAGCGGCCCCACAGCCCTTGCTGTTTCAATAAAGCTTGCATCTTGATCTGCCATATAGCGAAGCTGTTCTTCCCGGTGAACTTTTCGATCTTCATATTCACCGACGTCATTCTTCTGAATCGAAAACCCTAGCCTGATTTCCAACCGCGGCTCTGATACCACTTGTTATAAACACGCTGCTACGGATCAGGAAATCGCCGGAATCGACAAAGCGAGAATACGAAAGCGAGAATCGAAAAACACAGACACACGATTTACGTGGTTCACTAACACGATGTGTGTTAGCTAGTCCACGGGCGAGAGAGAGCCGGTTTCACTATATTGAGGAGATTACAGATTACAGATGAGTATGAGAAGTATTTATAGTACTTCTCCATGTGGGTCTAAACCTAATCCAATCTGGCATAGGAAACGGTTACAGACCAGGCCCAGAACCCGAACCCAAATAACAGCGAGACCCTCGATTACCAGTCGTAGTGGCTGATAGTCCGATTCAAGTCACATCAACAATAACCTTTCTCTCCAACTCCAACCATCAAACTGAGCAATTCAGGGTGTCTGAAATCAATACACTCAACTTATCATGAGAATGATAAAAAAGAAAAACAAGTGGATGAGCAGAAAAAACAATAGCAACTACGAGCCTGATGGACTAATTCAGATGTATACGAACTCCCAAAAGCAATGCCGCCTAAATCTCCTCCCGGGGTAAAATGCCAATTCATATATAACCTACTTTCTTCATATTCTTTTATATACATGAAAGCTGGGTACCCTTTATTGTAACTACTGTTTCACTATTTGTCGTTTACTCAAATGGGGTTTTCGGTTCCTCTTTCAGCTTGCTCCCCACAATGGAGTCGTCGCCGTCTGCCGCACTCCCGCCGCTTCATTGGTCAAATCACCATTCTCCCACTGCCTAATCTCGGTCGATTCGTCGCCCATCCTTTCCGTACGTCTACCGCAGACTTGCAAAAAGATCTGCAAGTTCGGGGCCCCCTTCAGTCCTTTCGTCCTTCGACCATATCAAACAGTCTTGGACTCTTTCTCGGGGTCCTTGCTTTCCCGCTCAATATACATCTCCTCTTCTGCCCGACACGCTACCGTCCATCAATTGTACGAGCACTTCTCTTCTTTCTCTCATCTGCAACCCACTTCGCCATGCGACTTCTTTCAACACGCCAACATCCTTGGAGGAACCCATATCACCAGTCAACTCCTTTCCCACTACCCAACCCAATTTAACCATATCTTCCGCTTTCCTTTGTCTGAAATCCCCCAATGTTCCTCGCAAAGTTTCTCCCTCTCTTCTGTGTCTCTCTCTAAACCCAATGAAAGAGAATGAAGTGACCTCCGGGTTTTCAGTGTCAAGAAATTGGTTCAATTTGCGTGGATCCGATAACAACGTTGGAGAGTATGCAAACTCGAGCGAGGGGAGTGGACAACCGTGTCACAACTTCCGTTGAAATCAAAGATACAAGCAAAGGTTAGTGATGTTCTGTGTCTTTGAAATGGTGGATGGGTACAAGCGATTTTAATATTTTTTACAGTTTACGTTTCTAATTGATTCTATTTGTTTTCTGAGTTTTGTTTCAACCCACTTGGGTAACAGTTATTCTGAATGCTATTTGTTGCTTCATGGGTTTATATTTGGTTTGCTCTTTGTCTGCTTCATTGTTCTCTTATTCGGGCTCTAAGTCCGGCTAATACAATCCGACGAAGTTTATGCTTGATGCCTCACCTTACAATTTCACAAGATGGGTTATGCACTTATGCTATTATCGTTGGCTGCTAATCTAATGATGTTTGACATTTTTATTCCAGTTTCAAACACCAGATGGACTTGGGAAAAATAGAGCAGTTCTGGTGGAGGGTTGTAGGACGAGCCGAAGAGCATTATGTAATAAGTTTGTCATTGAAAGGTTAAGAATTAACCAATTCCCTCTGTTTTCCTGTGTTGTACCAAAAATAAAAGAGTTGTGTTTATATTACTTTTAAACTTTTTCTATTGAAAATTTGTATTTTTCCTCTCATTTAAGCTTGCAGGCCGGATTCGTTCTTAGGCATATGGTAAGTGTTCTTTCTTCCTTTACGATTGCAGAATTGTATAAGATCATCAGGTTAATGGTAATTAAAATTACCACCATGCTCTTTTACTGTTGGTATCTTCTTTTTGATTTTTGCTTGGTGATGGTGTTGTGTCTTATCTGGTATGAGGCGACTCATACCTTGCTTTGCACAACTCTCTTTTCTGTGCAGTTCCTTCTCTTCTCTTTAATGCTATTCACCATTATTATTATTATTATTATTATTATTATTTTGCATGGTTTGATTGCTATATTGAGAAACGCTTTAAATATTCATGGCGAAAGATGACCTTTTACGATGAAGAGAAGGCAATTCCTTATCCAAATTTGCTATGCCATGACCGTCAATAAAAGCTAAGATCAGGCTCTCGATGGAGCTGAAGTGTTCTTGCCCAAATATGGTTTTTGTTATCTCAGTTATATATCGCCATTTCTCAGCTGTGATCATTTGTGGGCATTGAGTTCCTCATAAATGATGATGACAGTTTGTGCCTGCAGATTGTACAAAAAATAAAAAAAGGTTACTAAGAGCTTTATGTTGATTTGTCCTTGAATGGTAACTTTGCACCCAAATGTCTTGCATTGTAAACCTTGCTGCTTATGAAATTTCTCTGATGTTCATGCCAAACTTTTATGTTGTAACATTTTCTGATGTCCCAACCCTGACACCCTGTCCAATTGATGTGATCCTGGGTGCTTGCTTAGTATTTATGGTTGGTTCTTCAAGTGGGAAGGCAAGTGAGAGTATTTCTATTATCCAGTAACCACTTGCAATAAGGTTTACATGTTGACTCTTCCAATTAATTCTGTTAGTAAACCCAAAACAGTGGTGGAAAAAGGAGGTAAGCACTGTCTTGACTTCTCATAAGATCTCTCCTTCATCACGTAAATAACCCAAAACAGTGGTTTAACCAGATAAAACCAGCAAGCCTTCTCAAGACATTTCTGGTGCCCGAAAAATGCCCTTTGCAGATGAAGAGCAGGTAATCGGCAACTCCAGTAACGGAGACAAGATGCTTGAGGTTTGGAATGAATTCAGAAACATAGGTAATTTTTGTTCTTCTATTTGAATGTTCTGGCCTTCTGGGATACTGAATTCTTTTGTTAGTTTTGTTTGATTGGAGTGCTTCATTAAATGCTTGATTGATTCATATTGGTTATGGACAAAGGAGTGCAACAGTGAGAATAGGAGATGAAGGGACTTGGAAGCTTAGTCTACCATTTTCTGCTACCTATTTCTCAATTTAGTGCATCGATGTCAGTATAGTATGCAAAGATTTCTGGCTCTCCTGGAATGGTGTCTCAGTTGCTTTGCATCAATTTTTTAGTTCAATATTTCAAGTTCATTCATAGCCGTTTGAAATATAACGTGTGAACTTTTTCTGCATGGTACAGGTTCCAGCTCCAAGAGTGCATAGAAAGATGACGCCTGAGGGTGGATTACATGGTTGTTTATGGTTTCGCACGAGATAAAAACTACACTTAATGGATTGTGAGAGCAACTTTACACGAATTATTCCAAAATTGCTCAAATTTTGAATTGTAAGAGGTCTTCAGACATTGATCCGAGTGGTTGGGAGAGAAATCTTTGTTTTCTTTTCAGTTTGGAGGTTGGTCTCACCTGTGTAATAAATGCCTTTTGTTGATTGTCAATTTCAACAACCTTTTAAAGCCATTTTGTCAAACTCATAATCTATTCATGTTACTGTGGTGGATATGAGAAACTTCAAAATCAAGTTTAATGAGAAGCTTTCTGGAAGATGTTATTTTAAGGCTATAATGGGAAGTTCATGTATTGCTTCGGATGATAATTAAGCTCTCCTTTGTTGGAAGATGCCCTTTCATGTGTCATCTAATCAATGTAATATACTCACTGTATCTGCTTCCTTTTCGTTGTTGCGGATATTAAGTTCTCCTTTCAAAAACTCATTTTCTCATACTGTGATGTGCAAGCGCTATATATATTTAACCAGTTGAGGCAGACAATTGAGCATTCTTTTAGTACTGTTTTTAGTGTGATGTTGCTCCCATTGCAAGTCACCTACACAACCTTCTCACTACTTATTACAAGATGATATTGTTGCAACTTAAGTCCCCGCGGCGTAGCCGTGGGTGTTGATTCTAGTTCTACACTAACATGGGGTCAAACAAACTAAAAAAGTTCCACAAAAGGTTCTGAGCTCTTGCATCTGCCTAAGCCAGTTCATTATGCTCTTCTTGAGCCTTTTGGATCCCGATCATGCGAGCATAATCCACCCACCTGTTCCAAAATAAGTTGCATCATCATGAGAATAATGAATAGATGTGCGGGAAGCTTGCCGGAGAGTTATGCAAGGATGGAAACTTACAATAGTGAGCCCAAGTAAGTGTTGCCTGTTCGAACAGCGAAACAGATTGCACTGAGCATGAGCTTGTGTTGGTGAAGTAAAGGCTCCAAGATTCGTTGTTCGATAACACCAGCCAATATTTGGTACCTGCACCACAGGATCATTCTCTCATGTCAATCTAGTGGCTGGCCGATGACAACTTCCACATCCATTTCTAGTTCAGTAGTTCCTACGTAAAAATGAGGAAATGGAAGGAAAAAATCATATGTTAACGAACCTGAGGTTGCTAGAGACTGCCATGTAGACACCATAGCCAACACTGGTGGAGAGTATAGGCACGTTTTCAACTTCACCAGTACTGTTCACAGCCTTCTTTGCATTGATCAGGGCATTTGTTACCACTGTCCCAATCTACAACCATTTATGTAATCAAAATCAGAGTTAAGTGAATATGCGATCTATGAATTTCACAATGAAAAAGGACATGATGAGAGTTATATTCTAAGTTTGCTCCTGGTCAGTTCTAATATCTTGCAACATGTTTTAATCAACTAATTTTGCATCAGATTTTGCCATACTAATGACCCTCAAAAAGTGTTGTCTCCCACCAAACAGTTTTTTCACCACTTAACAGAGGAGTGACTAGGTTACAGAATTACTCCAGGAGATGTAAGAGAGCAGAAAAAACATACATCTAAGCAAACAACAAGCTTACCAGGGAAGATGCAGTGCCAACAGCAAAGAGCTTTGTTCCGTTTCGCTGTAAAATTGAGAGATATAGAGTGTGAACTACTGATAACAAAGACTGATAAGCATTGACAGAAACCAAGTTCAAACTCAGGCGGAAAAAAAAAAGAGTAACATTTTCTTTACCACAACTGAGCCTAGTCTCTGCACGAACGAATACGAAGTTCCAGCAAGAGCAGTCTGCAAAGCAAAAGAGAAAGAAGAGTCCTTTAAATTCATTTCCTCATTCAACTCAATAAGTTGGCGAGAGAAATTACAGATAAGTATTCTTTTTTTACCGGGAAAGCATTGTCAGGGCAACCATAGAAGAACCTTGCAACAGGTCCAGCAGTTCCTGCCAGAGCTGGTCTGAGAGAGACGGTAGGCGCAGGGAGGAAAACAAGCATGAAATCTGCACATATGGCCATCGCCTAATAGGCAAAATGTACACAACTTGAGTGGGTGATGAATCATTAAAGCAACTAACCCATCACAAAAAAGAGAATTCTTCTTAGTGAAGAGCCACATACCACATCAGCAAACACAATTTCCAGCTCCTTGAAGAAATTCGCTCTGCGTTTCTCATACTCTGCAGCAGTCTGCCAATCGGGCATAGTCAAAAAGGGATGATAAAATGACCAAAATGTTAAACCTTTCAGCAAGAATTGACAGTTAAACTGAACAAAGGTTTAAAATTTTTTGACAGAACATTAACTAAGAAATGAATGAGGGCCAATTTCAGCCAATGATCAGCAAATCCCAGTTGAAAAAGATGCAAGCTTTGGCCAAATGGCCAAACAGGGTAAAAAAAGCTTGGCGACGACAATGAAAAAGCAGAATCCAGATTTACGATTTGACACTATAACGAGGGGAGGGAGTAGAAACCAGAAACAGAGCAATGAAAAAGGGGCTTTCTCAATTGGACAATAAAGCTACAGATCGCCGATTCCCTTTTTGTACCTTGGTGAAGATGCCGACGCCGCACTCAATCCCGATTTTCGCCAAGAACAGATCGTCCGCCAGCAACCTCTCCTTAAACGCACCGAACTGAAGCAATCGTCTTTCTTTTCTACTAGCCGGCTAGACCGTGACTGCATTTCTCTCACCAATGCAGTTTTGTGTATCTATTTCATTGAGATTCAACCTCATGAACATAGGACTTCCAAACTCGCATTGGGTTTCAATACTTGTAGCCATATTTTCGTTCCGATGATAGAGTTTTCATTATTTAGAGAGATGATGATATTACAAAGTGTGTTGACTAGTCTCAAGCAACGATGATTTCTCCACTTTCATGTCACGCGATCAAATTATAGATCCGAATAAATTTTCAACCATATATTTTTGTAATTTACATTTTCGTTATCAATATATTTGGAACCACGTGCTGAACTATTTCACAGGGAAGATCATTTCTCTTCTCAACTTTCAAACTATGGTTAAAATTAGGCATCAAACTTGTAACAAATCAATAAGTATAACCAACCGATAAGAGTTCGAACCCCATACTTAATTACTAGGATTCAAGTTCCTCAAACTTCTTTGTTTCCCCCTACCTAGTTGCTACGAATTGTTTACTCGTGCCTAGCTCTGCTAGGGTTCGAATGCCTTGCTCATCTTTTTCTCGTTCCTTTCGCTTGGATTTCTAGCTCCGCTACTGATTGGAGCCAACATGGAGATAACAAAGTTCTTGTCCACTTCCTAGGTCTTAATAAGTGGAGAAAGTGAAGTTTGGGTACCAATTCAGGGACAAAGGTATGGTTGAGAGAGGAAAAAGGAACTGACCAGGAATTGGGTGGGTAGGCGTTAGTTGCGAGGGAATTAGAAAGTGAGAATCAGGGGGTTTCGTGGGAAAATCACAAGGTTGTCAACCCGCGAGTCGATCTGTGGGTTGACCCACTTTGACCCTGACCCGATAAGAAAAACGGGTCGCACGCATCCGTCGGGTCGACCGCTATAAGGTATCGGGTTGGAGGTCAAATTGTGTCATTTTTTTGTTTTGCGAAATGCGCCTATTTTCCGATTTTTCTTTTCGCCTAACTCAATCTTTGGAATCTTAAGTTGAACATTTGAATATTAATGTTATATAAGTGTGTGTGAATTTTCACTATATGTTGAATCTAAGTACGAAATATTATTTTGGTGTAATATTATATGTTATAACTCATATGTTAGATGAGATTTGATATAATTTATCAGGATAAGTACAATATAATGACGCTTTTCATATTTCCGGGCTAAAACGGGCGACCCATTAACCCTTAACCCACTTGCTCAACCGGGTCCGGGTCAACCCGCGGGTTGACAACCTTGGAAAATCAGAAGGGCTCATGTCAGTGGACTGCTTAAGCTAGGGGGTGAACAAACACACCCGGCAAAAAGATCCACCTGTCCAACCCGATCCAACCCACCCGTATTTATCGTTAAAACGAAGGTTTTGGATTGGGTGAGGGTTTTCTTTTGTACAACCCGCCTCTTTTGGGTTGGGTTTGGATTTTGGATTACACAACCCGTAGAACCCGACCCAACCCATGTTCCAATTATTGGTATGAATTCGTATCAAAAAAATATTTATGTCGTATATAGCCATACTTATGAGAAAATTAAGATATTTCGCCATGTTTTTCTCTAATGGTCTCCCTAATCTAATGCATTCTTCGGCTTAAAATTTAGACATAAATTTAATATAGCTATGATTCACGTAATCCTTTTTCTTGTGTACAATTTTAATAGAATAACATATTATGGATGCGTTCATTTATAACCTTTTTAGCCTATTTCAACAAATGTCGTGAAAAAAACTAGATACAAGTTGAAGTAAATCAAAATTTTATTAAAATTCAAACAACATTTGTGAATTTTGATACCGTTCACCTTGGTTTATTCGTTTGAATTTTTAATTAGTTATAAATTACTTTTATGGTGTAGAATAATTACATATTTTGTGTTGGGTTGGTTTTTACTTAAAAATATCGCCAACCCGACCCAACCCAATTAAAAACAAACCGTAGGGTTTGGGTTTAATATTTTCCAAACCGTAGTGTATGGATCGAGTGATTAAAATGTCTAAACCCGAACCACCCGACCTATGTACACCCCTACCTTAAGCCTCATAACCACCTGCTAGGTTGTGGTGTTTGGGGCTCACACTCCCTTTTTCACAATTTCATTTCATGCATGCATATTCTATGTAAGTGGACGATTGTCACTTAATTTTAGGTTATTGTTGAAATGAGCACAATACTTTGATTTATTATATGTCTATTACTCGACTTTCATAATGACTGGAGTTGTTTGGAGGTTGAGATTTCAAGTTATGTATTTAGCCAATACATGTAATATTAAGATTAAGGTTTTTTTTTTTTTGTTAAATTTGAGATAGAACACATGTATTACATTTTTCATGGGTCCACTTACAATCACTCAAAATGAGAGATTATCAATCTCTACCAAAATGAGAGATTGTTAACAGTTGATTTTGTATACCAACTTTCCTTTATAATAAAAACACAATGTAAACATCCAAACAAGTTATTTTCCAAATTCATACATTTAATCCATGCATAAAATTACAATACACAAATTGATTAAAATGCATCAATTGAGAGAATCTCAACCTCCAAACGACCTCTCGGTTTTTTCGTTCAAAGGAGCCACCTCATTAGGATGTCTGCTAGCACACAACACAACTCCCTAATAAGCAAATATAAACAATCGATATTGACTCATATACTCTAAACTCTAAAGTCTAACTTGGCCACCCAAACGTCAAGGAGGAACCTAATCCACGGCAGTTCCACGCGAGAACCGTCATGGATCGAAGTCAGACCAGTCCGTAAACTGAACAGAAACTGCTGTGAAGAGAACACAGTTCCCACCCCTGCAGTAGGACCCGACCGTTGAGTGATGTCTCTGTGCAATGTCATAGGTGTTGTAGCAGCACGCCATTGCGCAGACTGAGCCCGGAATTGCCGAAGCAAGTTTGAGCCCATATATTGAATGTGCTTATGAACCACCCAACTGTGAGAGCTTAATCTTGGATGCAAACTGACAAGTTTATTGATTGATCAAAGAAAACAATAAATAGCTTCTAGCCCAGCCGCCAAACTCGGCCTTGAGCAACTAACCCTCAATCCCACGACTCCTGAAACTCAGCAACTAAACCACCCAACTCTGTTTTCAGCTAATACTAAGAGATAGACTCGACTGACTATTTACATAAATAAAAGGACCAAACAAGACATTTGACCAAAATGGTCAGCTTTAAACAAACTTCATCTCGCGCCACTTCAGCCTCTAGCCTGGAATGAATCCCAGTCTCAACATCCTCCCCTGAACTGAAGCTCATCAGCAGCCTTCAGTTCATTTCAATTCTCCACTTCTTTCACATCACACATACCAAGTTGAGTTCTCAGCAACTGAAATGTTTCCAGCTTCAGAGCCTTTGTCATTACATCTGCCACTTGTTCATTTGTTCCACAATGCACCAGCTCCAAAACTTGATCCTTCACCAGATTTCTTAGGAAGTGAAACCTGACATCTATGTGCTTGCTTCGGCCATGTAGGACTGGGTTTTTAGACAGCTTGATAGCTGAATTGTTGTCACACATCACTCTGGTTGCCCTTCCACGCTGCTTGCCCAGTTCATTTGCTCCAGTATTCTCCTCAACCACACACATTGGGCTGCACAGTAAGTAGCTGCAACAAACTCAGCTTCTGTAGTCGATAATGTGACCACTGGCTGCTTCTTGGAAGCCCAGGAAATAGCACCACCAGCAAGGAAGAAGACATATCCACTAGTGCTTTTCCTATCATCAACATCACCTGCATAATCTGAGTCTGTAAACCCCAACAGTCCTCCTTCATGCTTCCTTTGATACCAGATGCTAAATCCCATAGTACCCTTTAAATACCTCAAGATCCTCTTAGCAGCGAGCATGTGCTGCTTTGTTGGAATTTCCATAAACCTGCTAAGCAAACAAACCGAGTACATCAGATCAGGACGTGTTGTTGTAGCATAGAGCAGATTTCCAATAAGCCGCTTATACTCAGTAGCATTTACTGGAAAACCATCGCCAGCCTTAGACAACTTCACTCCAGGCACCATTGGGTTGTGAGCAAAATTACATTCCAACAGATTGAACTTCTCAAGTATCTCCTTCACATACTTCTGCTGATTGATGAAGATACCTTGCTGAGTTTGAGTAACTTCAACTCCAAGGAAATACTTCATTTTCCCAAGGTCAATCATCTCAAACTCAAACTGCATACTTTGCTTAAAAGCTTCAATCATGTCAAGGCTGCTACTTGTATACATAAGGTCATCAACATAGAGACTTAGAATCAGAACATCAGTACCTGACCTTTTTATGAACAAAGTATGTTCATACTCACATCGTTCAAACCCAGACCTGAGGAAGTATGCTTCTATCTTGCTGTACCACGCCCTGGGAGCCTGTTTTAACCCATACAGTGCTTTCCTCAGCTTGTAAACCTTCCTTTCCTCCCCAGCAACCTCAAACCCTTGAGGTTGCTCAACATAGATGTCTTCAAACAGCTCACCATGCAGGAAAGCACTCTTAACATCAAGCCGGTAGACTGGAAAACCGTGGTAAGCAGCAAGAGCTAAGAGTGTCCTGATGGTGTCCCACCTTGCAACAGGTGCAAACACTTCTGTATAGTCAATTCCAAACTTCTGAGCATACCCTTTGACTACCAGCCTTGCTTTGTACCTTTCAACAGAACCATCTTCTTTGAGCTTAGTTCTGTAAACCCATTTGACACCAATGGGAGTGATTCCCTCTGGTAGATCCACTAGTATCCATGTATTGTTCTTCTCAATGGCATCAAACTCAACCTGCATTGCTTTTAACCATTTCTCATCAACAATTGCCTCTTCATAAGTCTGAGGATCACCATTTACTGCCACCATGACCCACTGATCAGTCTCAGCAAAATAAGTGCAATCATAAATAGACAAGTGACTTGGTGGCTGCCTAACTCGTGGTCCTAAAACTGCAGATCCCTCTTCATTTGCAGGAGTGTTTGGAGTATTAATCTTGGAGGAGAAGTCACTACAGGACTGGAAGGGGCTGTAGGACTTGATGGAGTAGATGAATCTGTGTCAGCAACAACTTCTTCTTCATTTTCTGAGTCAGAATCATTCCATGACTCATCCGACCCTTCCCAACTTACTCTTGTCTCATCAGGTAGAGCATCAGATTCCCAGGTCCATCCTTCAGCCTCATCAAATACCACATCCCTGCTCAGTAGCACCTTCTTTGTTAGAGGGTTATACATTTTGTACGCTTTGGATTCACTGGAAACCCCCAAAAATTGACATTTCTCACTTTTAGCATACAATTTCTTTCTTTGCTGGTCATGAATGTGCACATATCCAACACAGCCAAATATTTTAAAATTATTCACAGATGGAGGTGATCCAGTCCAAAGCTCCTGGGGAGTCTTGCCCTTGTTGGCTGAGGTTGGACTTCTATTCAGAACATGAGCAGTCCAAGCCACAGCTTCTGGCCAGAACAAAGCAGGTACCTTGGTGTCCTCTAATGAACATCTAACCATGTTCATAATTGTTCTATTCTTCCTCTCTGCAACCCCATTTTGTTGGGGTGTAAGAGCAGCTGTAAGCTGTCTCCTGATGCCAGCTTCCTCACAGACACCCTTAAATTCATTCAACACAAATTCCCCCCCTTATCAGTTCTAAGACAAACTATAGAGCTACCAGTTTCTTTCTCAATCTGTGCCTTAAACTTCTTGAACACATTCAAAGATTCAGACTTGGCAACCAGAAAATATACCCATAACTTCCTACTGTAATCATCTGTGATGGTCAGAATATACCTTTTTCCTCCATTTGATGTAGGAGTAATAGGTCCACACAAATCTGCATGAAGCAACTGCAGCTTCTGAGTTGCTCTCCAACTGCTTTTCCTTGGAAAGCTTTGTCTCTGAGACTTACCAATCTGACAGGTTGAGCAAATTCCCAAGGCTCCTTGCAGCTTTGGCAAGCCTTGCACCAGACCTTTCCTTTGAACTTCCAGCAACCCTTTGATGTTCAAGTGGCCAAACCTGCGATGCCACAAGCTCAAGGATGTAGTACTGCTTGTAATCTTGTGACATTGCAGAGTTTCAGCCTCACTTTCCTGAGTGGCATGCAGAGCAAACATTTGATTAGTTTTCATGTTTGTCTGCAACAGCAAGCCTTTTCCTTCTTGCAGGATTTGACAAACTCCATTCTTGATTATGAAGGTCAGCTTTCGTTCTTGAAGTTGCCCAATGCTCAGCAAGTTAGTTTTCAACCCAGGAACATAAAATACATCTCTAATGCACAGAGAAACTTCATCCACCAGCATCTTGATAGTTCATTTTCCTTCAATTGCTAGTCTGCTTCCATTTCCCAGCTTCACATTACATTCAAAACTTGTATCAATACTGGTGAACCATTGCTTGCTACCACTCATATGATTGCTACATCCAGAGTCCAGAAACCACCATTTTTCAGCCTGCTCCAATTGACTGGTCTCCGTCAATGCCATCAAACATTGATTTTCCTTCACCAGCTCCTCCTGTTCTACAACAGCCATCAACAAGACATCCTCTTTCATGTCTGAATGTGCAGGAGGGTTAACAGATTTTGAGTAGTGTGCTTGCTGGTTGTACCATTCAGGACATTCATTCCTGTAATGGCCAAACCTGTGACATTTGTAGCATTCCACCTGATCTCGATTCCAAGTCCTGCCTCCCCTTCCTCTTCCTCTTGCTTGAAAGCCACCTCTTCCTCTATAACCTCTTCCTCCACTATCATAGCCTCTTGATCCAAGATCATGAGTGATCTTTAGAGCCTGTTCCTCTTCATTGACAGCTTTTGAAAACTTCTGCTCATGAACCAACAATGAGCTTTGCAAAGCATCCACAGACAACTCCTCAATATCCTTAGATTCCTCAATCGAACACACAATGTAATTAAACTTTTCTGAAGTTCTTAACACTTTTTCCACAATCTTAACATCTGTCATTTCTTCTCCGCATTTTCTCATAGCATTTGCAACAACCATAACTCGACCAAAATAGTCATTGACAGACTCACCTTCTTTCATTTCCAATAACTCAAAGTTCCTTCTAAGTGCCTGCAGTTGAGACTTTTGAACCCTTGCACTTCCTTGACATTTGGTCTTCATAGAAGTCCACAGATCCTTAGAGGTTGTCTTGTTGGTAATCGTCTTGAGGATACTCTTGTCAATAGAACTGAACAAGTAATTCTTCGCCTTGAGATCCTTCAGACGATTATCCTCCAAGGTTTTCTGCTGTGCAGGTGTGAGCTCCTCCCCTGCTGCAGGCTCTCTGAACCCTTCATTCACAACAGGCCAATACTCTTTTCACCGTATTAGATTCTCCATCAACAAACTCCAGTGCTTGTAATCCCCATCAAACTTAGGGATACAGACCTGGGCGAAGCTGCTGTTTTCACCTATGATGCCGATTTCTCAACCCAGAAATAGATTTCTCACAAGAACTCTCGTGTTTCCCAAACCCAGAAGTCAGTTTCTCTTTCTCTCAACTCTCAGTGCGATTGGTTACAGTATGCAAGATGGCTCTGATACCACATTATGAGAGCTTAATCTTGGATGCAAACTGACAAGTTTATTGATTGATCAAAGTAAACAATAAATAGCTTCTAGCCCAGACGCCAAACTCGGCCTTGAGAAACTAAACCTCAATCCCACGACTCCTGAAACTCAGCAACTAAACCACCCAACTCTGTTTTCAGCTAATACCAAGAGATAGACTCGACTGACTATTTACATAAATAAAAGGACCAAACAAGACATTTGACCAAAACGGTCAGCTTTAAACAAACTTCATCTCGCGCCACTTCAGCCTCTAGCCTGGAATGAATCCCAGTCTCAACACCAACAACGGGATTTCCACAATCGCCAACAAACAAAAATAACATCAGCAAGTGTCTCTTTTGATAAATGGCACCCAAAGAACAGGACTTTCCAACAATCAGCAAGTGGTAAAGAAGACAACCTCAGCCGTAACAATCCTAAACCAGCTAACTCCCAAAGTTCTTTAGCTACTCGACAATTAATAAAAGAATGAGTAATGATTTTCGTACCTTCTGAACACACAGGTCATGTACTGTCAGAGACTAATGTCATAGTTAGTAAGACCGCATGAACCGGAAGGAAACCACGCACCATTCTCCAGCAAAAGAACTTCAACTTTGGAGGTAAGGGAAGATTCCACAAGCACTTCCAGAATTTGGCGTCGAACGGCAAAGGAGCAAGCGGGTGAAGGTTATTAAGCTCAGTGGACAACAAATGATAGCCTGTCTTGACTGTATATTCGCCAGTGCTGGAGTAGTGCCAGAGTAGTTTATCAGGAATGAGCTGTGTTGGCAATGGGATGTACAGGATAAGTGCCACCGAAGCTGGAGAAAAGTATGCCTGCAAAACATCGACTTTCCAAGTATGGGTGGATTGACATATCAATTCAGCAACAAAGAGAAAGGGCATCAACAACCCAGGAAGAAGGATTGGCGAGGATGGAGGTGATGAAGGTAGCCATTTATCTGATAAAATACGGTCAGCATGTCCAGTTCCTATCCTCCATCGGAGGCCACGTGCCAGCAAATCACGACCTGCAAGGATTCCCTGCCAAGCCCATAAAGGGCAAGTTCCGGGTAAGGCATCGAGTAAAGATGTAGTCGGATGGTATCTCGCCTTATAAACTGTGCCCACAGTTGAGTCCGGAAACTGGAGCAATCGTCATGCCTGTTTCGCTAATAAAGGCCCTTTCATCGACAGTTCGACTATTTGTCGACTGTCGCGTTTGGTTGCTTGTTGTTCTCTGACTATCTATTTGTTACCATTATCTATGACAAAAAAAAACGTCGGGGGACGTGTCTGGTTCCTAGTGGTGGCGCGTGTACCATTTCTTCCCACTTCCCCGTTTTGTCCGCCGCCGTTGAACTTAAAATCGGTAATCACCGGCACCGTTCTTTGACGAGATTTTTCTTTTGTGACACAAAGGTTTGGACTGGGCTTGGTGAATTGGGTTGGGCTGAGTAAACAGTTTCCATCAAAGTTAGGAGGAGGTTTCTGTATAATGGGTCTCAACTTGGCCCACTAATTCAAAAATGGGAAATTTTGCTTTATTTGAGAATTATTGGAGAAACCATGTTAATTGATTTTTGTTGCGATTTCAATACAAGTTTTTTAGGAGTTCCCTGATGATTATGTGCCCTAGAAAGAGTTGAATTTTTCGATATATGGGCGAAATTGGTAAATCTTTCCAAACGTGTAAGATTTCTAAGACTCTACTAGAAAGAGTTGGGTTTTGATTCCAAAGTTGCAAAACTCATGATGTTAACTGCATAACAAAATGGATGCTAGCTAAACAACGCCTAGCTTCCAACCAGGAAGCAAAAGGTCTCTTCTTACCTAGTCAAGATTGACAAAGTCGAATTAGGATTAAAAACACTGAAAAGGGATCCAAAAGTTGATATCCAAAGTAAAGTACATATGTAGTTGAGTAGCCATTCAACTTTACTTGTGTAATCTCTTGCTTACAACCCAGCTACTGAAAGAGAAAAGAAAAGCTATGCAAATGAGTAAAAAGGTAGGGAGAAAGAAAAAAAAAAGAGAAGAATGACTTGGGAGTTGAATAGGATTGTGACATAGCAACCAAATGGGAGTAATGATGTGTGAGGAATCCTTGAATGCAAGTAATGCCCCTTTCCCACGGTTGGCATATCTGTCACCTGCAAAAACTTCATTTCCCCCTTTCCTTTTCCATTGCTTCTGCCTCAATTCTGCTCTCTTCCTCTTTTCCATAACTACACCATTCTTTGGTCTCTGGCTCTAACCCAATTGAAAGCTTCACATTCTGCTCGAGGACTGGCAGAGTCCAAGGTATCCCTTCGTACGGGTAATATTGGGCATTGAGGGTAAGAATTTAACACAACATGATTCATGTTTCTATGTCTATTTGTCACATCCACACACAGACAAAAGCATTTGTTGTTATATATTAGTATCATCCCAGCAACAATGGTGGAAGGAATCTGAAGAAGCACAAAAAACATACCTTAAGTTGCAGAGAGAGAGAGAAATGGAGGGAAGGAGCAAAGAAGTCGAGTATGACGTGGCAGAGCAGATAGGTAGGGGGAGATTCGGAGCAGCATTCCTCGTGGTTAACAAATCGAAGAACAAGAGGTATGTGATGAAGAAGATTAAACTGGCGAGGCAGACTGAGAGGTTCAAGCAGATGGCGGTCCAGGAGATGAACTTGATTGCTGAGTTGAACCACCCGTATATCGTTGAGTACAGGGACTCCTGGGTTGGGAAGGTAAAAGATAAAATGAGTTGCTCCTACCCGCTTTCTGCAAAATACAAAGCTCTGCAGATGTTAATCGCCACATTTTGGTTGTCGTGAGTCTGCAGGAATGCGTGTGCATCGTGACGAATTACTGTGAGGGTGGAGACATGTAAGTTTGGACTGAACTATTAAGATTGATTATCCTATGAACTGCAAGTCTGAGGAGTACTTCGTTTCTACATTTGCGTTTTGCTCAGGGATCAGATGATAAGGAGAGCCAGAGGAACGTATTTCAGTGAAGAGGTAAGAAGCCATGGAAAGAGATATATACACCTCCAATGGGATTTCATATGCTTTTCCCTTAAGATCGATTAACTCATTTCTCTTTCCATCCAATATGGTGTAGATGGTCTGCAAGTGGCTGACCCAACTTCTGCTAGCATTGGACTATCTCCACTCCAATCGTGTTCTTCACAGAGACTTGAAAGTAGGCTTCTGAATCATTCTATAAAGGCTGTATATTATACTATTGAGATGATTCTGCAATAATGTTTATGATGTTAAATTCTAGTGTCAGTGCTCCAACATATTCCTTTCAAAAAGCAACGACATCCGACTAGGTGAGAGCTTGAGAATTCAAAACATACCTCAAATTTAGTTGTATGCAACTGTATCACATCAATGTTTACTGCTTGTTTAGGTGAATTTGGACTGGCGAAACTGCTTGGCAAAGATGACCTTGCCTCCACCTTAACGCCTTCGATAAGAATACATTTTCTCCTCCTTTTACCCAATCAGGAATCATCTTGGCAAAAGCTTATTGCTTTCTATTTCATATGTGGTAGGAACTCCAAAATACATGTGTCCAGAGCTTCTTGCAGATATACCCTACGGCTACAAATCAGATATCTGGCCACTAGGCTGCAGTATGTTTGAGATAGCAGCACATCAGCCTCCATTCAGAGCTCCTGTAAGTTGAGCACTAGTTTCTCAACCAATGACGAACTCATACAACAGCCCTCAAAATGCTTTCATGAACATGTAAAAGGATATGGCGGGACTAATCCACAAGATAACCTTGGCTCCATTTCTCCACTACCACCTTCATACTCATCTACATTGTGAGTGTAGTCATCAACTTATTACCTTTCCTGATCTTCCCTGGATAAAATGTTGCCTCATGAGTCATGTGCTCACAAAGGGTTGCTTTCTGTCCAACAGGAAACAACTAATCAAGTTTATGCTGAGGAAGAGTCCAGAGCACGGCCTACGGTAAAATACATAACCTTAGCGTGTCTGAACTCCCTAATCTTTTCCCTGTTGCAGATATTCATGGTTCAGTCCAAAGTTTAAACCTTTTGTCAAATTTTAGGCTGCAGAGTTGTTGAGACACCCGCACTTACAACCATATGTTGCTCAATGTCAAAATCCATCTCCCGTCTTTCTCCCAGTGAAGTCTGAGCATGACGAAGGATAATAGTAATAAGCCAAAGGCTGCTCCCAGACCACCACCATTTAATAACAACAGCAAGCAAACTTTCCAGCAGAAACACATTGAATACATTTGCAAGAAGGTGTCCGATTTGATGAAGAACTACAAACCTATATTGGACGATACCAAACCACATGACTGCATCAAGAATATGACACCACCTTCAAGTGACAGGATGACAGACAAAGCTCCACCTTCTGCTGCAACACCAACAAGAAAAGAGATTACCCCAGAATCACACGGTAATTCTAGCGATGCTCCATCCAGACAAAGCAGCTCGGTGAGCTTAGTGCATGGACAAGAGATCAGGATCGACTGGGATGATGCTCAGAGCACCCAAAGAGCTGAAGCACTGGAATCATTGCTAGAGATCTGTGCAAGCCTGCTCAGACGTGAACGGTTTGAGGAACTAGAAGGTGTGCTGAAACCCTTTGGCGAAGAAGCTGTGTCATCCAGAGAAACAGCAATTTGGCTAACAAAAAGTCTCATGAAAGTACATAAGAAAAGAAATGGGAAAACTTGATTTATACCCGGTGCAAAGTTGTGCACTTTTATTGACATCAAAGTGATCCATTCATTGTCTTTCCTTCTTATCTAAATTCAATCACAACAGTTTTCCAATGAAATAATTATTCAATCTCTCCTCACAAAAATGAAGTATCAATGCTCAAATCAACTTGCAGTAACAACACAACAACTGAAGTAAACTATGGCTATGGAGCTGCTCCATAAGAATCAATAAGTATTCCCTAGTTCAAGTATATAAGCTACACCAACAAAAATTCAAGTCATGTGGCTTGAATAATGGAACTCTCCCATTGATGATTAATCTATAGTCAATTAATCAGAATTTGGAAAGACACACCCAATTCGTCACTTCTTCTCATCTGCTACTGTTACCGCCGCTGATCCTTCTTCTTTATCTTCCTCCAGCTTCTTCTTGTTCTTCTCAATCGCAGCAGCAACTTCCCCAGGCATATACTTCTCGTCGTGCTTGGCCAAAACCCCCGTCGCCGAGAAGTAAACATCTATACCCCTGGCCTTCTCAGAAACACTATTGCTTCTCGATTCCTTCTTCAACTCCTCCGTAATCGGCTTCACGAATCCTTCCCCCACCACCGAATGTCCTTCCCTGAACAAATCCGGCAAAGCACCTTTATAGCTCACCAGAATGTCCGTAATCAAATCCGTGACCACGAACTCCATCTCCGGCGGCGACGCCGGCTGGACCACGCTGCCTTCAAGGACCAACCCTCCCAATCTGAACTTCGTGTTCCTCGGATTCGCCTTGTTCTGCTCCATCGCGTCGGTGGGAGTCACGTAGAACACCATCTGGTCCTGGAAATTGTTCAGGACGATGACGATGAACCCGGCCACGCAGCTGAACGCGAGCGCGTAGGTCCACAGCCTCCTGGTCTGCATCTGGCGAGCTCGTGCTCTGATGTCCACGATCTTCGGCCGCGCCGGGCGGCGGCGCGCCATGGAGAAGAGATGTAGACCTGAGATCGAGGCGTAATCGCCGTACGCTGTGCGGAGATCTGAAATTGGGAACAGAATCAACCGCTCCGATCTGGCGGCGGAGGCGATCTGGCGAGTGGAAGAGAAGAAGATGCTCGTGCAGGAGGAAGATGAAGAGGAGCCGGCAGCGGCGGTAGGTGTAACAGACTGGACTTAATTGTAGATAAATAAAAGAAAGAGGACGAGAGTGAGAAGCTGGAGTGTTGATGTAATGGGCAGAACGGATCGTATAAGTAGAGCCGGGCCCACTGGTTCAGGATACGTTGGAATTAATACAATCTTCTCCCCTCTTCTTCCTATCTCTCTCTTCTATCTCTCTCTCTTACTTTTCCATTAGTTGCGGAACAACCTTTCCCTCCAGCCCAGCATCCCCAAATACTCCACTGGAAAGGAAGTTGCCATTGCTATCTCGTCGAGTTCTTGAGACTCTCCACCCCGGATGTGACAACTTGGTATCAGAGCCATCGCTTGACTGGATGACGACGACAAGAATGGAGGAGAAGCTCGCAACGTTCACCAACCGCACCATCGCCGTCGAGACTCTGATTCACAGATCGCCGATCATTTGCACGCCATGGATGAGCAGATGACGACGACGGGCGAGTAGTTTCGCGCACATGTCGGACAGCTCCACGGCTTGTCCACTAAGGCCGACGGTCATTCGTTGCAGATGGTCACGCTTAACACTCGGATTGATGGATTGGATGGCCGCTTCGATGAAGTTCTTCGTCGTCTCGCGGAATTAGGTCATCAACGGCCACAGGTCGTCATTGCCGAGGCGGATGCTCCGCTGGTGGCTCGGAACGACGACCGCGACATCTTACCTCAGCCTGTAATTCCACATGCGCGTCGACCACTGGACCCAGACGCAGGGATGCACCGTGCTCTGCCGCAAGGGAATCGCGTTGCCGATCCAATTCCACATCTGCATCAGCGAATTCCTCTGCATCATTTCGGTAACAATCCGTTTCCCTTGCCGCGTATGGATTTTCCGTCCTTCAACGGGGATAATCCTCGTGAATGGACTCGCAAGTGCGAGAAGCTATTTGCGATCTATGCTATTCCCGCGGATCTGAAAGTTGAACTTGCTTCGATTTACTTTGAGCTTCGTCCGGATATTTGGTTCGAGGGATGGAAGACTGGCCATGTGGAGTTAGTTTGGGAAGAGTTTGTGTCTGCTCTGTGCAATCGGTTCAGTGACTGGTCCCTGGGTGGTATTGTTGGCGAGTTTAACAAGCTTCGTCAACGAGGTTCTTTGCTTGATTATCAGGAACGATTTGAGGAACTTAAGCCTCAGATGATCCGCTACAATCCAGCTTTGACAGAAGAATATTTCAATTCGAGCTATATTAGTGGTTTGGAGGAAGAGTTGCGGCCTGTGATGTCCATGTGGCAACCTCGGTCCTTGGCCCATGCTTTCCAGCTTTCTAGATTGGAGGAAGTTTCCAACGAAGCTCGTCGAAAGAAGCTCCGAGGTCCGCTGCTAATGGTAATGGTAACAAGGGAACGATGACTAAGGGAGCTTGTTACAAGTGCAGGAGGTTCAGTTCCAGTTTGATGTTCGGATTTTGCAGTTAGGATCCAATGATCTGGTGTTGGGATTGGATTGGTTACGTACCATTAGTCCAGTCAAATTCGATTTTGTGAATTTGCAGCTGGTCTTTGACATGGATGGAGTGGAGGTTGAGTTGTATGGGGTTCAGGAGACTGGGAATTGTCAAACTATGTCTGGGAAAAGCCTACAAAAGTACTTTAAGAAGAAGGGCGCATCTTGGACGGGCCACATTTTCTCCATGACCACTGCTACACCTTCAGGTACTACTCCACCCTCTTTTGTGCAATATATTCTTGATGAATACAAGGATGTCTTTGGCAAACCCACTTCCCTTCCCCCGTCCCGTGATTGTGACCATACCATTCCCTTACAACCTGGATCCTCCCCTGTTAATCTTCGAACTTACCGTTATCCCCTTCCCCAAAAAGTAGAAGTAGAAAAACTGTGTGATGCGATGATGACAGCTGACTTCATCCAACCTAGCCAAAATCCATTTGTTTCTCCTGTCCTCTTAGTGCTTAAAAAAGATGGCACTTGGCGTTTTTGTATTGACTACCGCCAGCTTAACTCCATTACTATCAAGAACAAATTCCCTATCCCCGTTATTGATGACCTGTTAGATGAGTTAGGAGGAGCCAAATATTTCATCAAGCTCGACCTCCTGTCGGGCTACCATCAGGTTAGGATGCACCCAGCTGACCAGTATAAAACCGCTTTCCGTACCCACCACGGCCACTTCGAGTTCAAAGTCATGCCCTTTGGGCTGACCAATGCCCCAACCATGTTCCAAGCCCTTATGAACCAGATTTTTGGCCCTTACCTTCGCAAATTTATCCTCGTTTTCTTTGACGACATCCTTGTCTATAGACCTGACCAAACTTCCCACTGTCAACACTTGTCCCAAACCCTTCAAATCCTCCACCAACATTCCCTATTTGCTAAGCCATCCAAGTGTTCTTTTGCTCAAAAAGAGGTGGATTATTTTGGTCACGTCATCAATGAGCAGGGTGTGGCTACTGATCCCAGCAAAGTAGAGGTCATGGTTAAATGGCCTGTTCCCAAGAACGTCAAAGAGTTGCGTGGTTTCCTCGGTCTAACTGGCTATTACCGTAAATTTGTGAAGAATTATGGAGCAATCAGCATGCCTCTCACTGAATTGCTTAAGAAGGATGGTTTCCTTTGGTCTGCTACTGCTGATAGAGCCTTTAATATGCTCAAAACAGCTATGTCCCAAGCTAGTGCTCAAGTTACCTGATTTTTCCCTTCCATTTCAGTTGGAAACGGATGCTAGTGATGTGGGTATCGGGGCTGTCCTGTCTCAGGGGGGCAGACCTATTGCTTACCATAGTCAAGCACTGGGACTACGCCAGCAAGGGTTATCCGCCTATGAGAAGGAGTACCTGGCAGTGTTGCTGGCTGTGACTAAATGGCGTCACTATTTGGAAGGAAGGACTTTCACCATCCTCACAGACCACGAGAGTCTTAAACACCTTCTTGGCCAAAAGATCCACACTCATATTCAAAAGAAGGGTCTTGTTAAGTTGGTTGGGTTAGATTTTGAGATCAAATACATGCAAGGCAGATTCAATAGGATGGCTGGTGCTTTGTCCAGGCATCCTCAGTTTCAAGTTGGAGGGGAAACTAAGGCTGAGTGTCAAGCCATCTCGGCTGTGCTGCCAGCTTGGTATAGTGAACTGGAACTGACCTATGTGGGTGATACTGATGTTCAGAATCTGATGTTAGAAGCAACAGTTCCTATTGTTGGTCCTCGGATTAATTCAGTAAAGTAGGGATTACTCTATCACAAGGAAGCTCTTTATGTTGGATCTGTGGGGGATATGAGAGTTAAATTGTTAAAGTTGTTCCATGATTCTCCAATTGGGGGGTCATTCAGGGGTGCAGGCAACCTATTTGAGATTGAAGCGGTATTTTTGGTGGCCTGGCCTTAAACTACAGGTTAAGGAGTTTGTGAGAGTGTGTGATGTATGCCAAAGATGCAAGTCTGAGAATGTTCCCTATCCTGGCTTACTGCAGCCTCTGCCAATTCCCGAGAGAGCTTGGCAGCATGTTTCAATGGATTTTATTGATGGATTTGCCAGTTCTACAAGGAAGGAGGTTGTGTTTGTGGTGGTGGATAGGTTTTCAAAGTATGGCCATTTCTTTGGTTTGACAAGACCATATACAGCCACCAGTGTAGCTCAAATCTTCTTCGAGGGAATCTTTAAGCTTCATGGAATGCCCCAAACAATTATATCAGACCGAGATGTTGTCTTTACCAGCTCTTTCTAGACCAAGTTGTTTGAATTACAAGGAGTGGATCTCCATTATTCAACAACTTATAACCCCCAAACAGATGGCCAAACAAAGAGGTTAAATCGATGCTTGGAAGACTATTTGAGGAGCATGGTACATCATTCTCCACAGCATTGGAGTGCTTGGCTTCCTCTTGCGGAATGGTGGTACAACACCAACTATCACAGTAGCCTGCAGTTGACTCCATTTGAGGTACTCTACGGGTATCCCCCTTCGCAGTTTGAAGTCAGGAATCCCTTATCCACCTCAGTGGCAGCAGTTGCGGAAAAGCTTCAACAGCAGCAGAACTTGATCAAGGTCATTAGGGAGAATCTTGCTATGGCCCAGAACATACAGAAGCAGATGGCGGACCGAGAGAGTCTTTGCAGAAGGTGACATGGTGTATTTGAAGCTTCGACCCTATAGACAGGTGACAGTGGCAACAAGGACTGCACAGAAGTTGGCTTCCAAATATTATGGACCCTTCCTCATTCTTAAGAAGATCGGTGTCGTGGCTTACAGACTGCAGCCGCCGCCAAACTCTTCTATCCATCCTGTATTCCATGTTTCCCTTCTTAAGAAAGCTGCAGGAGCGCAGGTGATGGTCCATCCCGCCTTGCCAGATTATGACAACTGATAGACCGTTATTTACACATGTTTTTACCCCTGTTCTTACACCGTTTGAGATGTGATTTCTCGTGTTTTAGGCCGATTTCACGCTAGGTTGTGCTTGTTTGTCATATTTCAGGTCCTAGTACGTGAATGAAGGCTTAGGAGCGATTCTGGGGTCGATTGGACGAAGAACAGACGAATGGCGAGGTTTTTGGGAGCTGCACGGGCAGACCAGAGGGGCTGCACGGCCGTGCACGGTTGCAATCTGGCCGTGCGCCTCATGCCGAGGAGCTGCACGGGCAGGCCCTGAAGATTGCACGGCCGTGCACCTGGCCGTGCAAGAAGCCTGAGTTCAATTAAGGGATACGCTGCGTTTCATGGTGCACGGCCAGACTGGTGAGGTGCACGGCCGTGCACCCTGGCCGTGCAACTCGGGAAACCCGGTTTTAAAGCCTAATCCGAGCCAGAAGTGAGAGGAGAGTGTTTTCAGAGCAAAAACAGAGCCCTAGAGAGAGAAAGTACGAAGAACACATCCTAGAAGCTGTCTTAGAGCTGGATTTCATCGAATCGAGCCTGGAGATCGTCATAGGAGTGAAAATCATCGTCCCGGAGCAGATTATCCTCATCGTTATGAGTATGACTAATCCGATTCTTGTTTTCTCTTCTCTCTCTATGGAGTAGAACCCTTCTCTCACTTGGGGATGAAGAACCCTAGTTCCATGTGTTAGGGATTGATTGTAATGACTTGGGATGATATGACTGTTTGGTTTTAATCGATTGAGACATGCTTTATTGAGTCAATTGAATCTTGATCAAATTCTCTTGATTTCTGCTTTAACCTATGATAGATAGAATCTGATTAGGTTAAGAGAGCTTCCTTGATTGATAGTGGTGAATTGGTTGTGCGAGAGTCAATCAATTTACTGCTTTGTACTGGAATCTAATTCCAGTAGTGAATTTCTGTTCTTACTGCTTCAGCTTTCTATCCCGGTGAAGACTAGTCGTCTGCCGGGTAGTTAGACTGAGAGGGCTTGGTCAGCTTAAGAGATTCCAAGCTACTGCCGGATCTTCCGCAGTCTAATCAACAGTAAATCAACCCAGAGTAAATTGCAATTGAAACCTAACTAAAGAGCTAGGGGGATTCATTCCCGAGTGACTCTTTCCTGCTTAAGAAAACCGATTAATTTCCTGCTTTATTTCTGCTTTTAGTTTAAACAACAATCACTTACTCTAGTTGGCTAGATAACAGAGAATCACTGAGTAAGCAGTAGATCTAGAGCCCGGGTTGATAATATAACTTGCCTGTTACTGCATTCCCGGTCTGCGATTACACTTGGTCGCAGATTGGTGTTGTGTTTTGGCGTGTCAAGTTTTTGGCGCCGTTGCCGGGGAACCCTCTAGGTTATTGGGGAAACGTGAGAATTTGTTACTCTAGCTTTTATTTTCTGCTTTTTATTTCTTCCACCTGTGTGCCTTCACGGGTTGTTTCTGCTGATTGTGTGCAGGTAGTGCATGACCCGTAGCCAGTCGGGAGATCTACTACCACTAGACCAGGAGCTTGAACGAACCTGCAGAAACTTCAAGCGGGCTCTAAAGGCGCGACTGGCTGCGGAGGAGGCGCTATCACAGCTGCAGTTAGAGGAGGAAGAAGAAGAGATGGCTGAACCAGGGAACCATGCTGTGATCCCCGAGGAGCAGACCATGGGCTCCTACTGGACCGCTAGGGCTGCGGACATGAGGTCACCCATTCAGCACCCTCAGGTCCCAGCCAACAACTTTGAGGTGAGCACCTCCGTGATCACCATGCTGCGCGGTTCAGTAGTGTTCCGTGGTAAGGAGGGAGAGTGCCCTCGATCACATCTCAGGCGATTCCACGAGCTCATCGATGGAATCAAGATCAATGGGGTACCAGGAGATGCCATCCAGCTGAGGTACTTCCCATTCACTCTGGAGGGGCAGGCCAAGGAGTGGCTAGACACTCGATCTCCGGGCTCCATCACCACGTTCGCCAACCTGGCGGACAAGTTCCTCACCCGCTACCATCCTCCATCCAAGACAGCTGACCTGCAGAAGCAAATTACACATTTTGCTCAGGATGAGGATGAGACCATCAGGGATGCATGGGAGAGGTACAACAGTCTTTTCCTCAGGTGTCCCAATCATGGTTTCAACGATGCGTTCAAGGTGGGCACCTTCTATCACGCCCTCTTCCCGGAGGACAAGCAGCTGATCGATTCGGTTTGTGGCGGGAACATGCTGACCAAAACCCCGCCACAGCTGAATCAACTCTTTGAAGAGATGGCGGAGAATGGTTATGATTGGGGCACTGCCAGGAGATCGAGGAGAGCACCAGGCCGGGGTGTGCATGCTGTGGGCACCCAGTCATCCGATTTGGTGCAGGTAGTATCGAAGCTGGTCTCAGCTATCGATCGTTCCGGGATGATTCCAGGGACCGGACAGCAGCAGGCGATGCTCTGCCAGTGGTGCGAGAGCACCCATCATATGGTGGAAGACTGCCAGGCGATGAAGGAATCGACCACACCCCAGGAGCAGGTGAACTTCATCAACAATGTCAGGCGCAATGACCCCTACAGCAACACGTACAATGAGGGGTGGCGCCAGCATCCTAACTTCTCCTGGGCTGGGCCAAATCCCAGACCACCAGCTCCACAGGGACCACCGGGCTTCCAGAGGCCACCATATCAGCCCAGACAGGGGCAATTCCAGCAGCCAGGTGCAGCCCCTGCTGCCCCAGTGCAGAATGATCAGATGGCTGAACTGCGGGACTTGGTGGGTTCTCTTGCCAGTGTTAGTGCTCAGAAATTCAACACCTTTGAGCAATTCATGGAGAAGGCCTCGGGTCAACTCCTGGCTCTGGAAGCTGGTCAGAGGAATACACGGGCTGTTTTGCAGGATATCCAGACCCAGCTGGGGAGCGTGGCCCAGGCAGTGGCTCAAAGGGCTCCTGGTACTCTACCAGGGCAGACCATCCCTCACCCGCCGACCCCGAATGAGCGCTGCAACGCCATCATGACCAGGAGTGGCAAGATGACTGTTGATCCCCCTGCTCGGGAACCGGAGAAAGAAAGCCCTGTCTTAGCGGCTCCAGCGGTTGAACAGGAAGTAGAGAAGGAAGTTGAGGTGCCTGCACCTAAACCGCAACCAGTAGTGAAGGAGTATGTCCCTAAACTCCCTTTCCCTACTCGGTTGCACAAAGACAGGCTGGAGGCAGAGTTCGAGAACTTCATGGCCATGCTTAAGAAGCTGAATGTCCAAGTGCCCTTCCTGGAGGCACTATCGCAAATGCCAAAGTATGCGAAGTTTCTGAAAGAGCTTCTCTCAAAGAAGCAGAAGCTGAGTGAGCTGGCCACGGTAGAGCTCAGCGAGGAATGCTCGGCTATTCTGCAAAACAAGCTTCCGCAGAAGAAGAAGGACCCAGGTAGTTTTACTATCCCGTGCTCTATTGATAAATTGCATGTAGAGAAGTCCTTGGCGGATTTAGGTGCTAGTATCAATGTTATTCCATATAAATTGTTCATGAAACTAGGCCTAGGTGAACCCCGTGCTACTAGGATGACCCTTCAATTAGCTGACAGATCTGTAGTGCATCCTAGGGGTATAGTGGAAGACCTTCTGGTTAAGGTTGGCAAATTCACATATCCCGTGGATTTTGTTATCTTGGACATCAGTGAGGACACAGAAGTGCCTCTTATACTGGGAAGGCCTTTCCTGGCCACCGCCAAGGCTCTCATAGATGTGCATGATGGGACCTTAGTTTTGAGGGATGGCGAGGAGCGAATAACGTTTTCTGTTGCTGATACTATACCTGCTTCGTCACCTCTTCATGCTGTATCTCACCAGGAGCACGAGTCTGTCGTGTATCCTTCTGTGCTGCCCATTTTGCAGGAACCGCCTCCCACACCTTCGCCGCCACTCCGGACCACTCCGTCACCCAAAGAACAGATCAAGGAGGAGTGGCGGCCGAAACTGCAGGCAGCTAAGCCTGCTCGAAAGGAAGCCGGAGACCACTATGAGCTGGTCCCGCCCCCTCCTTGGCCATCCGAGTATTCACTCGCTTGCATCCTACCGGATGGCCAAGTTGAGCTGGCGAATGCAGGTGGCCACATTCGTCGCGTGCATGGCCACCATTTGAAGCTGTACCTCAAGAGCGATGTGGATCCGCTCTTGAAGGCACCTGATCCTACACTTCCCTGAGCATCCATACTGGCGTCCAGCTAAAAGACGGTAAAGAAGCGCTTGTGGGGAGGCAACCCCACCGAGGTTTGCATTTTCTTACTCTTTTTCCTTTGATTTTGTGTGTTTTTGAGTCTTGAGACGTTGATCCATAGTTATGTGTCGTTTTTGAGCGAAAACAGGTTGATTTCGGGACCCCAGCAAGTCGCACGGCCAGAACCTAGACTTGCACGGCCGTGCGGGTACCCCCCCGGCCGTGCGAGCTCTCGGCCACAAGCGCACGGCCAAAAGTGCACAATGCACGGCCGTGCGCTCAGCCTGGCTTGGCCGTGCGCTTTGCACGGGCATGGCATTGTCTTGCACGGCCGTGCGCTATGCCTGGCCTGGCCGTGCGAGCTCTCGGCCAGGAGTGCACGACCAAAAGCGACGCCATGCACGGCCGTGCGCGCCTGCCCGTGCGGCCGGGGCTGCTTCAGCTGACGGTGATGATGGAACTGCTGGCGCTGCTGATGATGATGCGTTCATGACCGACATCGACCTCGACGATCTTGGCGACGAGTAGGCTGTACTCGTTGCCCGTCTCAGTGTGTTTTCTTTTTCATTTTAGACTTTTGTGTGTTTGCTCCATGTGTGCGGAGCTTGAACTTAGTGTCGTTTGTTTTTGTTTTTGGTTTTTCCTTTGTGGTTTGATGTAGCCGTCTGGGCTAACACTTATCCCTAACGCTCAGTGTGCTAGTGTGTTTCTGATGTTCGATTTGTGCAGCATTGTCCACTCTCCCGTTCGTTTCTCGCTGACTGGTCCACTTCCAGTCCCCCAGCAGTGTTCCTACCCGGTAACATCGTTCCCTTATCTTTCTCTCTGCTCCATTGAGGGCAATGTCGTTCTTAAGTGTGGGGGGATGCTTTGTATCGGTTGGAATATTTATGATGGTGCTTGGAGCCTAGTCCGCTGTCCGAATCTTACGATTTGAGGGCTCCAAGTACTGCTGTTTGATCATATTGGCACTGTGTTTTGATGGATGAATTGATTGGTTTTCGGATTAATGCATGACAACTTGTTTGCGACTAGGACAACCTATGATGAGGACTGAGATGTGCAGTAGAACGATGTAGGGGTTCAGTTTTTCAACTGTTTGCTTGCCAACTGTGACTTGATCTGACTTGATCTGATTACTTGTTCTTAACAGTCGTTTATGCATCTAGTTCAGGGTAGCAGAATATGAGATAGAGCATATAGGTAGCCATGTGAGATTTGAGCCTGCTCGTTTCTTTCTTGTGCGATAGATCCCTCTTCCATGATGTGTAGCATTCACGTTGTCACTAGCTGAGATGATGGGGGCATAGGATTAGCCCACGCCCAAAACTGACTGTCCTGATGTGTCATATCCCCTAGTCAGCCCCTTTGAGCCGTGTGTTATCCTTTCTTTTGGTCAATAATGAAAAGAAATCACCCTTGTTGCATCTTTTAGAAGGTTCCACAGAGTGGTTTTTATATATTCTCTGCTGTTTCTGCTAAAGTCTATGTGAGTGTTGGAGGTAGTGCTTAAAAGTTGGGCGGATGTTTGAAATATGTGCAGGAGTGGTGGCTCTCTTAAGAAATGAAAAGAAAAATAAAAGAAAAACAAAGAAAAATTGGAAGCAAAAGAGAGCCACTACTAAAAATCTGAATAATGCCCAGTAAGTAGTGTTTCTTAGCAGTCTGGCTTGGAAATGCTGATGTTTATGCCTCCTTCGCTCTTGTGCTCTTAAGATATTGAGTAATGCAGGATAGCAGAAAGAAAATACCGGTTTGTTTGACTGTGATTGTGTGTTCGGGAAATGTGGAACCTTTTGCTATGAATACTTCCACCACCTAAAAGGCCTTTTCCCCATGTCCAAGACCCTAGCCAGTCATTTGAACCTGTGTCTAAGACCTCCTGATTAGTTAGTGGTGACACCCCATATGTGAACTCTAGCATTTAGAGGCTGCCATCATGGTGAAGAGATGATAGGGATTGAGAGAAATAGCATGCGCATCTTTCGCATCAAATTGTCCTGACCCCACTGGTCGAGAGTGAGTGATTCATTTTCATTTTCTATATGCTCTTGTACCCCGGTGAGGACCTAGATTGCTCGGTCTCTATTCTGATGTCTTGAGTTGGATGCATGAGTTGACTGTTTTGAGTAAGTGGTTGAATCAAGTCTAGGTTGGCCAGTGAACAGACGGGAGACTCTTCCTTTACTCGATTTGCTGCACTCGAATGTCCTTTGTGGTGGTTGTCCAGGTTGTTGTTGAGGTTGTGCATGTATTGATGTTTGAAAACCAGTGCGATTCACGTGTTCTGTGCCTTTATGACTTGTCCCCAATGTTGGTTGATTGAAATATGTAAGCTTACCTAGTGTCTGACTTGGTTTGCTTGGGGACAAGCAAACGGTTAAGTGTGGGGGAGTTTGATAGACCGTTATTTACACATGTTTTTACCCCTGTTCTTACACCGTTTGAGATGTGATTTCTCGTGTTTTAGGCCGATTTCACGCTAGGTTGTGCTTGTTTGTCATATTTCAGGTCCTAGTACGTGAATGAAGGCTTAGGAGCGATTCTGGGGTCGATTGGACGAAGAACAGACGAATGGCGAGGTTTTTGGGAGCTGCACGGGCAGACCAGAGGGGCTGCACGGCCGTGCACGGTTGCAATCTGGCCGTGCGCCTCATGCCGAGGAGCTGCACGGGCAGGCCCTGAAGATTGCACGGCCGTGCACCTGGCCGTGCAAGAAGCCTGAGTTCAATTAAGGGATACGCTGCGTTTCATGGTGCACGGCCAGACTGGTGAGGTGCACGGCCGTGCACCCTGGCCGTGCAACTCGGGAAACCCGGTTTTAAAGCCTAATCCGAGCCAGAAGTGAGAGGAGAGTGTTTTCAGAGCAAAAACAGAGCCCTAGAGAGAGAAAGTACGAAGAACACATCCTAGAAGCTGTCTTAGAGCTGGATTTCATCGAATCGAGCCTGGAGATCGTCATAGGAGTGAAAATCATCGTCCCGGAGCAGATTATCCTCATCGTTATGAGTATGACTAATCCGATTCTTGTTTTCTCTTCTCTCTCTATGGAGTAGAACCCTTCTCTCACTTGGGGATGAAGAACCCTAGTTCCATGTGTTAGGGATTTATTGTAATGACTTGGGATGATATGACTGTTTGGTTTTAATCGATTGAGACATGCTTTATTGAGTCAATTGAATCTTGATCAAATTCTCTTGATTTCTGCTTTAACCTATGATAGATAGAATCTGATTAGGTTAAGAGAGCTTCCTTGATTGATAGTGGTGAATTGGTTGTGCGAGAGTCAATCAATTTACTGCTTTGTACTGGAATCTAATTCCAGTAGTGAATTTCTGTTCTTACTGCTTCAGCTTTCTATCCCGGTGAAGACTAGTCGTCTGCCGGGTAGTTAGACTGAGAGGGCTTGGTCAGCTTAAGAGATTCCAAGCTACTGCCGGATCTTCCGCAGTCTAATCAACAGTAAATCAACCCAGAGTAAATTGCAATTGAAACCTAACTAAAGAGCTAGGGGGATTCATTCCCGAGTGACTCTTTCCTGCTTAAGAAAACCGATTAATTTCCTGCTTTATTTATGCTTTTAGTTTAAACAACAATCACTTACTCTAGTTGGCTAGATAACAGAGAATCACTGAGTAAGCAGTAGATCTAGAGCCCGGGTTGATAATATAACTTGCCTGTTACTGCATTCCCGGTCTGCGATTACACTTGGTCGCAGATTGGTGTTGTGTTTTGGCGTGTCAGCTTGAAGGTGGAGCCCATGAAGATCCTGGCCATAAAAGTGGTGGCTCGTGACAACAAGGCTGCTACCCAAGTGCTCGTCCAATGGTCTCATCAGAACGCTGCAGATGCTACTTGGGAGTTCCTCGATGAGTTTAAAGCCAAGTATCCAGAATTCAAGACTTGAGGACAAGTCTTCAGTGAAGGAGGGATACTTGTAACAGACTGGACTTAATTGTAGATAAATAAAAGGAAGTGGACGAGAGTGAGAAGCTGGAGTGTTGATGTAATGGGCAAAATGGATCGTATAAGTAGAGCCGGGCCCACTGGTTCAGGATACGTTGGAATTAATACAATCTTCTCCCCCTCTTCTTCCTATCTCTCTCTTCTATCTCTCTCTCTCTTACTTTAACATTAGTTGCGTAACAACCTTTCCCTCCAGCCGAGCATCCCCAAATACTCCACTGGAAAGGAAGTCGCCATTGCTATCTCGTCGAGTTCTTGAGACTCTCCACCCCGGCTGTGACAGTAGGTTTCGTGGAGTAGGAGAGCTGCGATCTCAGTCGGAGGAGAATAGAGCGAGAGGCCATCGTGCGACGGCGAAGATTTTGATTTGGTGCGAAGAAAATCGATTTTAAGGGCGGCGAGTTTTTGCGGGGTTTATTTCAGTAACGGCGGCTAAACGGAATACTAAGGCGCTAACGAAAGTTCGTCAGATGGTGGGTGGGAGTGACCCACTTTTCCGAATGAGGTCCGAAGTCCTAACACGTAATCGATGGTCCAAGTGGCTAGTGAAACGACGGTGTTTCTTCCTTCACAATGTGACTGTGAAAGTGTCAATTCAACCCCTAAGCATCTCATGTTTCTCTTTTTTTTTGGGTGAAATCTCATGTTTCTCTTTAAAGTATCTAAAATATTTGAAATACCATTTTGGATACATTTCTTTCTTCTCTGGAAATGATGAAACGAAGGAGAATCTGCTCATTGGGGAGGGGATTACGTTTAACCCCTTTGTTGTTATAAAAGCACAAAAAGATCTGTAATCCCCGAGAAGTTTGGGCGAAGCCGGCGGGCGGCGGACGGCGGAGGTGAACAAAACAAACGGAAACCATTGACTCCAGAGGGTATTTTGTTTCTTTTTAATTTAGCAATAGAGCATTGAGGTTTCATGCCGCGGTAAGGAGTGGGAGAAAGGTTAGGTGAAGGTATAAAACTGTAGAGTAGGGGTGAGGGAAGCAGAGGGAATTTTTCTGTAGTGGGACAGGTTTTCGGGTTTGTCTGCTTCCTCATTTCATCCCTTTCTTCCCTAGTCTCTCATAGCTATATCATTTTCATGGTGGTGGTGGATTGCCCTTTTCACGTGTAAAGATTGCTCTTTTGCTTGAACCCAACCAACTCCCCATAGTTTAAAACCCAAAACTCGGAATCAGCTCTCCGATTACTGTTTTCTGCGGCGGGGAAATGGATTCTCAGGTGATTGTAGCGCTTGCTCTGTCGCTGGTTGGCAGCCTCAGCACTTCACTTGGTTAGTTTTCAGCTTCCAACCTCTTCTGTTTTAGTTTCGCCGTTGTTTTGTTGTCTTGATTGGCTTGTTTAGGGTAGGGAAGGCTGTTCATTTCCACAGTTCATGGGTGATTGTTGGGTGTCATATTGTCGTCAATTTCCATTGAGTCTCTTGGTAATGAATGGGGTCTTTGAGCTTTAGATTGTCTGTCATCCATATAGCAGGTGAAGCTTCAGGCTTTAGGATGATTAAAGAAATGATGTGGGAAGTTGAAGCTTGGAATAAATTAATAGCTTGCAAGCTTAGTAATTTGCTATTGACATGATGTTTACCTGCCAAAACTATGTGTCGCAACCGCACCTCCGAGATCGGAGTACCCGTCACGAACCGCTCGGAGTCGCCACCGACCTTAATCGGGGTGGGTCGAACACCCTTTTCCGGTTTTAATGTTGGGTTAAAACCAGAAATCTGGTCTGCGAATTTTAGGTTTATGGGTTCGGGAGTACGATTACGTGTGGGGAAGTGTATTCACACCCCACAACGCCCCAAAAGGGTACTACTTAAATCGATAAGTTTTAAAAGGGTTGGGTGTATTATTAATTGGGATTTGTTTGTGTATTTAATTACAATATTCGGTTTTTTGATTAGTTTGAATGTAAATTGTTAGAGTCCAATTGGACGATGTTATCGGTATAAACTTGAGTTTAAAGTTGCCGGTTTTCACGTCTATTGACGTAAAAAATGGTTTTTTAGATTGGTTGGACTCGAACCTATCGGTTGCCTACGTACCCGGGTTAACCGGGATCAAAGTCCACGTAGTTCGAAAGGTGACTTTAATGATTTAAAACGTAATTTTAACCACGTTCCAAACGATCACAACTCTTGACTTTAATTCGTTTTAAGTGTAATTTTTATCGCTTTTCACTGAAAGTGATTATCGCATTATAATTTCGTTACTGAAATTTAAATTTATGTCTTGCAAGGATTTTAGTATTTAGGAAGTAAATCGATGCATCGGACAAGAAGCGAAATAAACTTAATCCGCATCTTAACATTTCGTATTAAGGATATTAAATAACAAAACTAAATGAGAGGATTAAATTGATGCATAACAGGCGAACAGCCTAACTGGCTGTGGTGGTATTAGGTCGAATTCTACTCCGAGAATGCGGGTTCGATACCCGCCGTCTCCAATTTTACAGATTTTCTCTTTTGGTGCGGCTAAAGGGGGAAGGGCAGTTTGGTAAAAAGCCAACAACGCGGTGGCAAAGGAGTGTAGTTATTAAGAAACCCTAGGGGTAAATCGGTCTTTCTGGAATGGGTATAAATTCAACTTTTTGGACAAAAAATCAAACCCTAATCTATCCTAACCTAACCGGCCGCCTCTCTCTTCACTCTCCCTCAATCCTCTCGTTTCTCTAACTCTCTTCCAGAGAAACAAACGAAAACCCTAGCCAACCTAATCTCCTCTGCCTCTCGTCCCTCTCGTCCAAAGCCAACCAAAAACCCTAACTAAACGCCGCTCTCTCCTCTCTCCTAACCTCACTCGCCTTTCTCTTCCTCTCCTTCAAAGGAAACACGGCGGAATCCTAAACACCAAACAAAATCGCCGCCGACACCTTCCCCTTTACCTCACTTCTGGAAACAGCAAAAAAGGGCATCGCCGGCGGCGAACGACGGAAAGCGCAGCCAAAAACGACGACAAACGACTGCTAGGGAGTCCTAAAGGTTCGATTTTTGTTTGCATGTTCGATTTCTTTCAGATTTATCTTAAGGCTTTGGAACTCTTACTCTTATCTCCTGTTTTTCGGAAACTGACTCTAAACCGAGGAAAAGGCTTTCGATTCCAGTCAAGGACACGATGATGACTAAGGGATCTGACCTCTGGTAAGCTTAATCGGACATGCATCACATGTTTGCCTGATTTAGATACTTAAATCGGGTTTTAACCTGTTTTAATCTTATTTTGTTTTTGATTTTTGTTGCTCGGGCTTCTGCCGAGAGAAGGAAATGAAAGGCGACGGTCGCCGGCGGCGTGGACTACACCACAGCCGACGGCGAAGGCTTGTAGGTAGATTCTGGTGTTGTGCTTTTTTTTTATCTTGGTTTTTCGTTTGGGGTTCTGACTCTAGATTTCTCTGATTTTGCAGATTCAGGATGAGAACTTCCCAGGTGAAATCCCCTATATTTTTTCTTTTTGCTGAGCACATAACTTAGCAAAAAACAGATTTTAAGCGATTTACGTAATCATAAGAGGCAAGGTAAAAGGGGTTTAGCAAAAGCTAAAGCTCTTGCCAGACTGGTTAAAAATAATACCTAAGTGTTAGATTTCAACTAAAATCTTGAGTTTAAGATATAGGGGAAGCCCTTTAAACAAAAACAAGGTATTTTAAAATACCTTTCAAAAAATTATCCTTGCTTGTATGGTAACAGGTCCTTATTTCTGGTTTCTTTTTAGTTGTCTGAGCTTAATAAAAACGAGAACTTTGGGATTAGCAGATTACTTAAGCTACTCAGTCAATGATTAACAAGTTTGAGTAAGATGTAGTGTTTAAAGGTGTGTTATATTTAGATATATTAGTGGTAAAAGTAGTGTATAAACTAAACAACAAAGGTCGGTTGATTCCAACATCTACATATGTTTTGAGTTTACTTCTTTTTCTTACTTTAATCGAAGGGCTTGGATGCTTCTTTGAGATGAGTTTCTTTAGTTAATATCTTGGAAGATAAAACAGACGGTAACAGAAAGTAAGAAACAGAGTTTAGGAAGCCAAGAAAACAAACATGGAAAGTAGAACAAGACAAGCTTAGGGAGTAAAGAAACAGATATAGAAAGCATGGAAAGTAGAATATATTTGCTCAGGAAGTAAAGAAACAGATACGGAAAGCATGGAAAGTAGAACATATTTGTGCAGGAAGTAAACAAATCAGATATAGAAAGCATAGAAAGTAGACATATTTTGTGCTTTTTAAGTATGTATGGCGTGATGTGGTGATGATGATTGGTTTCTTAGTGATGAGAAAACCTACCCTGGCTTGATTGGGATGGTAGTGTGGTTGTTTGTTTGTTTCCTTCTGTTGGCTTCTACTGGTCCTAGCTTCTTTGCTTCAGTCGCTTTCTACTGAGGTGGAGGTGAGGGTTTGGCTTTTTACTTTCACAAGCTTACTGGGTTCTTACTCAAACACTGCTTATGATCTTGGGAAAATTGGGGAAAGTTGGAGAAAGTTGGAGAGGAGGTGAATGGGTTTTTTTTTACTGCCTTTAACTTTTTGGGATCTGAATGAATCAATCCCCCTCTGCTGCCCCTGGCGTGTTGCATTTATATTGGGAATGTACTGTAGCTACAGTAACCGACATGATTCAGATCGAACCAGGGTTCGAGTCAAATGGACGAACCGGTCTGGGTTGGGTACAGATCTGACCGGGTCGATCCTTTGGCTGGGCCTTGACCAAATTGAAGGGCCTGACTGGGCTTGACCAATCTGATGGGCCTGATTGGGTTTGGGTTGGACTTTGGTATGGACCTGACCCAAATTTGATTATCTTTAATTATTCATTTATTTATTTATATTATTATTTTTTGCAGGCCTATTTTCTAGACTTTTATGGCCAAAAATGATGACCTGAGAAAACCAAATCCAAATAGGATGGTTCTCAAAATCTGATTTCGCCCTTAAGTTTAAAACGAAAGAAAAGTTTTCAAAACCAATGGTCATGTTATTTTTTCTTTATCTTCCTATTATTGTAATTAGTTACGATGTAATCTTTATGAAGTTTGGTGATTATGTGATGTTGTACATTAATCTCGATTGTTGTAATGGTCATGTGTGTTTATCATAAATATAAATTATTATTTCACTAGTTAGTTCGTCATTTGTCAAGTGATACTCCAACTCGATACTCCACATTCGAAAGCCTAACGTCCGAAGACCGCAAACTAATCAAAGTGATCCTAACCCAAGAATATAACGTAAATGAGGCAATTGCCTTACGAGCTTTAGCCCAACAATCGTCCTAAAATAAAAGGAGATAAGATTTTAGTTGCGATAACCTCTATTTAAAATGGGATCTTAAGACTTGCTATTGCTAAATCCAAAGACCCAAATTACATATTCTTATATTCTCATGTTAAATATTTCGAGCATATTTAATAGTTTATCCAAAATTAGCAATCGCTTATCGTAAACGAGTTAAATTCTTCGAAATTCAGAATATTATAGCCCGGACAAAATTGGGTGTCTACACTATGATCATATATATGAGGGTTAATAGAATTTTTCTGCCCCTGTACTATGACTATGTAACAAACGTGCCCCTGTACTATTTTTTTTCACAAAGATACCCTTGTACTATTACGTCGTAACAAACGTGCCCTTCCGTTGTGATTTCTGTTTAATCGCCGTTAAATAAGCCTGGAAATTACCCAATTAACCTTGTTTAATGCCCTCTTACCCCGTTAAGGTAGCAATTCCCGTAAACACAGGAAGCGAAGGGAGACGACCAGGCATTCTTCCTCCTTCGACCACCGTTCGTCTTCCTCCGACCAGGGCGACGACAGTCATCGGCGCGCGCTTGGTCCAGTCACCACGGCGGTTCTTCTTCCCATCCGACCGCAGCGCGGCGCGTTCTTCTTCCCATCGGCGCGGCGGTTCTTCTTCCCATCCGACCGCGGTGCGTTCTTCTTCCCAAAGGAAACTGCCGCCGGCAGGCTAGAAAAAAGAAGAAGAAGAAGAAGGTAGATTTCGCGGCAGCTGCTACTAGGGTTTTGTTGCTCAGTGGGCCGCTGGTTCCCTCGCCGTCGTCGGTAGAGTCGAGGGTCGCTGGTTCCCTCGCCGTCGTCGGAAGGAAGAGTCGAGGGTCGTGGCTCGAGGGTCGGGTCGGCAGTCTCTCTGGTCGACAAGAGAGGTAGTCTCTCTGGTGGAAGAATCGATGGGTGGGACGGAATGGGGAGGGCATTAAACAGGGTTAATTGGGTAATTTCTAGGCTTATTTAACGGCGATTAAACAGAAATCACAACGGAAGGGCACGTTTGTTACGACGTAATAGTACAAGGGCATCTTTGTGCAAAAAAATAGTACAGGGGCACGTTTGTTACATAGTCATAGTACAGGGGCAGAAAATGCTATTAACCCTATATATGATATACCCATTGCAAACCCCATCTTCATGGAGTGAGCCGAAAAGTCATTTGTATATGTTCTGATCCTCTCGCCAAATTCTTTTTTTATCATTCGTTCTTGCGAGTCTGACTTGAAACTTTAACCATGAACAGGTGCTCTACTTGTAATCCTTTCTGGGGCGCCAAGTTTGAAGATGCTTGGCCTTTTACAAGTGATTCTCAGGTGTTCAAATTCCTTGTTAGATTATTGTGCGCATTGGATTCAGTTTCTGTAAATCAGATGATATCTTTGATCACATTGTTCAATCTGCAGGGTTTTGCTGCAGGTCTTATGTTGAGTATATTGTTCTTTGATCTCGCTCATAATGCCATCAACTCGATTGGCTTTCTGAAGAGAAATCTTTGGGTTAGCCATCCTTTCAACAATTTTGTTTCACATGCTAATGCACTGCTTGTACTTGATTTGTTTTCCATCCCTTTATCACGACGATACTTCTTTTCTTTTGTTCAGTTTTTTGCCGGGATTATATTCTTTGCTGTAATTGTGACATTCATTCCTGAACCACAAATAGCCCCAGCCTCAGAAGGAAAAAGGAAAAAGGTTTCCGAAATCCTTCGTTTTGCTGGATATTCCATGTTTGAATGTAAGTTCGAAGGTGTATTGATGCTTTGCACTTCGCTTTGTTCCAAGAAAATGGTGACGAAGGGGGAAAGGATATGTTGAAAAAGCATCGTCGACATGTTTTCTACAATGGTATTGTTACCGCAATCGGTATGATTTTATCAAAGATTAGGACTTGACCAATAACGACTTAACATCCTATTGTAGATCTCCTAGATGTCGACTAAATTGTTACCATTGCAGTTGGTAGATTTTTTCAAGTTATCTACAAAATTTGCTGAAAGTTGTGTTCTTTGATCTAGGAATAAACTTGCACAATCTGCCCAAGGGCATGGCTGTGTTCCTCGGATCGCTAAAGGTAAGCCTTATACCAGCTTCATGGCTGAAACTGAAGCTCTTAAATACCTCATTTATGTAATTGACTGAAGTTCTTTTGTAGGGTCTTCGTGTTGGTCTAAATTTAGCTTTCGCAATTGCTCTGCACAATATCCCAGAGGTATTATGATGTCTTATTACACCCTTACCCGCGTTTTTTTAGCCTTTGCCGTCAGTGGAGTTAATTAAGTCTGTATCGGCTTGATTATTTGCACAGGGTGTTGCAGTTGCACTACCTGTTTACTTTACATCACAAAGGTGAGACTTCATAAAGCCATGAGTTGTAAATAGGCAGTCGAACCAAAGAACACTTGTTAAAGTAGGATCAAATCCAGTTAGAATGATCTCAGCTGCCGAATTGACTTGGTATGTTTCTGTACAAATCTCAGCAAATGGGAAGCGTTCAAATTGGCGACACTTTTTGGGGTTGCAGAACCTCTCGGTGTTGTAGTTGTAGGTGCGTAAACCTGCCATGAGCAAAGTAGCATAATACTGGCCAACTTTGTTTGACATAATTTCACTGAGGCTGCTATTTCTTCCAGCATATCTATTCCCAAGCAGCTTGAATCCTGAAATACTGGAGGGTCTACTGGGAGCAGGTTTGTTCTACTACTTTGTTTGGCTTCTCACTTCTATGATGGTGATGGAAAACCAACTAGTCCCATCTTGGCCCCTGCAGTTGGCGGAGTAATGGCGTTCCTCACCTTACACGAGATGCTGCCATTAGCTTTTGATTATGCTGGACAGAAGCAAGCTGTTAAGGCTGTGTTCTTTGGAATGGCCTTCATGTCTTCAAGGTAAGAAGGGAAAAACAACTTATTTCATAATAACACTTAATTATGCATTGTTTGAAGTTCCGAGCTTTCGTACTTTTGCTTTAAAGCATTCTCTTGCTCTTTCTGCAGCCTTTACTTTCTCCAAATCAGCTTACCTGAGGATATGAGTTTGTAGCAACTTCATCAACTAAAAATTGTTGTACACCTCTGATAGTAAAAGATCGAAACTTCCTCTGGATCATTGGATGTAATGTGGCAGTTTCAATCAAGAAAGGCAGCTCATCCCTGGGTAAAATCCATTCCTGTAACTAGCAATCGAGCGAGATAAATGTACAGCGATGAGAAGAAGAGATAACTGTAAGCAGACCATTACCCCCTTTCAACTCTCCTTACTAAATTTCCCATCTATTATCTTATATTATTACCCTTACTAGTTTTTTGACCCGCGCTTCGCAGCGGTAAGAAACTAATTATATTTAAAAGTTCATCCATTTATTTAATGATTCAGCTGAATTAAATAATTCACAAAATTATCATAGTAGGGTTGTTCCATAAGTTTTATGTAATATCTTAATCATTATGAAATACATAGACCATATGTTTGTTTGAGTGATATATAACTTACCTTAAAGAATATTTGAGAGCTTTATATAATATATTTTTAATTACAAAATTTTTATAGAATAGTGTTACACAAATCTTTTCGTATGGTGTGGTCCAATGGTGAAGTCAACTAAAAACAATATCAAATTAGATTAATTTGTTATGTAAAAAATAACTTACCTAACAAAAACAACAAATTGTGAAGAAAAAATGTTGAATTTGTGAGCTTTATATAATATATTTGTAATTAAGAATAGTGGTAGATGCAAAAATCTTTTGTACTATGTGATCTAATGATAAAAAGTTTATGATGAAATTAGGAGCATTTTTAGTTACATGACTTTTAAGAATACTGTTATACAAATCTTTCGTACTGTGTTATCCAGTGGTGAAGTCAAGTAAACAGAATTGTCAAATTTGATAAAATTGTTATGTAAGAAAAACTACCTTACAAAATTTTGGTATAATGCAAATAATAGAAAAATAATGTTGAATTTGTAAGCTTTATATAATATATTCTTAATTACTTAATTGATATAGAGAAATAATGTTGATATTTGCAAACGGTTTTGTAAAAAAACTAACCTTAAAAACCTTAATGTAATGCAAATAATAAAAAGCTTATGATAAAATTGGATGTAGGAGATAAATACATCTCAGTACACGTGGTAAAAAAATATACTAATTGTCTATTAAAATAAAATAATGTTGATATTTGTAAAAGGTTTTGTAAAAAAACCTAACCTTAAAAACTTTAATGTAATGCAAATAATAAAAAGCTATTGGATGTAGGAGATAAATACATACTAATTTCCTATTAAAATAAAATAATGTTGATATTTGTAAATGATTTTGTAAGAAAACTAACTTTAAAAACCTTAATGTAATGCAAATAATAATGATTCAGCTGAAATTAAATAATTCACAAAATTATCATAGTAGGGTTGTTCCATAAGTTTTATGTAATATCTTAATCATTATGAAATACATAGACCATATGTTTGTTTGAGTGATATATAACTTACCTTAAAGAATATTTGAGAGCTTTATATAATATATTTTTAATTACAAAATTTTTATAAAATAGTGTTACACAAATCTTTTCGTACAGTGTAGTCCAATGGTGAAGCCAACTAAAAACAATATCAAATTAGATTAATTTGTTATGTAAAAAATAACTTACCTAACAAAAACAACAAATTGTGAAGAAAAAATGTTGAATTTGTGAGCTTTATATAATATATTTGTAATTAAGAATAGTGGTAGATGCAAAAATCTTTTGTACTATGTGATCTAATGATAAAAAGTTTATGATGAAATTAGGAGCATTTTTAGTTACATGACTTTTAAGAATACTGTTACACAAATCTTTCGTACAGTGTTATCCAGTGGTGAAGTCAAGTAAACAGAATTGTCAAATTTGATAAAATTGTTATGTAAAAAAAATTACCTGACAAAATTTTGGTATAATGCAAATAATAGAGAAATCATGCTGAATTTGTAAGCTTTATATAATATATTTTTAATTACTTAATTGATATAGAGAAATAATGTTGATATTTGCAAACGGTTTTGTAAAAAATCTAACCTTAAAAACCTTAATGTAATGCAAATAATAAAAAGTTTATGAACAGGTGTGTGAATGGATTCTTGAAAATGGCCCCTGGTTCTGGTTCAATAATTTGTTATATCTTCGACCATGGGTTCCGGGCATTAGTTTTGAAGATCTAGGGAGAAAAGCCTTACCAATCTGGGTTCATCTCTCAAACGTCCCACTCGAGTACAATGATTTTCAGGGTTTAAGCAGAATTGCCAGTTGGGTGGGTGTACCATTGGGGGTGGATCAGACTACAAGATTGGGGAATAGGCATGGGTTTGCGAAGGTATTGGTGGAACTAACTGCTGGGCATGACTATCCTGATCATGTGTTGGTTTGGCCGGATGAGGAGTCCTCTATTTGTATTGGGGTTTCTTATTGCAATCTCCCCCCAGTTTGTCCTGTCTGCAAATTGTTTGGGGTTACTGGTTCTTGTGAGGCTCATTAGGGAAAGCAATGGGTTGCAAAACCACAACAACAACAGGATCCTGCTGATAATACTAAGGGTATGTCAATGGGGTCGGATCCAGGGGTGAATCAACAGGTTGTGTCTGGAAAATCTGGGGAAAGTAAAGGTAAAGAAGTGGAAATCAGTGAGGATGATCCGCAATTGCAGGCTATTTTCTTAAGTCCTACTGTAAATGAGGGGGAGAGGATAGCTCCACAAAATTTGGAGAAGTCATTCTTGGGAGTGGCTGGGTCTCCTTCCCCAAAGCTGCCAACAGAGGATGAGTTTCAGAGAGTGGTTAATGGGGCAAAGCCTCGGGTCTGGATTTCTTCAGAGAGTGCTAAACATTCTATTCAGGCCTCAACATCTTCGTTCAGTGTGTTAAGCAAGTTGGGAGATAAGGAAGCAAGTAAGATTCTGGATGCACCAAAAAAGAAGGAGGTTAGGAAGGATCAGTGGAAGGGAGGAGGGGGGAAACCCCTAACTTCTAAATGAAGGTCCTATTCTGGAATGTAAGGGGGTTTAATAAAACCTCCAAACAAAAGGACTTAAAGCAAGTCCTTTGTAGAAATCAAGTAGATATAGTAGCAGTTTTGGAAACTAGAATTAAGGCAGAAAAGGCTCATGAAATGGTTGCAGAGGTGTTTTCAGGTTGGGAGAGGTGTATTGAATGTACTGATTCTAAGCTGGGTAGGGTCTGGTTGTTCTGGAATCCTGAGATAAAGCTACAAGTACTGAAGCTCAGTAAAAATTTTGTGCACTGTTTGGTGGAGGACATTAATAAGGATAGTTTCTTTCTTACTGCAGTATATGCATCCAATGATGAAGCAGAACGTCTTCTTACTTACAAAGAATTAGCTAAAGTGAAAGTTGCGGGTTTTCCATGGGTTGTGGGGGGGGGGGGACTTCAACGCTGTGAGAGTGCCTGAGGAGACCTCCAATCAGTACTGCTCTAATGCTAGCATGGGAGATTTTAATAATTGGATAGATGGAATGGAGCTACTAGATTATAGGACCACAGGCCCTCTGTTCACATGGACAAATAGACAGATTGATCATCCAATAGCTAGGAAGCTAGATAGAGCTTTGGTTAACCTTGACTGGATAGAGAAATTCAAAGACTGTGTTATGGAGGTAATACCTGCACACTTTTCTGACCATTGTGGGGTGCAGGTGAGTACTGCCAGCCCAATTAAATCCATGCCTAAGCCCTTCAAATACTTTGAATTCTGGGCTGAACATCCATTGTTTTTGAGTATTGTTGAGGAAGCATGGAAAAGTATGGTATCTGGGAATCCATTACAGGTTATTCAAGGTAAATTGAAAGAGGTGAAAAAAGCACTAAGGAAGTTTAACAAAGATGTGTATGGGAGTCTTCAGGATCAAGTAAAAGAAACAGAAGCTGCTTTGCACAGGGCACACATTGCTGCTTACTCAGATCCCACTTCTAGTCACTTTGCTGATGTTAAGTAGGCCACAGAGCAGTATGAATCCATTTCTCGAGCTTATGAAAGCTTCTGTTGGCAAAAATCCAGGGTTTCATGGTTGACTGTGGGGGATAAAAGTTCCCACTTCTTCCATCAAGCAGTAAAGATTCGTAATTCTAAGAGGGCTATCAGGAAATTGGTAAGGGATTCAGGGGAGGAGATCTACCAAACTGAGCAGATTGTTGAGGAAGTTATTGGATTTTATAAGAAGCTGCTAGGTGAGGCAAATGGGGATATTAATCCTAGTGAGGATATGAGGTGAAGAGGCTGGTAACAAGGCAAATCCCTCAGGGGGAGTGTGAAGCTCTAATTCAGGAAGTTACTGGAGATGAGATTAGAACAGTGGTGTTTAGCATGAACAGCCAAAAAGCACCAGGTCCAGATGGTTTTTCTGCTGGTTTCTTCAAAAGGACCTGGGGGATCATTGGTGAAGATATAATCAGGGGGATTCTGTTCTTCTTTCAGTCAGGTATTCTACCAAGTGGAGTAAACTCTACTGCTGTTTCTTTACTTCCCAAAATTCCAAATGCTGAGTCCCTAAAACACTTTAGACCTATTTCTTGTATAAACTTCTTATACAAAATCATTGCTAAGATCCTAGCTAATAGAATCAAAGGGATAATGCCTTCTATAATCAGTGGTTCCCAGTCTGCTTTTATAAAAGGGAGAAGTATTATGGATAACATTTTGATGGCTCAAGAGTTGGTAAGTGGGTATAATAGGAAGTCTCTGTCCTCTAGATGTGCTATAAAAGTAGACATTATGAAAGCGTTCGATTCAGTGAGTTGGAAGTATCTATTTCTCATGATGAATAGTATGGGATTTCCTGCTACATTCTTAAAATGGATTAAAAGCTGTCTCCAAACAGCTCACTATAGCATTAATGTGAATGGGAGCCTCTGTGGATTCTTTAGGGCCAGGAAGGGGGTGAGGCAGGGTGATCCATTATCACCCTACCTTTTCACCATTGCAATGGAGGGGTTGTCAACGTTATTATCTGAGGCAGGACAATCTGGAACTATTCCATATCATCCACAATGCAAGAGAGTGGCCTTAAACCATCTCCGCTTTGCTGATGATTTGCTTATTTTTACTAAGGGATCTGCTCAGACCATTATGCAGGTGAAAGGGGTCCTTCAAAGGTTTTATCAGCTTTCAGGCCTTAACAGTAATCCTGCAAAGTGTGAAGTTTATTTTGGTGGGGATTCTATCACCTACAAGCATAATGCATTGTCTCTTACAGGTTTTCAAGAAGGAACACTTCCAGTCCGTTATCTGGGGTTACCACTTCTGTCTGGTAAATTTTCTTCTGTTGAGATTGATACTTTGTGGAGAAAATTACAAAACGCATAAGGTCTTGGAGAGCCAAAAAGCTCACTTACGCAGGGAGGTTGCAGCTACTAAATTCAGTCATTCTTGGGATGGTGCAATTCTGGATGCAGATGTTTGTCCTTCCAAAGAAAGCTCTTAAGAGAATACAAAAAATTTGCTCTCAATTCCTCTGGCATGGACATGATGAGGGTAAAGCTAAGGTGAGTTGGGACTATGTTGCACTGCCTAAACGTGAAGGAGGGCTTGGGGTAAAGGATCTTCTTGCCTGGAATCAAGCTTGTACAGGTAGAATGATTTGGTTGTTTCTAATGAACTCAGGGGCTATATGGGTGGCATGGATAAAAGAGTACAAGTGCAGGGACTATAATTTCTGGACATTAAGGGTGCAGTATAGTAATTCCTGGGCATTCAGGAAGATACTTAAGCTGAGGGCAATTGTTCTCCCATGGATACAGGTGCAGAATGATAAAGTTTACTGGGATTCAAATGAGATGAGCACTTACTCGATTCGTCGAGTGTGGGAATCCTTAAGGCAGAAGGCTCCTAAAGCTGATTGGTATAAGTTAGTTTGGGGTAGTAATTGTCCCCCTCGTTTTAGCTTAATTGTGTGGTTGATTGTGAAGAATGCCATTACAACAAGGGATAAGTTACTGAAATGGGGAAGAATCAGCACAGCTGAATGCCCTCTGTGCACAAATGGAGTGGAGAACAGGGATCACCTATTCACCCAATGCAGGTTTGCAAAGAAGCTTGCTGAGGAGTTGGGAGGCAGGCTGCTGCAGTTTCCAGACTGGAATTCTATGATTCGCTCTCATTCTCAGGCAGGGGCGGATCCGCTTGGGGAATGGCAAGCACTTGTGTGGTGCTTGCTGATGGCATTTATTTGGAAGGAGAGGTGTCAGGTGGTATTTGGAACTCTTGCACATAATCCAAGGCAGGTTGTAGAGCTTATAAAACAGGAACTTGTATTTACCACATATGGAAATAGATGGGCTCGTGATACATTGGTGAGGTTGGGATACTTGTGACTGTTCAGAGGTTTTTGTTTGTTCTGTTTTGTAGATGATAGTACAAAGATAGGTGTCTAGTTTATTGGCAGGTTGTTGGAGAACTTTGGGATGACTTTCCCCACCTTCGTTGTATTGGTTTTCTTGCAATACAAGGGCAATTGATTCAACGAAAAAAATAAAAATAAAAAAAAATTTTATGATAAAATTGGATGTAGGAGATAAATACATCTCATGAACAGTACACGTGGTAAAAAAATATACTAATTGCCTATTAAAATAAAATAATGTTGATATTTGTAAAAAACCTAACCTTAAAAACTTTAATGTAATGCAAATAATAAAAAGCTATTGGATGTAGGAGATAAATACATACTAATTGCCTATTAAAATAAAATAATGTTGATATTTGTAAACGATTTTGTAAAAAAAACAAACTTTAAAAACCTTAATGTGATGCAAATAATAAAAAGCTTGTGATAAAATTGGATGTAGGGGATAAATACGTCTCATGAACAGGACATGTGGTAAAGAATATACTAATTACCTATTAAAATATAATAATTCTTTATAATTTCGTATGCTACAGTGCCGCATACTTGCGGCTTTAATATACTAATTAGGAACTTTAGCATATGTTTTCATATTATTTTAAGGTTTATCAGTTTTCAAACAGAGTTGAGCATCAAAGGTCGTCAGGCGATCCTCTAGGGATAATAGATCTAGGGATAGCTACCGCCACCGAGGGCACCCGATGAGGCTCTGTCAGCGGCGACAGCCATCAACAATCAATTTCCAGGCAGAGAGAAAAGAAAGAGGATTTTTATTTGATTCGATTTGATTCGTTTTGAGCGCTTTACAAAGTATACTATCCTAAAAAAAAAATTTTGGCGCTAAACGTAAATAAAAAAAAGGCTTTAATCCTCTTCGACCGTCGACCGCCAGAATTACACTTCGCTCTGAACTAATTTGACTTTAATGTCCTATTTGCTTGAACGGAAGATCGCCCAAGCCGCCGCGGCGACTGCTCTGGCAACAAATCCTCCGACGGTACACTTATAGCAAGTTGCCAACGATTCTTCTTTCTCCGTTGTCTTGCCATCTTGATTCACCACCGTCTTGGACTGCGTTCTTGCATTGGCCCCCTCTGTCGCTGAGCACTGATCGGGAATGGTCGCGCCGCCGGTGCCTTTTTTCTTCGCGCTTTCTTCCTGGCTACCGGCCGCCATAGACGCTGACAATGTCTCCCCTCTGCGCTTCTCATTCTTCTCTAGTGCGATTTCAATTGCCCTTTCTTGGTCTAGCCTCCCCCTGATGGCTTCGTAGTACGAAGCTATGATCACAAACCCAAAAAGAAGCCCCATTGCGAATTTTGCTTTCTCGGCTGGTCCTTTCATCTGAGCGCCAATTCTGCCGGCAACCTCGTCAGAGAATGTGCGAAACTCCCGCCGCAGGTGCGCCAGAAGTGTGCTCGCCATGTGATTGGCGAGTCTCCCTGATTCCGGCAGTGACATCAAGTGGGCGAGGACACGGCTGAAGACGTCATCTGCAATGGAGCTCTCGTTGCCGTCGCCTGGGGGAGAGTTGGTGGGTGGCCGGCGAACAACGGCGGTATTGGGCCGACGTGGAGAGAAGGGGCGGCTGGCTGATTCCTGGTGAGAATCTTTCTTATGGGAGGGAAAGATGCAGCAATTGAAGGCCTTCTAAACATTGGCGCTGACAAGATTTGACAAGAAGTTCTTGGAGTGGTTATTTCAGGTTGGAGAATTGGAACTCTTGTCGCCGGCGATGAGGGCAGGCAATTTATTTAAGATGGAGCGGGACGATACGCCCGTTACTAGGCGAATACTTACTGGGCCTATTTACTGGGCCGTCGATCCGATGATCAAGAGGTTGCCATTACTAGGCGAATACTTCTACTATCATGTAATCAACCATCCTACAGTCTTGGTTTGTTCATACCACCATGATACGCTTTTAAAACCATAGGTATTCTCTTATTTCAATACCAGTCAATACCATATGGTATAGACTGGTAAAAAAATGGCTAAAATATATCAAAGTGGATATCATTTTGAAGAGCACAATTAATCTGATCTAACTGTGCAAAAAAAATTAAATTTCAACTTAAAATGAGTGAGAAATCGTCCGTCAAAGATTAAGGAGGGGAAAATTAATGACTTTACAGGAGAGAGAGAGAGGATGCTGATGTCATGCTGATGTGGACGGGTTACTCATGGTTACTCACCATAAGGTTACTGACCTGATCCATTCCCGCTTGGGGGGTTGCAGATTTAGGTTCGAATCCAAGCGGGACTCGTTGGTATTCCCGGAGGTACAAGGCTGCTAGGGGCGAAGCTCCGTTGGCGTAGAATTTGATTGCAGGTGACCCCCAGATTTAGTAGTGTTTTTTTTAGAGAAAACTAAAGGGAATTTCATTGAGAAAAGGACTCAGTCAGCCTCAAGGGCTACAGCAGTAGCTACCATAGAAGGTAAGCTGTTACAATCAAAGAAAACTTCCTCAGAATCAGATACTAAATGGGCTAACAAATGAGCAATACTGTTTGACTCTCTAAACACAAAAGACCAGTCTCGAACATCCATCCCCTCTGCCACCTTCAATATATCCGAACAGATACTCCCCAACTCTGTTCTGCAAGTTCTGTGAGATTTCAGCAACTGAATAACCTTTTTACAATCAGACTCAATTACAACCGGTCCAAAACCTTTCTCTTTAATCAATCTTATCCCAACAAGAATAGCCATACCTTCCGCAAGCTCGGGAGACCAATTTATGCTGAATCTGCTGCTGGCCGCAAAAACAGCTTTTCCATTCCAATCTCTTAGGATACATCCCAGTCCCACTTCACCTCTGCTACTTACCCCAACATCTGTATTTAGTTTGAACACTCCCATTGGAGGCTTTGCCCACTTTCGATCCTCCCTATGTCTGGTACGAGTAGAATTCTGCTCCTTCCCCTGAACCTCCAGGAAGCAGTGGATAAACTCGTCTGCCCGGGGAAAAACCTGCCAATCTTCCATTATCTTTCTGCTAAACAAGAAATTGTTTCTCTCCTTCCAAAAGAACCAAAGTAAGGAACACACCTGGGCCACCTCTTTCTCTGAAAGATCATTAACAACAAGGGAGAGCCATTTTTTACAGGTAAGGCTTTCAGCTTTGTGGAAGATTTCCGCCAATGGGGTTCTGCTCCATATTCTAGAATTCCAGCTGCAGTCCACAAGGCAATGTTTAAGGGTCTCCTTGAGACCACAGTTTGGGCACTCCTCTCCCAGCCTTTTAACTTTCTTGCTAATCTTCACTCCCACTGGTAAGATGTTATGAGCTGCTTTCCAAATAAAAGTTTTGAGTTTTCCCGGCATGTTCACCCTCCACAGCTTCCTCCAACAGAACTCTTCTTCACTTCTGTCCATTTGACCAGCAGCCTCTTCCTCTCTTCTTTGCTCAAAGAAATACCCTGACTTAACAGTATATTTGCCATCCTCCGATTCTGTCCAGCACACAACGTCCTTTTCATAAGTAGAAGGGATAGGGATGGCCATGATAGCATGTCTTTCCTCTGGAGTAAAAATGATTTCCAGCAGGTCTTGCCTCCAAGTACTTGACTCATGATCAATAAGATTTGCGACTCTAGCATCCCATTCCAAGAATGGGCAGAAGGAGTAGACTTCAAAGTTTTCCAGGTTTGGCACCCATTTGTCCCCCCAGATTCTAACATCCTCACCTGAGCCAATCCTCCATCTACAGCCAGCTTTGAGAAGATCCTGAGCCCATATTAAACTTCTCCAAATATAACTTGGACGCCAACCCAACTTTGCTTCCATTATAGGGGTTCTGGGATGGTATTTTGCTTTGATTAACCTCGCCACCAGAGTGTTTGGCCTAGTTTGTAGATTCCAAAGTTGTTTAGCCAGCAGCGCCTTGTTGAAAATCTTTAAGTCTCTAAACCCCATACCTCTAGCTTCCTTCTTCTTGCACAACTTTTCCCATTTCTTCCAATGGATTCTTCTTTCCGAATCCTTTTGACCCCACCAATAGTTAGCCATCAGACTGTGAAGATCATTGATAATGCCATCAGGGATTTTAAAGACCGACATCGCATAAGTGCCTTGCGCTTGAGCAATGCTTTTAATGAGGATCTCCTTGCCCGCATCACTGAAATATCTGCATTTCCAATTTGTTAACTTATTTCTCACCTTTTCCAGAAGGTGCTGAAAAACTATCTTCTTTGATCTCCCCACCATCGTTGGAAGTCCAAGGTATTTTGCCAATTTATCCACCTCCTTAATGCCCATCTCATCACATAGATCTCTCCTCTTATCCTCTTTGACATTGCTGCTGTAATAGATTTCCGACTTGGTGAGATTTACCATTTGTCCTGATTCTGCTTCGTAGAGTTTAAGGATCTCCTTCAGCTTCTTTACTTCCCTGATGGTCGCCCTGGCAAATAAGACACAGTCATCGGCGAACAGTAAGTGAGAAATTACAGGGGCTCTATTACAAATCTTAATTCCATGAATTTCCCCTTCCCTTTCATACTTATTAACAAGCGCATATAATCCCTCCGAGCAGAGAAGGAAAAGGTATGGGGAGAGCGGGTCTCCCTGCCGTAAACCTCTCCCTGGTTTAAAAAAAATTGATTTGTGACCATTCACCAATACTGCATATGAAACAGAGGAAACACAAGACATAATCAGCTTAACCCATTTCTCATCGAATCCCATTCTTCTCATAATTTTATCAAGAAATACCCATTCCACTCGATCATAGGCTTTCGCCATGTCGAGTTTTAAAGCCAAGTAACCCCTTTCACCTTTAGTCTTCTTCTTCATAGTATAGAAGCACTCGAAAGCTGCAATCACATTATCGGTGATTGATCTCCCAGGAACAAACGCACTCTGGGATTCACAAATCAAATCATCCAAAATCCCCTTCAAACGATTAGCAATAGTTTTTGACAGAATCTTATAGAGCACCGTGCAGAGACTTATCGGTCTAAACTCTTTGGGAGCAATCGGATTCTTTACCTTAGGTATTAGGGCAATTAGTGTCTTATTGAGGCTCTCCGGGATGCAGCCTTCGTTGAGGAATCCGGTAAGCTCTGCAGTAATTTTTGGTGCTAGGACGCTCCAGTTTTTTTGGAAAAACAGAGGTGGGAAACCATCATCTCCCGGAGCTTTTGTAGCACCCATCTGGAACAGGGCCGTCTGAATTTCCTCCGCTGTGAATGGTCTCAAGAGTTTTCGATTCATGTCGTTTGAGACTTTCCTCTCCACTGCTTCAATGACCTTCCAGTTAACAGCTTCCGTTTTGCTTTCAAAGAGGTCTTCGTAGTAGGAGGTGAGGCAATTCGTGACTTCTTCCTGCCCTCTACACAGTCTTCCACTGTCGTCTTTCAGTTTTCTGATAGTGTTCTTCCTTCTCCTTTCAGTTTCCCTCGCATGAAAAGCCTTGGTATTCTTTTCTCCTTCTCGTAACCACTCCATTCTTGATCTTTGCTTCCACCTCTGTTCATTCTTGTATAAGAGATCTTGTAGCTCTATTTCCAGATTTCTTTTCCTCTGTCTCCAATCGGGATTTCTTCTTTGAGACTTTAACTCCTTGATATTCCTTCGGATTTGGGCAATTCTCTTAGGTATCTCACCAAACTTCTCCGAGCTCCAATTCGTCAATCTCATCTCGCACCTTTTCAAGCTTTCTTCAAGACTATCCACTCCAGCTTGCTCCCATGCTTCGCTCACAATTGTGTGGCTCTCCTCATCTTTTGCCCAAAAGGACTCGAATCTGAAATTTCTCCCCCATCTAATCTCGATTTCTCTCTCACCCTCCAAGTCAACCAGAAGTGGGAGATGATCCGAAGCTACTTCTTCCAGGTGTATCACAAGGGCCTTCGGATAAAGGTCCATCCATTTCTTATTTGCCACAGCCCGGTCCAACCTTTCTTCAATTAAAGCCTGCATATCCCTTCTATTTTCCCAAGTAAATGGGTAACCAACGAAACCCAAATCGATTAGACCACCATCCGCAAGGGCATTGTTAAACCCAATTAACTTTTGTTCCGGAACCTGTCTCCCTCCTGACTTTTCTGCGTTAGAACAAATTTGGTTAAAATCCCCCACACAAATCCAGGCGTCATTGTTGATTAATCGAAGATCCCTAATAAGATCCCAAGTGAGGTGATGGTTTTCCTTTTCCGGCCAGCCGTAAATTCCCGTAAACCTCCATTTCTTATTCTCCTCCTCAATTTGAACTTCCGCATCCATATGGTTTTTAGTGCTAGATAGAATTTTAATCTTCACTTCCTTTTTCCAGAGTAGGCATAATCCACCCGCCTTTCCCTCTACTGGAACTCCTTCCACGAAATCAAATCCCAGATCCATTTTTATTGCCTCCCAATCTTTCTCCAGAAGCTTTGTTTCCATCAGGAACACAATTTGGGGTTTGTGAAGTCGGATAACCGAATTCAGGGACGCCACTGCCCGGGGATTCCCCAACCCCTGGCAGTTTAGGCTTAAGAGAGTCATTGCGATAGGCGGCCCTGCTGCTTGGCAGGGTCCGCCTCTGGTTCACATGTGGTTTCTGCTGCCATCCCTTTACTCCTCTTTCCATCCTTCCATCCAGCTTTCTCAATTATCTCTTCCGAATCTATATCCAAGTCTTCTTCACTTCTTCTCTTTTCCCCCGTAAACTTTCTTCCATTTGTTCCTCCCTGTGCCTTCTCTTCCTTCTTCAGTCTGGTCCAAGTCTTAAGCCCAGCTTTCTTTTCATTTTCTTCTCTGTCACTGCTTCTTTGGGCTCCTGTATAATTCCTTTGTTTTTCCACTGATTCCTTGAGGCCCAATAAGGCCAAGCCCGATACCTCCTGGTCCAATTGATCTCTTTCCTTCTCCTTTATCGTATAGCTTTCTTTTTTCTTTCCTTCCTCCAACATACCAGCTGTCATACCTTCACAATTTCCCATTTGCCTTTCTGTGTCTTTATTGACATGTTTCTTTCTAATAGTCTCTTCGTCTTCCAGGCTATTTACTGCTTGCTTCTCATTTCCCGCCTTGATCAAATCAAACAGCCTTCTACGTGGAGTTTTAGGCGGAATCTGAATCGTCGGTTGTTCCAGCCCTTGTGTCTCCGTTTTTCCGATTGTACTCTCACCGGAGTAGTCACCGGTTTTGCTTTGTTTTGCTTCCGACCATAACAGGGCTAATCTTTCCACTTCTGATTTATTTCTAGATTTCATTTTTTTCACGGGTGAATTTGCCCTCAACCATCCTCCATACTGTGCTTCTTCATCTGGCAGAATTTCCTCCTTGCAATTTCGTTTCAGATGGCCTAGAATACCACAGTTGTAGCAGAAATTTGGTAGCTTCTCATACGCCACTTTGTACCAGATATTCTCAGCTCCATTTGACAGTAACACTCCTCTTCTCAGCGGTTTAGTGACATTGAAAGACACTCTTATTCTCATGTAATTGCTCCATGGTTCCGAACTATCTGCATCCAAAACTTTAAGTGACCCAAACAAAGCTCCAATCTTCTCTGCCATTCTCACAGTTCTCATTTTTGGAGGCAGCTTCCTTATTCTTACCCAAATATCCGTTTCTGTGAAGTCCAGCTCTGATACTTCTTTGTCTCTTTCCACTGGCTTCAATATTATTAGCTGATTGTCGAAATGCCATGGGCCTCCATATAACGCCTTTTCTCTATCTTCTTTGCTGAAAAATTGGAATGCATAGAGGCGCTCACCAATAGGCTGAATCACAAAGTCTTTCTTCGTTTTCCAGGCCGCAATCAAAGCAGTCTTCATGAACTTTGCTCCTGGGGATCTTGTTCCCTGGAGCGAACCCACCACTCCCAAGTCTTCAATAATTTCTTCAACTCGGACATCCACATCGTCGTCTTCGACCTTGATTATGCTTTCTTCTTCCTCTGATAAGTGGAAGTTCGTCAGCCTCTTCTCTAACTCCGTCGCCATGGAGACTCAAAACCCAGACCACAAAGAAAAGCACTGAGAAGATAGGGAAAATTTGGTCGAGAAGTAGAATAAGGTGAGAACAGAACCCACGAGAGTGGGAGACGAAAAGTCACAAGCTCGAGCTTGGAGGAAACTCTCACAGAGGAGACAGAGGAAAACTCTCAGAGAGAGAGACTTAGAAAAACCCAACATTAAACGCCTTTGGAATTCTATGTCCCACTTCTCCCCAGATTTAGTAGTGTTGATGTGACTTGAATCGGACTATCAGCCGCTACGACGGGAATAGTCGGGGGTCAATGTTATTTGGGTTTGGGTTCTGGGCCTAGTCTGTAACCGTTTACTTTGCCAGATTGGATTATGTTTAGACCAACATGGAGAAGTATAAATACTTCTCATCTCCTTTGTAATCTGTAATCTCCTCGATATAGTGAAACTGGCTCTCTCTCGCCCATGGACTAGCTAACATACATCGTGTTAGTGAACCACGTAATCGTGTGTCGTGTTTTCGATTCACGCTTTCGTATTCTTGCTTTCTGGATTCTGGTGATTTCCCAATCTGTAGCAGCGCGTTTATAACAAGCAGGACCCGTTGTAACAAAGTGACACGTGGGACTGAGGTTTCTGGATAATAAAAAAAAATTGCTCGTATGTTCTATTAAAATCAATTTAATCTATTTTTTTACAAAAAATAATCTTATATTGATTAAAAAATTTAATCTGGTTAAATCCGATCCGAACATTAAATTTCAAATCACTTGTCAAACTCACTTCATACGTCTAGTTTGACAACCTTGGATTTTGGTGATCAAATTGGTATTTTACCCGGCGGACTGGCTTCCTTCTCTTCTCTCTAGTCTCGCTCTCCCCTTCAAATCAGAACCCGGTCATCGTCTGGCTGTTACGCATAGTTAGCAGACAGATCCAGTCTCGACTCCATTGCTTCCCCCTTCATTCCCCCAGATCTCTTCTCGCCGTTTCAACTTTCAACAATCCTTCTGTTTCCCCTTCGTCTCCGTGATCGCTCCATTGATCAATCGTGCCCGACTCACGATTCCTTGCCTCCTGGTTCTGAATCTCTCCCCGCCTCTCTTTTTGCATTGAGATTCGCTCCACTCGTTCACTGAATGCGTTCGACTGCCTCCGAGCTGCGAATGCTGCGAATTCCTCGTTGATTTGTCTGTTTTGGGTTCAAGGGGAGAAGAAATGGCAGCTGGCGGCTTCGTCAACCGAGCATTCGATACCATTCTCAAGGAATGCTCCGGCAAGAAGTTTCCTGATCTTCAAAAGTCTATTCGAACATATCTAGGTTGGTGCCTCTCGTCATCGTGGCTAGCTGGATCGCGGAATTCACTACATTTCCCTCCGTATTCCCGTTCCCTCTTGCTGAGTCGCCATTTCTAGCCTCTAGGACTTCCACTCATGCTTGTGGCTGTCTGATTATAACTGCTTCTTCTTGATTTGCTGTTGCCATGTTCACACAATACTTTGAAATTATATGTGTAAGATTTTCAGTGATCCTATACGCAGTTGCCAACTTGTGGATCGGGTTGTTTGAATTGTATGCTTTGGTGTCGATTGCCATTTGTATGTCTGGTGCTGAATGAGCCCCCGTTGATCCGCTAGAGTTTAAGATAGGCGTCCTATAGCTTTGGAATTGGGATGACTATTTCTGTTTCAATTTTGTTTCATTAACAATATGTAACAGTTCTCAGCTAACTGTTTTCCTTTGCCCACCTCTGCTGCCAAAGGTTCTATCTGCAGTGTTTTTTACTGTCTTAACCTGACAAAGGCCACTTCACAATTGAGCACAAGCAGCTCTTAGGGGTTGCTTGGTAGTTTCGAAAATGCCGTGAATTGTTGGAGGTTTTACTGATGAGTGACTTCTTATTTGTATCCTATCGAAATCTGTGAGTCATTGCTTGCAAGATGCTGATTTTAAGGGGACTTATCAGCTTCCTTGTTTGGGAATCATGTATTTTAGGAGTTGTTAGCTATTTTTACAATGAGAATTCTGTTGTACCTCATTGTGGTTGTCGCTGGCCTTGCAGCTCTGATCTTTTTTTTTTCTTCCTTCTTTTGTGATATATGGTGATAACAGATAGTACAAAAGAGATCACTCAGAAACCTAAGGCTGGTGAGACCAGCGAGACAGAGTCATCAACTGGAGATGTTAGGTCAGTTGGAGTAACTCATTATCCAATATTATTGCTTGTTGCTGTTCACCTTGCCATTAACTATGGAGTGGGGAATTTAGTTACTTAATTTTGCAGATATGAAAACTCTAATTTGATGACGTTCATAAACTCGTATGAATATTTGAAGGATGCAAAATTCAACATCTGTTCTGGTTATTCAAGAACTATTGTGCTCATTTTCCATAAAGTTGCTACTCTCAGGGTTTGAATAAAGACTTTCATGCTTTCTGCATGAACTAGTTTATGCGATTCCTTTTGCGTTGGAAAATTAGATGTCTCCTTGGTGGAAGTAGAATGTTTAAGAAGATTCCTTTCCTCCTTCATATGGGACTTTTTGACTATAATATAAGCAGAAATTAAAGTTTTATTGGATGGAGAAGTTGGTTTTAGGTGTTTATTGACTTTTGGCCACTCAGATTGGCGAGGATTTTGTCCTCCTTCGCAGTTTAAGATGGCCTAGGAGAACTTCATCATGCATTACTGTGGCTAAGTTTGTAATGCCCAAGTGGAGATTTATTAGCGAAAGTGAGGGCCAGATTATTTTTAAAGTCAGTTTAAGATTTCTTTTTAAAATAGTTGAGCATTAGGCACAAGTTTTTTGTTTTGTTTTTGTGGGGAAGGGGCTGTAGATTGTACAGGTACAAGATGTGGAAGTGGCAGATCTTCCTTAGGGATCTCTGAGCATCAATCAGAAGTATCATGGCTAAACAAGTTCTTACAGATCTTATAGCCACTATCCTACTGTTTCCTCTTTTTAATTTTTGGGTATATTTACTGGTTCCTCGATGTACCAGGCTGTCTCTTGCTGTTTTTTTTTTTACCTCAAGCATCCCTGTGGCTGTCTTAAATATTTTTTTTTCTTTCCAATACAGCCTAGCTTCTCTCTCTCCTCCCCGTCACTGCGTATTGGGATCTGTTGTTCCTTGTATGCTTTTTAGTCTTTTCTTTTTCTTTGCCAACTTCCTCCGTATATCCTACTGCTTCATGTTTAGAGCCCTTTTGTTATTTCTTGCTGGGTTTCTACGCAGAAGAGATGTCATTCTTGCTCATGTTACCATACAGCCTTGATTTACCTTAAATTTATTGGTGCATATGCCTTGAGCTATAATAAGTATAATTTCTTACCTGTCATACTGCAGTCTGGTTAGTTATAGATGTGAAGGTGCACCATAACGTGTCATACTGTAGTGTAGTTAGTCATATATGTCAAGCTGCAGCACAATGTAGTTACCTACGATGGCCACTCCTTTCTTAATGAGGTTACTGGTTCAGGAAAAGTGCCTGCGTAGAGCCAGTCAATCATTGTAGTTTTGACCTTCATCTTTTCTTGCAGTTCGCATGAGACAGAAAGTGGAGTAAAATCTGCAGGAGAAACTGAGCAGGCACATAATGATCCACAATCTTCTCAGGAGGCGAAGCCAGTAAGCATCAGTCGAACTATTTCGACTGCCTTGGCAAGTGCTGGCCACACTTTAGATGGATCTGAAGCAGAGCTTGTTTTGGACCCTCTCCGATTGGCATTTGAGACGAAGAGTCTGAAAATCTTAGAGCCGGCCTTGGATTGCCTTCATGTACCCAATCTAATTCTTTTGATGTCTATAATAGCACTCTTCCGTCTTCAGCTCAGTGGAAGATGGTTTAGTGGATTTTGTGATTCCTGCTGGTTCTGGAGTCCGTATATGCCTCCATGCACTTTTATCTCACTGTTTCTGCTATCTGGTTTCAATTTCTGTGCAGAAACTTATCGCGTATGATCACTTAGAGGGTGATCCTGGTTTAGATGGTGGCCAAAATGTCCCTTTGTTTACTGACATTTTGAATATGGTTTGCAATTGCGTTGACAATTCATCCCCTGACAGGTAGGCATGCTCATTTGGTATTTTCTTCTTTATGAAGATGCTCATTCAATGTCTGACTTACAATTCTGTTCTTGTGCTTGTGTGTTAGATGGAGTTGTTAACTTACCAATAATTATTTTGCAGTACAATTCTGCAAGTGTTGAAGGTACTCCTAACTGCAGTAGCATCCACAAAGTTTAGAGGTACATTGATTGTGAATGGCAAATATTTCTGCATGTTTGCTCATTCTGGTTGCTTTAGCTATGTGCATTTTGCTATTTTGTACCTGTATCCGACATATCATTTTGTCTTGGACAAAATTAGTACTAACGGCCAAATGAATTCTTTCTTTTGCCTATTGGATTTTGATAGCTTTAGGATATTGATGTTGGTGTTGCAATTGATGTGTTTGTGAAATAAATTCATGTAATTTTTTGGGTCACTCAAAACTAAAAACCAGGATTTTATGATGCGGGGTAGGCAAAACGATTTGATGTTTCATGATGAGTTGAAGATTAAATTAGATGAGAAGGGGCTCGAAAAATTATATTACACAGTGTGGGGTATCCTTCCGCTGAAAAAGGATCTATGCTCATTATATATACTGACCTAGCTTCACCTTTTCCCTTTTTTCCCCCCAAATTTTTATGTCCCTAATTTTTTTGGATGCAGTACACGGGGAGTCTTTGTTAGGAGTTATCAGAATATGCTACAACATAGCTCTTCACAGGTGCTTCTTTTGATAATCACCATGAGATAATACCTTCAGTCTAGAGTAATGCTCATCATTTCTAGTTTGCATGTTCAGCAAGAGCCCCATCAATCAAGCAACGTCAAAGGCCATGTTGACACAGATGATCAGCATTGTTTTCAGAAGAATGGAAACTGACCCTGTATGGCTTTATAACTTCTCAATCGCAGTTTCTAAATGTTGGGTCAAAATGGAGAAAACATTCGATGGTCTCCTTATCCTTACTAAGTCATTACTTTCTGGCAGCAAATTCAAGTTTCCGCATCATTGGGTTCTGGAAACCAAGAAACTACTTCAGCTGTAAAATCAGATGTGAAAGTTGACGAAATTTCGTCTTCTGACCAAAATGAGGAAGGAATGACTCTGGGAGATGCACTCAATCAGGCCAAAGACACATCTCTTGCATCTGTTGAGGAGCTTCAAAATCTCGCTGGTGGCGCTGATATAAAGGTGCATCTTGTCTTTTTCACTTAATTCATATATTTGTCATG